CTTTGTATAGACAGCACAGTAGGCATGCATGTATGTGTGAAGTGGCCACTTCCTTTTTTCTGCTCAGAGAAACCACAGTTCATTGGCGCGCACCCGTTGCATGGGTGGAAGTAGGCATAATGTTTCGGGAAGCCTCGTGCTGCAGGGAACCCATGGGGGGGGGGCAGGCTGGAAATGACAGGCCCACCCTTTGTGCAGAAGGAGCAGGTGGAAACTCGAGGCAAGGCTGGGGTGAAGGAGGGTTGAGGGAGGGATTTGGAGGGGGAGGGGAAACATTCCTAGCAGCTGCAAAGCTTAACAGATACCTTCAGATTTGCAGCATCTCAAGTTATTGTGCTGTTGAAATATGTATTAGCTCATTCTTACTCACTGTTTTAGTGTGGGGAGAACTGCACTGCATGTTTTAAAGCAGTGGTTCTCAACCTTTCTAATGCCGTAACCCCATAATACAGTTCCCCATGTTGTGGTGACCCCCAAATGGGTGTGGCCACCAATAAGAGGGAGTAGGACAGCTAGGGAAAAGGGAAAAAAATGGCGGACAGCATGGTTTGGCGACCCCCATGAAATGGTCGTTTGACCCCAAATGGGGTCCCGACCCACAGGTTGAGAACCACTGTTTTAAAGTAAGAGTCAAGTCACTCACCCCACCCCACATGGCCCATGGAGCCCTACCAAAACATGATGACAAATTGACGTGTTTTCAGCTGTTCTGAGTTTCACTCATTTCAAGGTGGGTTGGAATAGTGTTAAGTATGGGAATGGAAGCCTAAGGCATCACTGCGGCAAGATTCGGGTCATCCCCGACTTACAACAGTTCCTTTAGTGACCGTTTGAAATTACAACAGCACTGAAAAAAGTGACTTGTGAACAGTTTTCACACTTATGACCACTGCAGCATCCCCGTGGTCACATGATCAAAATTCGGACGTTTGGCAATGAGTTCATATTTATGACGGTCGCAGTCTCCCGGGGTCAGGTGACACTGTGGCCTTCTGACAAGCAGAGTCAATGGGGAAGCCAGATTCAAGTTAACAACCATGTTACCAACTTAACAACTGCAGTGATTCATGTTTACAACTGTGGCATGAAAAGTTGTAAAATGGGGCAAAATTCACTTAACAATTGTCTTGCTTAGGAGCAGAAATTTTGAGGTCAACTGTAAGTTGAGGACTACCCATATTGTTGTTGTTGTTAATTGCGAAGTCGTGTCCGACCCATCGCGACCCCATGGACAACGTTCCTCCAGGTCTTCCTGTCCTCTACCATCTTCTGGAGTCCATTTAAATTCACACCTACTGCTTCAGTGACTCCATCCAGCCAATACTGATTTGATGGCACATAACCAACCAACCAACTAAACAACCAACCATATTATTAGCATCCAGTCATATATTTTATGATTTCTCCCTTTGTAACAAGACCAGCCATGGAGGTCAGCAGGCTCCTTCTGCTTATTTCGCTGGAATGAAGAAAACAACCTTACATTATCAACTTGTGTATCCGTTTTGGACACACAGACACACACACGCACAAAAACAACATTATACCAATACAAAAATAGGGATAAGGCTCATTTGAATCCCAGCAGACGCCGCTGTTGCATGCAGAATGGTGTTTATCCAAGCATCTGAACCTGGTTTTTGATAAAGTCCATCGAAATATGGCTGATTCATCAAGTCTTATGAGTGGAAGCATTTGACCGATTCCCTTGTAGACGTTGAATGGATTTGAGTCCCAGTGTTATGTGCTTTTACTGTATATGTATTGTTATTTTTATGAACCGTGGTTGCCACTGTTTTATTGCAATATCGGTAATATGTGTCTACACTGCTCAGAGTGGGCATTATTGGAGCAGCTTAGAAGCCCAATAAAAGAAATAAAAAGAATTGAATTTAAAAAAAATCATTTTGAAAGCCATTCCAAAGGCCTCCAAGATACTCATGAAGCTTTACACTTGATGGTACTTTTGGTTTGCTTACTAAATAGCCCTAGAATTAGCTGTATTTGGATAGAGCCTGACACAGCTCAAGACTTGGGAGTGAGGTTTTGACCCAGGGATGTGTGGTGGACATTTGCCCTCTGTCTAGGGACCGTGGACTTTTGTTACATTTCTAGTTTGCAGAAATCAAGGCTCCGCATTTGCTGTTGCCAATCTTTATCTTTAATGATGGCAATAGCCTTCCCAGCAGCATCCAGGAAGCGGAAGGGAATCTGTTCTCTGATTCTTCTTCTTTTTTTTTTGATGGTTTATCAGTCTCTTTATTATAAATATTCTGAAGGTGAGTTATTATAACTGTTACAAAATGATGCATTCTATTTTACAGCCTGGAAAGATACTAATATATGCAGCCTGGATAGAGGCTAATATAGCATTAATATGTAAAGAAGGTATTAATACCTTAACTTCATACAAAAAAATACTATTTGATATTTATTTATTTAATTTATTTGTTTATTTTATTTATAACCCACCTTTATTTTTACAAGTAACTCGAAGTGATGAACATATCCAACACACTTTCCTTCTCCTATTTACCCCGTACCAACAACCCCGCAAAAGTCTCTTCTAGCAGTTTTTCTTACTTTTCAACTCCATCCTCTTTGCATGATTCCCCCTCCTCCAGATCATTTTGATCCAATCATTTCTTCTTCTGGCTCCCAATCCTATAACAGATCTACTGGGCACTTATTAAACTCTGGTGAGCCATCCAGTTCTCTGATTCTTAATGTAGTTCACACATGTAAACTATAAACTCTCATAGGGATTCCCACCCCTTCCCTGACCTCTGCTGTGGAGATGTAATCCCATCTGCAGCTGTTACCCAGTATGTTAGTATGTGGGTATTAACACATGTTCTCTGCTTAAAGGTTGGGCAGCACAGCTGTGCTTTGTCTGTTTTTGGTGCCTTTGAGGCCGTCTTGACTCTGGGTGACTTGCCTGGAAAAGCCCCTGCGGTTTTCTTGGCATGGGTTTGGAAGCAGTTTACTCCTGATTGGCCCAAGGTCACTCAGCTGGCCAAAGGTTGGACTAGAACGTGATCCCTAGCTTGAGCTAGAACTTGATCCCTAGCTTGGTGCCTTGGCCACTACACCAAATTGTGTCAACTCTGCCTGGTTTGGCTTGGCACCTCACAGGCATCTTGCCATCAAAAGAAGAAGGGGGAGGGAGGGAGGATCAAAGGGAAAAGAAAGGAGAAAGGATGAAAGGGCAACAAAGCTTTGTGTGTACATGGTAGGAAATCGGGAGGGGGGGGGAATGACAGGTGAGAAGGATCAGAGCAGCTGGATCCTGTTTGTGCCAGCATCCCATAGCCAGGCACTCTGAGAAATAGTCAGATTGCCCACAAAGTTCTAAGAGTTCTTAAAATACGTTGGCAAACTCTGGTTGGCTGGAAAAGGACTGGTCACGGGGAGAAGGATGGGCTGTGTGCAAACCTATGCCTTATTTTTGTATCTAGTGAGCGTGGTAGATTTCAGAGCTGGCTTGACTTTACTACAACCAACATCCTTAGTAAAAGAAGCCTTTGCTTTAACCCAAATGGAGTCGAAGGCTTTTCTTTCCTAAGGGATCGGATTGGGGTAAATTATCTCTCTTGTGTTTCATTTACCAGGAGTTTAATAGTGGTTCCATTCAAGAAGAACCCTACAAAGTGAAACTTCTATGGTTCTATAGATTTGAGATAGCTTCAGTGTGGAGAGCACACCGATGCTAATAATTATAAATAGGCCGAGTGAGTAGGAAATTCCATTTGGAAAAGACTGTCACCGAACTCTGTTGCATCAACTGTTGTGGGAGCTTTTCTAGCCACGTTGCAGGGTGGGGTCCTCTGGGATTTGCCTGATTCTACCAGATTTGCTTGAGACAGCTGCCTCCTCTCTATAGGAGAAAGATAAAAATATTTTTTTTTGTTCATCTGGGCTCTTTGGATGGATGGACAAGTGCTGTTCCCCCACAAATAGGGATGGAGAAGGAGGGGGAGGAGGAGGGGGGGAAAGGAGAATGATGATGATGATGAAGAAGATGATGATGATGAAGAAGAAGAGGAGGGGGAAGAAAAAGAAAGGAGGAGGAGAAAGAAGAAGAGGAAGAAGAAGGAGGAGAAGAATGACCATTGATTTAATTTGAAATTTAATTAAATTAAAATTACAGTAAAGCAATTAAATATTATCCACGTATTTAATAATATTTCTGCACACTTTTAGAACTTAAAAGTTGGCGTCAGTTTCTGGAGGGATAGGTTAGAGTAGACTGCCCCTTCTGAAGCAGTTTCTGTTCCTCAACATGGGTTGAGTTCTGCCCATTGACTTGACTAATGTCCAGATCAATTTATACTACTATGGTGTATAAACTGGTGTGGATGCCGCTTCCGGAAGTCCATTCGGGACATTGGCAACAAAAAAATTAGCTACCGGTTCTGCCAAAGTGGTGAGAACTGGCTGAATCTCACCACTGATACAAAGTCAGCAAAGGTGTGAAGGTCACTTCAGCTGTCCAGTGAAAGTAAGCAGGCACCTCCAGGTCAGCAGCAATGATATAAGACGATGCCGCAGGCAGATGATCACCTGAGAGCGACAACGGGCAAAGGCATCCTCTCACACCACACAGGAGAAGGACTGATAAACTGCTCCAGTTGTCTACTAAGAAAGCCAGATGGATAGACAACAGTGGAACAACCTGCCTCCAGAAGCAGTAAATGCTCCAACACAGGAAGTTTTTAAGAAGAGACTGGACAGCCATTTGTCTGAAATGGTGTAGGGTTTCCTGCCTGAGCAGGGGGTTGGACTAGATGACCTCCAAGGTCCCTTCCAACTTTACTATTATTATTATTATTATTATTATTATTATTATTATTAAGCGATTATTGACATAGTGCTGGATGGATGACGGGGCCCTCAGGTTGGATAGTATTCAAAATGCTACTGAAGAAAACCGGAAGATCTCTCAGAGTACCAATGATGCTCATGATGCATTCAGCCTTCTGGACATCTAGTGGTTGGTAGAATTGCAGTGGGATTGTGGAAGGAAGCATGAAATGAAAAAAAAAAGTTGATGAAACTTAATATTATATGGAGAAAGCAGGAATAACCCTGATTAATTTTAGTGTGAATACAAAACTAATTCTATAATGTAGAAAATCATTCAAGAGAAATCTGTCTGTCTGTCTGTCTGTCTGTCTGTGTATCTATCTATCTATCTATCTATCATCTATCTATCTATCTATCTATCTATCTATCTATCTATCTATCTATCTATCTATCTATCTATCTATCTATCTATCATCTCCCATTTCTCTTCCAGAGTGACTCTGGGCAGTTTATAGCATTAAAATATAAAAGCATCCATAATATGGGCAAAATAAGATATGGTTCCCAAATTCTTAGGAGCTAAATCGCCATGCCTGAAATATCCTTTAATCAAAGTATTGTGTCTTTTTGTCTGAGGGTGGTGGAAAACGCAGCGTGAAGGAGATGAAAAGTGGTTCCAAAATGCTAAAGAAACTTGACCCTGAGTAGACCAGATGCAGAATTTTTACTCAAATCTTAATTTCTCGCTCTAATCTAAAACCACACAGCTAATGTAACAGAGATCACATTTCAGTACAGATGGTTGAAATACCAAGTTATAAATAACTCCAGTATTGACCATATGCTAGTTACCATAATATATTAGGCACTCAGGAATGTAGATGCAAATATATCACCAGAGAATAAGAAAATGAATATCGAGCAGGTTGTGATCAGTAATCCAAAGATCTGGTTTATAAAGCAAAATGGCGGCCAGTTTGTCAATTCCAACCACAAGGAACCAACATTTTAAAGTGTATATCTAGAACAATGTTTTCCAAAGGAAGGAATGTATATAATTATTTATATATATTTAACATTGTAAGCCGCTCAGAGTCAGTTTGGACAGTGAGATAGGCGACATATAAATTTAATAAATAGATACATTAATTAAATACTTTCTTGGTTTTATCACTGATCGTTTCTAGATAACCCAGAATTTTATATCTTGTACATAAAGGCACTTATCTACTTTAGCAGGGGTCTCCATCCTTAGCAACATTAAGAACTTGTGGACTTCAACTGATGGGAACATCAGATCTGGGAGATAAGTACCTTTTTGGAGGAGAGAGGCTCTGTCATAACTTCGAACGCCAAATGACCTGTTTTAAATCGAGGACTACCTGCAAACATCAGGAGGAACACAGGTTGTCGTAAGAGGGTTAGACATTTGCAGCTTGGATTTCATGACCGTGGGAACAGGATGACGGGTCCTGGAATCCAAATCTTAAGAAGGGGGAATGGGAGTTGCTAGCGATGCTCAGCTTTGAGGAAAGATGACACTAAAAGTTGAGGATCTCTCCTGTGTGTTACAGCATGACTACTAGGGCTCTGAGCCTTTTTAATTTTTAAATTAAAGAATTGGGGGAGTTTGCTGCAGATGCTCTGATATCCGCAGATCATATATTGTTCATTGTTGTGGTATAGAAAAAAAAAACTGGTAAGTTTTTAATGCAGTCTTCCTCAGCCTACCTACTGGTGCTGGTTGGGAATGATGGGATCTGTTATCCCAATTATTTTGGAAAGTGCCAGGTGAAGGCTACCTTAAGCATCTTCAGTTATCAGTGTTTCTCAGCCTTGACAATTTTAAGGCATGTGGACTTCAACTCCCAGAATTCCACAGCCAGCAATGCTGGCTGTGGAATTCTGGGAGTTGAAGTCTACATGCCTTAAAATTGTCAAGGTTGAGAAACACTGAGTTATCTGATTCCAAATATGGCACCTTCAGAAATTCAAGTCTTTTATCCAAACAAGAGCATAAGTTTAACTTTGTTCCTATTTGGAAATTGCTTCGGGATTTTGGGCTCGCAATGAAAAAAAAAACCTGACACTTTGATTTTGTCTTTGCTAATTAGATAGATTCGTTGTTATAGAAATGGCTAGTGCATACAGCTATGTAAAAGTAAATAGTTGAGGTTATAATGTTATCTTCTGCTGTGCTCAAGAGAATTGGAAGTTGATGCCTTTTTCTTTCCTTTTCCCCCTTTACAAAATGTTTTCCCCCCTTCTGCCTCCCCCTCCTCCTAGATTTTTATTCCTTTTTTGAATTTCTCTTTGTATTTTATATTTTGATAAACTAATAAAACATGCGGTAGAAAAAAAGAAACTCAAGTGTGTCAGAACTCACAGGGCTGGGGTGGGAGGCTGTGTGTTGTAATCCACGGTGAAATTGTTCACGTTGCCATTTTCATCACTGATCAGGATCTCGGCTAAAGGAGAACAGCAGCTTGACCTAGAGAGGAGATAAACAAAGAAGAGGGCTAAACAAGAGACGGTAAAGGGGCCTGGGAAACAGAAAAAGAGCTTTCCGAAAGACTGGCAAACTCAGAATGAAGGACTGAGGTTGGAATTAGGAAAGTTTGTTAATGGAATCACTGAGGCAGAAAGTTAAAGCTGCAAGGAGTGTAACAACTGGTGAGGACACTACTGCTTAGCAACAAGAAAGTTACAAGTCAGAAGGACATACTAGAAGGATGCTAGCTAAGGCACGTAGATATATAAATCTTGGCAACCTCTAGCTTATTATAATACCCCTGTCTCCCTGAAACTAAGATCTAACTGGAAAATAAGCCCTAGCATGATTTTTCAGGATGCTCGTAATATAAGCCCCACCCCCAAAATAAGCCCCGGTTAAAATTATCAGTCTTTAGTACCATATCTCCCTGAAAATAAGACCTAATTGGAAAATAAGCCCTAATGTGTCTTTTGGAACAAAAATTAATATAAGACCTGATCTTATTTTCGGGGAGATAAGGGTAGTAAAAGACATACCTCTTTTGATAAGAAAGCTTATTAATGTAGACATGCGATGTATGAAGAAGGAGGGTGAAGTAGAACAGACATGTCAAACACAAGGCCCGGGGGCCAGATGCGGCCCACAAAATGGTTTCATGTGGCCCACGAAGCCATCCTGGAAACAGGGAGGGAACGGCCCCCGCTGTTTTGGCCCTGGTCCAGGCCAGCCGGGAGCCAATGTACAATTTTGTGGTGGCCATCTATGCTGAAACACATTCAGTCTTAGCTTCACAAGGCCGTCTAGAAACAGCGAGGATCCAGCCCCTGCTGCGTCGGCCCTGCCCCCTGGGTGCATGCTGGGGAAGTGTCACCCTTTGTGAGGAATAAAAAAATGGACCATGCCTTGGTGTTTACCCCAGTCCCACCCCCTTCTGCCAGAGACCCTCAGATCTGTCCCACTCCTGCCCAGGCTCCCACGGGCACCCTTGACGTGAACGATGTAGAGCTGGCCATGCCCACCCAATAGGCCACACCCACTCCATCCACACCCACCCAGTAGGCCACACCTGCCTGCCTCCCCCCAAGGGCAACTGCAATGCTGATACGGTCCTCAATGAAATTGAGTTTGACACCCCTGAAAAGAAACATGTGTCAAGGAACCAATGAGTGATTCTTAGGGTGTTGACTTCCTTAATCATAACTATATAAAATTTGTGCTTGTGCATTGTTCAAGATCTTGGCTCCTTTAGCTGCTGAGACCCTTTTGCTGGAATACTCCAATAAAAGAAACTGGAAATGCTATTCCTCATGTCTGGTGGTCTTTATTGGCTTTGGCGCCAGGTGGCGAAGACCCATCTGGTAGACAACAACGGGGTCATGGTGTTCCAAAGCACAGATGCGTGATCCAAAAAAAACATCTTTTCTGGGTCTTTCTAGCTGATATTCTGGGAATTGGAATGTGTTCCTCCTGTTGGACCTGATGAAGCACATAGAAGCAAATGGAGAAACATGGTCCTTCAGATATATTGGCCCCATGCCTTGAAGGTGGTAGCACCTTAATTCTATCCAGAAGCATATGGAAGCCAGTGAAACTTGTGGAAAGAGTGTGAAACACAAACATAATGTGATGTGTCCATAACTGCTCATGTCCCCACAATCTGGATCAATTGCAGCTTCCAGCTAGTCTTCAAGGGAAGTCCCATGCAGGTCACTTGTAGTAGTGTAGAGAAAGAATGTTGCTCAGTGGAGTTGCATGCAGAAGTTCTCCACTCAAATCCCTAGTATCTCATTATCTAGGTAGCAGGGAAAGACCCTTATGTCAAACCATATAACAGCCACAGTAAATGCCAAGGTGATTCAAACAGCAACCCTCAATCTAATTTTGGAAGGTCTCTGCAAACAACTTGAACTCAAGCAAGGGATGGAAAGGGAAAGGGAGAAGCAGCAGCAGAAGAAGAATGGTCAGGGAAGAGAAAAAGAAAAAAATCAGAAAGAGAGGAAAAAAAGGTGAATACTCCTGTCTGGGATCTTCTGCCATACTAGTTTCACAGTTGTCTACCAATAGCATATAAAACCCGAAATTACCTGCAAGACAGAATAACAGAATACTCTATTGGAAGGGACCTTGGAGGTCATCTAGTCCAACCCCTGCTCAGGCAGAAAACCTTATACAATTTCAGACAGATGGCTGTACAACCTCTTCTTAAAAGCCTCTAGTGTTGGAGCACCCACAACTTCTGGAGGCAAGTTGTTCCACTGATTAATTGTTCTAACTGTCTGGAAATTTCTCCTTAGTTCTAGGTTGCTTTTCTCCTTGATTAGTTTCCATTCACAGGCAATTAATGTGTTTCAGCCTTTGTCTGAAAAATGTTCATCTCACTAGACCAGTGTTTCTCAAAGTTGGCTAGGGCATTCCGGGAGTTGAAGTCCAGGTGATTTAAAGTTGCTAAGTTTGAGAAATGCAGCACTAGAGCAAGCTGGTGCATTCTAACCACTGCCCACCACATTGTGGGTCCCATCCCCTAAGGCAGGGATAGGCAACCTCGGCTCTTTTATGACTCATGGACTGAGTCAGCATAGCTGACTCAGGAATTCTGGGAGGTAAAGTCCATGAGTCATAAAAGAGCTAAGGTTGCCTACCCCTGCCCTAAGGAGATACACCTGTTGGGACCCAGAAAAAGGGCCTTCTCTGTGGTGGCTCCCTCTCTCTGGAACATTATCCATGCAGGAATTAGACTGGCTTCCACTTTGGCAGTCTTTCAGAAGCCCCTGAAGATATGGTTTTGCCAGCCGGCCTAGGGAACCCAGAGTGCGATGGAGCCCATCAGATGGCTTATTTAATTGTGTACTGTGGCTGTGTGCGGGTGTGTGGGTGGTGGGTTATTGTTTTTTATCTTTTTTTCTACTTTGTGTTTTTTTTTACTGTTTGTGGGCCGCCTAGAGTCGCTGTGAGTGAGTAGGCGGCTATCTAAATGTTCTAAATAAATAAATAAAATAAATATTGCTCAGGTATATCTGAAGAGCAGCAGGTTAATGACTCTACATTCTGTAATACAGATGTTTAGAAAACAGAGGTACAAACTTGTAATCACAGATAAGCTTCTTATCACTGCCCTCCTCTTCTGAATGACAAGATAAAGCACGGGGATCCGGGCTGATCTGGACACTAACAGCAGTTTCAGCAGCCTCAGCAGAAAATGTCATGTGCCAGATGTGTTGAGAGCAGTTGGGTCTGTGCTGGCTATCAGCTCCACAAGGCATATAGAAATGGAGAAGGTGATAGACTGGTGGGTTTTCTTCAGTTTCCTGAAGGAAGAGCATATATTTATTAACCCTCCTTGTGAGTAGATCAGCGGCTCCCAACCTTTTCTACACCTTGCACCCCTAGAATGCTTCTGATATATTCTCGCACCCCTTACAAAAGTTCAAAATAACGCCAACAAATTATGCATATACACCAGGGGTAGTCAACCTTGGCTCTTTTATGACTCGTGGACTTCAATTCCCAGAATTCCTGAGCCAGCTTAGCTGGCTCAGGAATTCTGGGAGTTGAAGTCCACGAGTCATAAAAGAGCCAAGGTTGACTACCCCTGATATACACTATAATTTTGAAAACCCAAGTTTTCGCCCTTCCTGGAAAATCATCTTGCACCCCCAGGGGGTGCGAGCACCCTCGGTTGGGAACCCCTGGAGTAGACATTTGTGCCTGACTGAATAGCAACACTAATCCAGATGGATCTTGACAGACTTGAACACCGGGCCCTGTCTAACAAAATGAAATTCAATGTAGAGAAAAGTAAAGTCTTGCACTTAGGCAAAAAAACAAAAAACAAAAGTACACATATAGATTGGGTGAAACCAGGCTTAATAGCAGCAACTGTGAGAGGGATCTTGGAGTCTTAATGAACAATCAATTAAATATGAGCCAATAGTGTGTGGCAGCAGCCAAAAAAGCCGATGCAATCCTAAATTGCATTAACAGAAGGATTCAATCAAGATCACGTGAGGGTACTAATACCACTCTATAAAGCCTTAGTAAGACCACATCTAGAATACTGCAACCAATTTTGGTCTCCACACTATAAAAAAGACGTTAAGACTCTAGAAAAAGTACAGAGAAGAGCAACAAAGATGATTAGGGGACTGGATGCTAAAACATATGAAGAATGGTTACAGGAACGGGGCATGGCTAGTCTAGTGAAGAGAAGGACCAGGGATGACATGATAGCAGTCTTCCAATATTTGAGAGTCTGTCATAGAGAGGAGGGGTCAACCTATTTTCCAAAGCACCTGAAGGCCAGACAAGGAATAACGGATGGAAACTGATCAAGGAGAGATTCAACTTATAAATAAGGAGAAATTTTCTGACAGTGAGAACGATCAACCAATGGAATAGGCTGCCTTCAGTTGTTGTTGGTGCTTCATTACAGGAAGCTTTCAAGAAGAGACTGGATTGCCATCTGTCAGAAATGGTGTAGGGACTCCTGCTTAGGCAAGAGGTTGGACTAGATGACCTACAACAGGCATGTCAAACTCGCGACGTCATGAGACGTTGCGCGATGTACCGGGACGTTTTCCCCATTGCCTGACCTACAAGGTCCCTTTCAACTCTGTCATTGTGATTCTGATTCTAATCCCATCTAGCTGAGCTCAATAAGCAAATCAAAGATGGGCGTGAAGGCAACCAGATATCTGAGGACCGTGATTAGACTTGGCAGTTGAAACCCCATCTTGGAAGCGGGTGAGGGCTAGTTGCTTCTGCATTGTTTCCAAGAAAAACGAAATGGGGATGTCCATTTTGGCTGGGGAATTCTGGGAGTTGAAGTTCAAACATCCTAGTTACCAAGTTTGAGAAGCACTGGGCTAGAGAAAGGGTCTCTTACTGTTTTCCCCTTAAATCAAGTAAACCAAGAAGAGCAGGAATATGGTCCCGGACTGTGAGCTATTGTCTGCAAGCTGGGAAACCTTCACCCCAATCTTCTGATTTAAATTTAGCTAATTTAAAACAAAGTGGCTCCACTTAAGTCTGTGCTTGTATCTTCTCTTGTTTTTTGGAGGAGCAACAGCTGTTTCTCCTAAGATATTGGTCTGGATCGTGACAAGGCAGAGAACCAAAACTGGCGCTGCAAAACCAAGAAAAAAAACCACCAAGATTATGATGTTCTCCTTGGCTGAGGAATTCTGGGAATGGAAGTCCACATATCTTAAAGTTGCTAAGGTTGAGAAAGACTGCACTATAGAACACATGAACAAATTTTCAGAAGTTTAGAAATCATTTGGGAACCGTCTGAGTAGATGAGACTCACCAAGGCTGTTTTGGGAATGACAGTGATGGGCAGAGTCAGGTAATTTTGCGATGAACTGGTTTTCGCTGTAAATGTTGCAAGACTGAAAGAAAAGTTAATGAGGATGGTTAATAATGCAGGCATATCTTTGGAAGGGGTCTATGACAACTCGGCACGGCCAACTTGCTGTGGCCAACTCACGCTGGGACAACTTGCCGTGGCCAACTCACGCTGGACAACTCGCTGTGGGAGAAGAATTACACTAATATCAAAGAAATTGTGGAATAGAATCATTAAAGAAAGGATGCCAAAGCAATAATGCACAATGCCGGTCTATCCTGTTCTCCCGTTCGGCACAGTAATTAGTCACGTGGTCCGTCCGTCACTGTGGAGGCGCGGCACAGGGCTGTTCGGAGCGCTGTTCGGAGATACGGGTACCGTTCAACGTCTGCACACAGGTAGGACTCACGCTGGGTCTGACAGGAAGAAGGATTGTTTGCCTACTATAGAAGAATGGACGCTTAAAGTGTTAAATTTAGCAGAAATGGCTAAGATTTCTGCTTATTTGAAGGATTATTCACAAGGAAGATATATTTCGGTTTGGAGAAGATGGATAGATTATATTCAGAATAAATACGGGACTAAAAAGTTCTATTTATTTTATGAATAAATTATTGAATATTATTATTGTTATTATTATTATTAATAGTTTAGTGTAGTGGAATTTTTATTATATTGTATTGTTTATAAATTGGGATTTTAATTTGATTATATGATAAAGTTTATTTGCAAATTGTTTATTCTGTGTTAAAAGAGAGTTAAAGTGCATTATATTTGTTTATCTACATAGTTGGTTAATGTTAGTTAGATTATGATTATTATATTTGTTACCCTGTATTCAGCTCTGGGAAGTGGGGGGGGGTAGGGTGGGTGGGTTTGGGATATATTTTGTAATTTTTGTAAAACTTTTCAATAAAAAAAAGAAAGGATGCCAAAGGAGGGACAAAATGAAATGTGGATGACAAAAATTAAAATATTTTTTTAATTATTGCAAATAATTAAATTGAATTATTGAATTGTCCCGCAGCAGGTTGTCCCTTGGTGAGTCAGCCATGGCAAATTGCTCCACGGCGAGGTGGCCGTGCTGAGTTGACCCATTCCTCTTTGGAAGGGTGATATGAAAAGCCTCCCACACTTCAGACAATCCAGGGCTCACATTACTATTCAGGACTGGCTCTGACCCAATTTCAAATTTACATTAATCGAAAGAAGTTAGAAAATGACAAACTGTGGCTTTCAGACAATCTCTCTTCAAGATTAAGTACTGGAATTGCAATCCTATCTGCTTTAAGATTCCTTCTAAGAAATCCTTCCTTTTAATCCAAGCAAAATTGTAGATAAATGTACAGTAGAAGATGCTTAAAGATGGCATAAATGATTGAGGCAGGAAGTGGTTTTCTAACAACTGGGTTTGTATATTGCACTAAACCAAAATGCCATTGCATTGCTTGAGTTTTGGCTTAGTGTACTGCCCAAACCCAGCCATTATGGTTTAGAACAGGACCATTTCACGGGGGTCGCCAAACAATGCAGTCCGCCATTTTTTTCCCCTTTTCCTTAGCTGTGCTACTCCCTTTTATTCTCTTGGCTTTTGAAAGCCAATAGAATAGACTCTCTTGAATAGAGTCTAATTCTATTGGCTTTCAAAAGCCAATAGGAATTGTCCAGGTTGTCTCTGCCCTGCTGAGCCCATCAAAAGTCCTATTCTGCAAACAGTGCTGCACCAGTTGAGTAGTCCTCAACTTACGACCAGTTGAGTAGTCCTCGACTTACGACCGGTTGGGGGTCGCGGCATTAAAAACGTTGAGAACCACTGGTTTAGAAACTGGATTCAGTAGAAGGAGGGGAAAGCTTCTTTTATACCGATATTGGTAGTCCTTGACTTATCACCACAATTGAGCCCAACGTTTCTGTTGCTAAGAGAGACTGTTAAGTGAACTTTGCCCCATTTCCTGCCACAGTTGTTAAGTGAATCACTGCAGTTGTTAAGTTAGCAATATGATGTCAAACCTGCTCCAGCTTAGACATTTAGGAAAGAAAGACCCTTGACTCCATTTGATTGAAGTGATAGGTTCTTTTACTAAAGTTAAGTGGTTGCAGTGAAAGTAAAGCTAGATCCGAATATTCCCACACAAAGGTTACACTTTCATCTCTTTTCCTGGCCCTCCCCACTTGACCAGTCTGTCAGTGTCCAATAGGATGCCTTTTGGATATTTTGGGAACGGCTCAGATGTTTGGCTCTTCTCACTGCAGTTTCACATTCAGTTCCCAGACCAGGTGTCCTTGGAGGCTGGTTTATTCTGGTTTGGCACCTCTCGTCAACATGTCACCCCTCCCACTATTTGTTTTCTCATTCCCAGGCCCACATATTACTGCTCCAAATTCCCCCTTCTCCTCCCTTGCAATTTATGGCAAGGATGCCAGCAAAGCGAAGATGCTGAGGATGGCAGACCTGACACACGATTTCTAAAATGTTATCCTACCTTGAGGCAAAGTCGGAGCTCTTGGCAGGTGCCACAAAAGTTGCCGTGAGAATGGTGCTCTCTCCTTTCCTCAGGAAACCTTGTGTAGGTCTAAAGGTCTGTATGAAACCCAGGTCATCGCGGACATTAAAGGTGAATATTGCAGCGGATCCATCATTCACCACCTGGACAGAGAACTCTACACTCCCACCGGGCAACAAGTTACCTTGGAAATACAATAGGGCACATGGAAGATGGGGATAACTTGCAAAGAAAGGTGACTTTGAGCTGTCACATAATGGAGGTCCCCACCATTTGGTACCGATGGCTCCGCTGAACTTGCTGAGGACCCGTTATAGGCACTGAAAGACGATGGTTATTGTGGGGGAAGAATAACCTTAGGCCCAAATGACTGCTATGGGAATGAGTGATCAGCCTCAAAAACTACCATTTATCGGACGGCATTTGCTGAAAGCCAGATTCATTTATTAGAAGGCAACCCTTCCCAAGTGCCCCCCCCTCACCACCAAGGGTGGTGAGCATGGCACAAGACATCGTGGGCTGTTCCCTGACTCCACTGGATGACATTGCCAGGGCCCGTTGCCTTGGCAGAGTGAGGAAAATTCTCAGGGATGACTCACACCCTGGTTGGTACCTTTTTACTCTCCTACCATCCAGTAGGACAGTGGTTCTCAACCTGTGGGTTGGGACCCCATTTGGGGTTGAACGACCATTTCACGGGGGTCGCCAAACAACGCAGTCCGCCATTTTTTCCCCCTTTTCCTTAGCTGTGCTACTCCCTTTTATTCTATTGGCTTTTGAAAGCCAATAGAATAGACTCTCTTGAATAGAGTCTAATCCTATTGGCTTTCAAAAGCCAATAGGAATTGTCCAGGCTGTCTTTGCCCTGCTGAGCCCGCCAAAAGTCCCATTCTGCAAGCGGTGCTGCACCAGTTGAGTAGTCCTCGACTTACGACCGGTTGAGTAGTCCTCGACTTACGACCGGTTGGGGGTCGCGGCATTAAAAAGGTTGAGAACCACTGCAGTAGGAGATACAGAAACATAGCCAGCCGTACCAACAGGCTGAAGAACAGCTTTTATGCATGGGCTGTCAGGCTTCTGAATGGGACATAACTTTATAACTTTATGCATGATAGACTCGTGAGGCCGGCGTGATGTGCAATTAGTTCACAGGGTGAAATAAGTTGGGGGGGGGGGTTGTAGTCACCGTGAGTTTGTGGTGAGGGGGGAGGCACAGAGGGAGGCTCAGCCAATTTCACTGTGTACATGTTATACTTTGATAATAAAAGGTTTATTATTCTTCTTCATCCTTTCAGATTTCGCTCCATCCTCCTGTCCCTTACAGGGCACAGGTAGGATGGAGAGAATCCCAAAAGGATGAAGAACTTGGGAAGGGTTGCCTTCCCAAGAAGGGACAGGTGGTCCTTGACTTACGGCCACAAAGGAGCCCCAAATTTCTATTGTTAAGTGAGACATTTGTTAAGTGAGTTTCGCCCCATTTTATGACCTTTCTTACCACAGTTGTTAAGTGAATCATTACAGTGGTTAACTTAGTTACATGGCTAATCTGGTTTCCTCATTGTCTCTGTCCGAAGGTCGCAGAAGGAGATCACATGACCTTGGGACACAGCAATGGTCATAAATATGAGCCAGTTGCCAAGCGTCTGAATTTTGATCACGTGATTATGGGGGTGCTGCAAAGGTCGTAACGGTGAAAAGCGGCCATAAATCATTTTTCCCAGTGCCATTGTAACATTGTAAATGAATGGTTGTAAGTTGAGGACTACCTATAGTTGCTTAGTGACCATTTGAAGTTACAATGGATCTCCACAGAGGGCTTTTGACCTGATTTCGAAGTTACAATGGCTGCCCTGTCCCCCCGGATAGTCACATGATCACATTTTGGGCACTTGGCAACCAGCTCACATTTATAGCCATTTGCAGCATCCTGCAGTCACATGACCATGTGTTTTTTTTTTTTGGCAGCTTTTTAGGGGGCAGTTTCCAGCACTTCTGGTTTCCAGCAAAAAAAATGCCCATTGGAGAAAATGGGTTTGTTTAATGTTTGCTTAACGACCGCTACAAAAAAGGTTGTGAAATCAGGCATAGTCAACGTGGTGGCCTGCTTAACAACCACCACGACTTACACCTGCAATTCCAGGTTCAATTACAGTCATAAGTCAAGGATTACTTGTTTTGTTTTTCTGAGAAGATGGGTCACATTTTACTGGGCATTCATAATATTTATTTTCTAAGACTGACTTGCAGGTTTCCGTGGAGCTGAAATACTGTTGGAAACAAAGCTGATATTAGAGGCTGGGAATATGTTTTATAGCATGCTGACTTCCTTTTTCATTCTGTTTCCATAACTGCTAAGGAAGGAAAAGGAAAAAAAAGCAAGCCTTTTGGTTCCTGAATAGCAAACAGATGTGGGTGTCCAGGTGTCTTCAGGCACTGCATTTATATCAGCAGTTTTGCCTGCTTTGAATAGTAAAATGGAGAATATTTCTGTTGTTTTTTTTTAAAACAATTGTCTAAAGATTACTCCAATTTTTTTTTCTGGGATGAGAATTAATTGTAGTCTTCAGGGGTGGCTGGATAGGGAATTCTGGGAGTTGAAGTCCACATGTCTCCAAATTTGAAAAATGCGGTTCTACACCCTTGGTTTGTTTCAACATTCATGTCCCAAAGGTGCTTTTCCAAAAGGCAACTGGACATCCTTTGTTTTGCTTGAAGATGTTTTGCTTCTCATCCTCCAAGTGGCTTCCACGACTCTCAGAGAGAGTGCTAACGAGCAGAGGACTGTGAAGGGACTATAAATCTTTCCATTCCATTCTGCACCATTCAATCAGAACTGAAGAAGCTTCTTGGATGAGAAGTAAAACATCTTCAAGCAATTACAAAGAAAGTCCAGTTGCCTTTTGAAAAATCACTTTTGGGACAACCATGACCTGGATGACTGAAAATCTCCATAGACTTTCAACATTCTTCTTAGCGGTGTCTATGGATTCTGAAGGGAAAGTACCGTAAATGCTGGCGTACAAGGCGACCCGGCGTATAAGACGACCCCCGTCTTTATAGCCGGGCCGCATTCCTAGAACGTCGTCTTATACGCCGGAAACTACCAGTATTTCCAGCGTATAAGATGACTCGGCGTATAAGACAACCCCCGTCTTTGGCGCCGATTTCAGCGCTCGCGGAAGTCGCCTTATACGCCGGCATTTACGGTAGGTAGATGTAACACTAATAGAAGAGAATCTATGTAGCTCATGGGTTGAACTGTGGAGTCCTTGAAGCTTTCTGTGCTTAGTTGTTTGCTTGCAGAAGTTTTGGTCCCTGACTAAGTAAGATCTAATTATTTAGTTGTAACATCTGTTATGTAATCGGGGAACAAAATGTCTGCCAGGAAACAACCAAGTTCAGAGAGAACCAAGGGTTCCACAGGTAGATGCTGTATAGATCCACTAGATGTGTCTATAGAGATTCTCAATTGTCTAAGTCATGGTTGTCCCAAAGCTGCTTTTTCCAAAAGACAACTGAAATTTCTTAGGTTTTTTTCCTTAACATTTCATTTCTCATCCAAGAAGCTTCTTCAGTTCTGAATATCTATGGAGATTCTTAGTCATCCAGGTCACACTTGTCCCAAAGATGCTTTTTTGCGAGGCAGCTGGATTTCTTGTTTTTCCTTTGAAGATGCTTCGCTTCTCATCCAAGAAGTTTCTTCAGCTCTGACTGGATTCATTCCCCACCATACAGTCAGAGCTGAAGAAGCTTCTTGGATGAGAAGTTTCCTGTTGCCTCATGAAAAAGCATCTTTGGGACTTCAGTTCTGAAGTGAAGAAGAACTGAAGACGCTTCTTGGATGAGAAGTAAAATGTTAAAGGATAAAACCAAGAAAGTTGCCCTTTTGGAAAACCCACCTTTGGGTCCACTAGATTTGACTTGCAAAAATTCAAATGACCAATAAGTGGCACCAAACTCTTATATATTTATTGCTGTGTCCCTTTGCTGCCATCGGGTGGACATTTGCTTTTTGCTCACAGATCTGGTAGTCTTAGATCAGAGGTCCCAACCTTTTGGGCACCAGGGACTGGTTCAGTGGAGAAAGGTTTTTCCCACAGACCGGACAGTGCGTGGTTTTGTGTGCTGCCTGCATCCCACGGATGGAACTTTGATTGTTTGTGAGGACCGGTTGTTGACATGCTGCAGCCTGGTACCGGTCCACGGACCGGGGATTGAGGACCCTTGTCTTAGACTTAGATGGATCAAAATGGCAAAAGAAGTTTTCATACTGCTGCCAGGGACTTACTCTCTTGGTCTGCCAGGGGTAGAATCCTCACTGACGCCACACGGATAGGATTGATGTTGAGACGTGAGAAGGGCAGGTTGCCGGGAGACAGACCTTCTAATTTCAGCATTGGAGACTGGAAGGTAAAAAGGGAATTAATGGAATCTATCTGCTGTTCCGGGCAGATACTGTACTCAGATGCCAAGAAGCTGCCTTTTAAATAAAGATAAACTAAGTCCTAAAAGGCTTAAGAAATTATAGCTATCGTCATTTTTGCAGTATCAGTAATAGCTGGCTACAGAAGAAAACCTTGACTCTGCTTTTTTCCCCCCTTTTTTCGTTTTGGGTATTTGTCTTAATCCTTTGTATGAATAGTTCTAACTGGAGCAATCTGGATTTTGTTTTTAATGCTGCTGTTTTACACTGTGATTACCGTATATTCCAGCGTATAAGACGACTTTTGAGAGTGTTGAAACAGGCGCCGAACTCGGGGGTCATCTTATACGCCGAGTCGTCTTATACGCCGGAAATAAGGTAGTTTCCGGCGTATAAGATGACTTTCTAGGCATGCGACTCGGCATCAATCGTCTTATACGCTGGAAATAACGTAGTTTCTGGCGTATGAGATGACTTTCTAGGTGTGCAACTCGGCGTCGATCATCTTATACGCTGGAAATACCGGTAGTTTCCGGTGTATAAGACGACTTTCTAGGCATGCGACTCGGCGTCGAACTCGGAGGTCGTCTTATATGCTGGGTCGCCCTATACGCCGGAATATACGGTACATTTCTTTGGTTGATTATATATTTATTATATTTAACTCCCTCGCCCAAGGGAATTTTTGTGAGGGGGGACTATAACCTGAATTCCCCCGGCTTCTAGTTGACCACCACTGGGCCATACTAGCTCATATTCTCATAACAGAGGAGGTATGTATTTATTTATTAAATTTATATGCCACCCATCTCGTCCAGATGGCTTGCAATCCAGTAAAAACAACAGGATAACATTAAAATAATAAATGTTAACATTGATATGGATACTAAAGGATATTATGATAACCAGGAAGGGCTTCTTATTTATTTTACTCATGTTAAAGGTAATTTTTGATACTTTAAGCCCAATCTGATACTTTGTAAAGTTTGTAACAGGAAGTCCTCAACCTATGATCGCAATTGGGCCCAAAATTTCTGTTGCTAAGCGAGACACTTGTTAAATGAGTTTTGCCCCATTTTACAACCATTCTTGCCGCAGTTGTTAAGTGAATTGCTACAGCTGCCAAGTTAATAACATGGTTTTTCAATGAATCTGGCTCCCCCATTAACTTTGCTTGTCAGAAAGTCGCAAAAGGGGATCACATGACCCCGGGACACTGCGACCGTCGTAAATATGAACCAGCTGCCAAGAGTCCCAATTTTGATCACATGACCACGGGGATGCTACAATGGTCGTGTGAAAAACAGTCATAAGTCACTTTTTTCCAGTGCTGTTATAACTTTGAACGGTCACTAACTGAATAAGTCAAGGACTACCTGTATAGTTCTGCTGGTTTTGATTTATTGTACCCCATTTGGGCATTACTTTCAATGGAAAGCTGGTAAAGGCCTGTAGAAATGAGGATATTAATAAATATCCGACACCCCCTTCTCTGGGTGAATTTGAGGTCCAGACCAAAAGGTTTTCCTACTCTGTGACTCCCTAGATTGGCTGTGAAGAGCAGCTGAGTGACTGAGCAATTAGATCTTCTTTTTTTTTTTTAATTGAAAATTTTTAAAATTTTTACAAATAGAAAAAGAAAAACAAAAAACAACCCTACCCAACCACCCCAACCCTCCCACCCCATCCCCCCAACCTTCCCAGAGCTGAATATAGGCTTAGTTAAGATTTCTAAAAAATCTTAAAAAAAGTTAAAAAAGTATAAACCATAAATATATCTAAATACATTACGTAAGCTTATAAGATAATTAACAATAATGCTTAAAAAGAGAAAGAATAAAAGAAAAAAGAAAGAAGAAAAGATATATATACATACAAGAAAAAAGTAAAATAAAATAAAGAATATAAGGAAAGAGAAGAAAAAGAAAAAAATACAATCTATAAAATGGTAAAATTTATATATAAATTATTGAAAAACTAAATAATATTTTTTTATATCCAACTTATGTTGTATAAAGTCTATCCATTTTTCCCATACCGCAAAAAAATTCTCTTGTGATTGGTCCTTTAAAAAAGCCGAAATCTTTGCCATTTCCACCAAATAAGAAACTTTAAAAAACCATTCTTGCAAGGTAGGCAAAGATTCCTTCTTCCAGTATTGCCCTACTAACAACCTTACGGCTGTGATTAAATTTAACATCAGTATAACTGAGCAATTAGATCTTCAAAAGTAGGGTTCCTTTGACTTGATAAAACCAGACAGCAAACGCTAAGCTCCTTTTGCGGTTCAGTGGGTAGGTTTGGCATTGGCGGAGCAAGCTGTGGGTGTCCAGAATGGCTCCCACTGAGAAGCTTGCAGATTTGAATTGAATTGAACTGAATACCTTATTTGGCTAAGTGTGATTAGACACACAAATAATTTGTCTTTGGTACAGAAGCACTCAGTCGTACATGCAAAGCAACAGAGAGAATAATGACAATACAGATAGTCCTCGATTTACGATTGCAACTGAACCCAAAACTTATGTTGCTGAGTGAGACATTTGTTAAGTGAGTTTTGCCCCATTTTACGACCTTTCTTGCTATGTTTGTTAAGTGAATCGCTGCGGTTGTTAAGTGAATCTGCCTTCCCCATTAACTTTGCTTGTCAGAAATTCGCAAAACCCTGCCACCCATCTTAAATATGAGTCAATCGCCAGACATCCAAATTTTGATCATGTGACAATGGGGGATGCTACAATGATTGCAAGTGTGGAAAATCAGTCATAAGCCATTTTTCCCAGTGTCACTAAATGCATTGTTGTAAGTCAAGGACTACCAGTACCAATAAAAGAGGGAAGTAAAGAAGATAATAAGAAGGATAAATACTAATATTACAGTCACATTATAGGGTTAATATATATATGTGACATTAGAAAGAATATTCTCCTGGTTACCATGGGAGTTGTAACCAGTCATGCAACTTGGAGTCAGATCAGAAGATGAAAAAATAACCGTGGTTCATACCAACGAATCCAGATGAATCGGAGCAAGGGCCAAGCTATTGCCAAGGGCGTCAGAAGTTTGGTTTAAAATGATGGAGTGAATAGGTCCTTCTAGTCCATCAGAAATGATCAGACGCTGCATCTGGGTGCCTCTGGCTGGCCCCAGCATCTTTAAAGAGATGGTGTAGTTTGATCCTGAGAAAGATGTAGAAAGTTAGCAGAGCAGCCCTCCAGAATCCTCCCTCAATATTCCTTTATAACAACAACAACAACAACAACAACAACAATAAAGTTGGAAGATACCTTGGAGGTCATCTAGTCCAACCCCCTGCTCAGGCAGGAAACTCTATACCAGCGGTTCTCAAACTGTGGGTCGGGACCCCATGTGGGGTCGAACGACCATTTCACGGGGGTCGCCAAACAACGCAGTCCGCCATTTTTTTTCCTTTAGCTGTGCTACTCCCTTTTATTCTATTGGCTTTTGAAAGCCAATAGAATAGACTCTCTTGAATAGAGTCTAATTCTATTGGCTTTCAAAGCCAATAGGAATTGTCCAGGCTGTCTCTGCCCTGCTGAGCCCGCCAAAAGTCCCATTCTGCAAACGGTGCTGCAAGTTGTCTGCAGCGAAGGCGAGCTGTCTGGAAGTTTCCACCCCTCCCTGCTGAGCAACTACTAAAAATGTAAGGCCAGGGGTGGGAGGTGGGAGGCCGGCAGGCGCAGGGAGGGTTGCTGGCAAGTGTGGGGCCCGGCGGGTGCCTTACCTCCCTTGGGCTGGGCCAACTGGTGGCCCAGACGGTGATCAGCCTGCTCCGTCTCTGCCGCTTGCAGCTACGCCTAGGCTGGTGCAGGGGGCGGCACCACACATGTGCGGCGCTCCCAGGCAGGGAAAGTCCTCGACTTATGACCGGTTGGGTAGTCCTCAACTTACGACCGGTTGGGTAGTCCTCGACTTACGATCGGTTGGGGGTTGCGGCATTAAAAAGGTTGAGAACCACTGCCCTATACAATTTCAGACAACTGGCTGTCCAATCTCTTCTTAAAAAATTCTAATGTTGGAGTATTCACAACTTCTGGAGGCAGGTTGTTCCACTGATTAATTGTTCTGACTGTCAGGAAATTTCTCCTAAGTTCTAGGTTGCTTCTCTCCTTGATTAATTTCCATCCATTGCTTCTTTGTCCTGTCTTCAGGTGCTTTGGAGAATAGCTTGACTCCCTCTTCTTTGTGGCAACCTCTGAGATATTGGAACACTGCTATCATGTGTCCCCTCGTCCTTCTCTTCATTAGACTAGACATACCCAATTCCAGCAACCATTCCTTATATGTTTTAGCCTCCAGTCCCCTAATCATCTTTGTTGCTCTTCTCTGTACTCTTTCTAGAGTCTCAACATCTTTTTTACATCATGGTGACCAAAACTGGATGCAGTATTCCAAGTGTGGCCTTACCAAGGCATTGTAAAGTGGTATTAATACTTCACGTGATCTTGATTCTATCCCTCTGTTAATGCAGCCTAGCACTGTGTTGGCTTTTTTGACAGCTGCAGCACACTGCTGGCTCATATTTAAGTGGTTGTCCCCTAGGACTCCAAGATCCCTCTCACAGTTACTACTTTCTTCTGAAATGGATTTTTCTTGGCACTTAAAACTCTTTCCTTAATTTTTTTTTTTTTTTAGCATGGATGTTGGTAATGGGGGATTTAACCCCAGGGTTGCAACAGGATATATTCCACCACCTCTTACAAGAGTCATATTTTTACTTTTATTTTGAATATGTATGTACGTATATCTATCTATCTATCTATCTATCTATCTATCTATCTATCTATCTATCTAAAATTTGGATTGCTAGCAAAGAATTAAGGGAGAACTGGAATAGCTATTCGAACTCTTTAGTTCTTTTCAACCAGACATACCCTTCTGAGATTCGAACCTGGGCTGTCTGCATGTTAGGCAGCTGTATTAAACCTCTAGGCCACAGGCTCTTTCTCACTTTTGCCAGCTGTATGTATATGTATATATATATATATATATATATATATATGTGTGTGTGTGTGTGTGTGTGTGTGTGTGTGTGTGTGTGTGTGTGTGTGTGTTGGGTGGGTGTTTGTGTGTGTATATATGTATATGTATGTATGGGTGTAAGTTATATATGGATGTATGAGGGCAATTCGGAAATAAGGTTCTGTTTTGTTATCAATGACAGATACTCACAGATACAGACCTATCACCTGGTTGTTTGTATGTACACTGACAGCTTATGCACCGGAGATAAATTCCTTGTGTCCAATCACACTTGGCCAATAAAGAATTCTATTGACAATTGACTAGAATAGAATACAGCTGGAAGGGACCTTGGAGTCTTCTAGTCCAGCCCCCTGCTCAAGCAGGAGAACCTTTACCATTTCAGATAAGTGACTGTCTTGTCTCTTTTTAAAAATCTCCCTTGATGGAATGCCCACAATTTTTGAAGGCAAATTGTTCCACTGGTTAATTGTCCTCACTGTTAGGAAGTTTCTCCTTAATTCCAGGTTGCTTCTCTTTTTGATTAGTTTCCAACCATTGTTTCTTGTCTTGCTCTCTGGTGCTTTGGAGAATAGTTTGACGCCCTCTTCTTGTGACAGCCACTCAAATACTGGAATACTGCTATCATGTTGCCCCTGTTTCTTCTTTTCTTTAGACTAGCCAAATCCAAGTCCTGCAACTGTTCTTCATATGTTTTAGTCTCCAGGCCTTTGATCATTTTAGTTGCTCTTCTCTGAACTTTTTCCAAGATCTCAACATCTTTTTTGTAATATGGTGACCAAAATTGGTTGCAGTATTCCAGGCGTGGTCTCACTAGGGTTTTATAAAGCGGTACTAATACTTGGCGTGATCTTGATTCTATGTCTCTGTTTATACAACCCAGGATTGTATTAACTTTTTTGGCTGCTGCTGCACACTGAAAACTTACCTTTCGTAGGCTGTCCTTGGATTGGAAGCATGTAGCCATTCTGCTTTTCCATTATCCGGTAGGTAAAGTCAAGCAAACTCTTGCCTCTAATCTCTACCTCGTAAGAGCCCCTGGGAGTCAGAGTCACGGTCCACCGACCTTGCTGAGGGATAGGAGATATCTTCACGATCTTGTGATTACTTGTGTCAAGCAACATTCGAGGTTTTGTGAATGGGTCACCTATCGTGGAGTGTCACAAAAAGGAATGAGTTGCATTAGAGGTAGTCCTCGACTTACGACCACAATTGAGTCCATCATTTCTGTTGCTAAGTGAAACATTTGTTAAGTGAGTTTTGCCCCATTTTATGACTTTTGTTGCCACAGTTGTTAAGTGAATCAGTAAAGTGGAGGGAAACTGGTTTCCCCATTGATTTTGCTTGTCCAGAAGGTCACAAAAGGGGATCACATGACCCTGGGACACTGCAACCATCGTAAAGGTGAGTCGGCTGCCAAGGGTCTGAATTTTGATCATGTGACCGTGAGGATGCTGCAATGGTCATTAAGTGTTAAAAACCGCCTGTCAACGCTGCTAACATTGGATGTTCTTGCTTTGACAAAATATGAAGAGGCAGTCACTCTCTGTATAAGCTGTGTGGTCCTTTTAGAGTTAAATTAGATGATGCTGGGAGGGGAGGAGAAAGAATGTGTGTGGGGATTAGTTAAGATAAGAAAGGCAGGCTACAGAAGGGAAGGGAAACTTTGCCCTTCAAACTGATTGGAGAATGTGATTTATGACTGCTAATTGGAGGAGGGATTTGTGCTTGAATATTATGTGCTCAGGGGAGGGGAATTCAGATCTTGGCATCCACCATGTTCACGTGGAAGGGTGTTACACTAATAAAGAGACTTTAAGGTAAACAATGCCTTGAGGTTCTTTGAAGTATTCCCCGAATCGGAACCATGACATCGCCCTAAGTCACTTTTTTAGTGACGTCGTAGCTTTGAATGGTCACTAAATGAACAGTTGTAAGTCGAGGACTACCTGTACTTGCAGAGGTTAAAATGCCCAGTATTATGGCTTCCTCCAAGTCAGGGCATCCATGATCGTGCAATTGAAGCCCCGCCCCCTTTTTTTACACCTGTCCCACAGCAGACAAGGGAAAGTGTTTGCTTGCATAGCTGCAGCCTTTTGTGACCGTTTGTATACTCACTTTCATCCTCTCTTCAATTACCTGAAGGTTGCAAGACCTTAAAGTTGAACCTCTCATGCCGTAAAGTCTTGACTGAGACCAATATCTCGGAGAGAGATTCATCCACAGGGAAGGAGAAGTGAGAGCCATCCACACGATTGTGGGCTATTTTAACAGGAGCGGCATTCAGGGATATCTCCAGTAGGCCAAGGGCGCTAGAAAGTTGTTTTTTCTTCATGTTCACATAGTAGCCACCGGAAAAGGATGCCAATTCTTCATAGACGTTGTCATAAGCTCTTCGAGAGGCTCTCGGGTTCCTCTTAAGAGGTTCTGCCAAAATTAAAAACCACAAGTACAGCATAGGTGGCACCATGCTCAATAGCAGTAACTGTGAGAGGGACCTCGGAGTCCTAGTAGACAATCACTTAAATATGAGCCAGCAGTGTGCTGCAGCTGCCAAAAAAGCCAACAGAGTGCTAGGCTGCATTAACAGAGGGATAGAATCAAGATCACGTGAAGTGTTAATACCACTTTACAATGCCTTGGTAAGGCCACACTTGGAATACTGCATCCAGTTTTGGTCACCACGATGCAAAAAAGATGTTGAGACTCTAGAAAGAGTACAGAGAAGAGCAACAAAGATGATTAGGGGTCTGGAGGCTAAAGCATATAAGGAACGGTTGCTGGAATTGGGTATGTCTAGTTTAACGAAGAGAAGGACTAGGGGGGACATGATAGCAGTATTCCAATATCTCAGGGGCTGCCATAAAGAAGAGGGAATTAAGCTATTTTCCAAAACACCTGAAGGCAGGACAAGAAGCAATGGATGGAAACTAATCAAGGAGAGAAGCAACCTAGAACTTAGGAGAAATTTCCTGACAGTCAGAACAATTAATCAGTGGAACAACCTGCCTCCAGAAGCAATGAATGCTCCAACACTGGAAGTTTTTAAGAAGAGACTGGACAGCCATTTGTCCGAAATGGTGTAGGGTTTCCTGCCTGAGCAGGGGGTTGGACTAGATGACCTCCAAGGTCCCTTCCAACTTTACTACTACTACTACTACTACTACTACTACTACTACTACTATTATTATTATTATTATTACATTTCTTCTTTTAAGTGGCTCCTCCTGAATTTACCAAAGGGAGGCAAATCGTTTTAGGAAAGGGCCTTTTTGTTCCTCTAAAGCAGTGTTTCTCAACCTTGACAATTTTAAGGCATGTGGACTTCAACTCCCAGAATTCCACAGCCAGCAATGCTGGCTGTGGAATTCTGGGAGTTGAAGTCCACATGCCTTAAAATTGTCAAGGTTGAGAAACACTGCAAAGGTAGTCTTTTGACTTACGACCACAACGGAGCCCAGAATTTATGTGGCTAAAGGAGAAATTTGTTAAGTGAGCTTGACCCCATTTTACGACTTTTCCTGCCACGGTTATGAAGTGAATCACTGCAGTCGTTAAATTAGTAACACGGTTGTCAAGTGAAACGGGCTTCCCCCATTGACTTTGCTTGTCAGAAAGTCGTTGCAAAAAAGGATCCCCGGGTCACCGCAACCGTCATAAATATGAACCAGTTGTCAAGCCTCTGAATTTTGATACATGACCATGGGGATGCTGCAGTGGTCATAAGTGTGAAAAACAGTCATAACTCACTTTTTTTCAGTGCCGTTGTAACTTTGAATGTTCACTGTTGTAAATCGAGGATTACTTGCACCTGCTATTTATCATTTTTATTTAATGTGGTTTTATACATTGGGACCGGGGCTTATATGACATGCTAGCTGAAGCTGACTCCAAGTGAGACAGTTATTAAGTGAGTTTTGCCCCATTTTACCACATGTGAGTCACTGCAAGTGTTAAGTTAGTTACACTGTTGTTAAAGGAACCTGCCTTCCCCACTGGAGTTGCTTGTCAGATGGTCATAACAGGAAGGTAATCACAAGATCTTGGGACGCTGCAACCCATTATAAATATGAGTCAGTTGCCAAGCATCTGAATTTGGAAGGAAAGAAGGAAGGAAGGAAGGGAGGGAGGGAGGGAGGAAGGAAGGAAGGGAGGGAGGGAGGGAGGGAGGGAGGGAGAAAGGAAAGAAGAAAGGAAAAAAGGAAAGAAGGAAAGAATGAATGAATGAAGGAAGGAAGGGAGGGAGGGAGGGAGGGAGGGAGGGAGAAAGGAAAGAAGATAGGAAAAAAGGAAAGAAGGAAAGAATGAATGAATGAAGGAAGGAAGGGAGGGAGAAAGGAAAAAAGGAAGGAAGGAAAGAAGGAAAGAATGAAGGAAGGAAGGAAGGGAGGGAGAAAGGAAAAAAGGAAGGGAGGAAAGAAGGAAAGAAAGAATGAAGGAAGGAAGGAAGGAAGGAAGGAAGGGAGGGAGGGAGAAAGGAAAAAAGGAAGAAAGGAAAGAATGAAGGAAGGAAGGGAGGGAGGGAGGGAGGGAGGGAGAAAGGAAGGAAAGAAGGAAGGAAGAAAAGAAGGAAGAAAGGAAGGGAGGGAGGAAGGGAGAAAGGAAGGAAGGAAGGAAAGGAAAGAAGGAGAGGAAAGAAGGAAAGAAGAAAGGAAAGAATGAAGGAAGGAAGGGAGGGAGGGAGGGAGGGAGAAAGGAAAGAAGAAAGGAAAGAAGGAAAGAATGAATGAATGAAGGAAGGGAGGGAGGGAGAAAGGAAAAAAGGAAGGGAGGAAAGAAGGAAAGAAAGAATGAAGGAAGGAAGGAAGGAAGGGAGGGAGGGAGAAAGGAAAAAAGGAAGAAAGGAAAGAATGAAGGAAGGAAGGAAGGGAGGGAGGGAGGGAGGGAGGGAGGGAGAAAGGAAAAAAGGAAGAAAGGAAAGAATGAAGGAAGGAAGGGAGGGAGGGAGGGAGGGAGAAAGGAAGGAAAGAAGGAAGGAAGAAAAGAAGGAAGAAAGGAAGGGAGGGAGGAAGGGAGAAAGGAAGGAAGGAAGGAAAGGAAAGAAGGAGAGGAAAGAAGGAAAGAAAGAAAGAAAGAATGAAGGAAGGGAGGGAGGGAGGAAGGAAGGAAGGAAAGGAAAGAAGGAGAGGAAAGAAGGAAAGAAAGAAAGAAAGAATGAAGGAAGGGAGGGAGGGAGGAAGGAAGGAAGGAAAGGAAAGGAGAGGAAAGAAGGAAAGAAAGAAAGAATGAAGGAAGGAAGGAAGGGAGGGAGGAAGGAAGGAAGGAAGGAAGGAAGGAAGGAAGGAAGGAAGGAAGGAAGGAAGGAAGGAAGGAAGGAAAGCTCATAGAACCATTCCTTGTAAGCAGATTTCACTGCTCAGGGTCCCCTCTCTGAGGGAGATTGGCAGTCTAGAAACACAATAAACAAACAAACAAACAAAATAAAATAAAATAAAACAAACAAACAAATAAATAAATAAACTTCAGTTAGCCTGCTCATTCTGTCTGGAAGGGTATGCTTTGGGTACCTTCAACATGGGAAATAAAATGAGCAGAGGTCCAGAAGCAGCGTACCTCCATCGCTTCCTCAGCCCTCTGGACCAAGTTCCCTCCGAGATCTGGGTTTCATTCTAACCATTTTTCCAGACAGTGGTTAAAACCTGGCTATCCCACTGGCCTCTGTGTCGGCCTCCAAAATTTAGTTTATAGTCCTGGAATTCCATAGTTGTCTCCCATCTAAATAATAGCTAAGCCCAACTTTACTTAGTTTTTGAACTCAAACAATGTCAACAGATTTTTTTTTTTTAAAAAAACAATATTTCTTTACCTTGGGAATTGGAAGAGATGGGAACTTCTAGTCTCAGAATTTGAGCTTTGCTGGCTGGGGAATTCTGGGAGTTGAAGTCTATCCGTCTTCAAATAATCAAGATTGAGAAACACCACTTGAGCCTCTTCCAAAAACATATCCCAGCCGGTCCTTATGGTGACCTCACTGCAATACATCATCCCCATCTTTCCTCTCCTTCTCAGAAGAGTACCTCTTTTTAATACAGATAGTCCTCAACTTACAACCGTTCACTTAGTGATAGTTCGAAGTTACAATGGCACTGAAAAAAGTGACTTCTGACCATTTTTCACATTTACGACTATTGCAACATCACGTGTCCAAATCCAGATGTTTGGCAACTGACTCATATTTATGACGGTTGCAATGTCCCGGGGGCCATGTGATCCCCTTTTGTGACCGTCTGACAAACAAAGTTAATGAGGAAGCCAGATTCACTTAACAAACATTGTTACTAATTTAACCACTGTAGTGATTCTCTTAACAACTCTGGCCCGAGAGAATGTTAAAAAGGGGGCAAAATTCACTTAACAACTGTCTCATTTAACAACCGAAAATTTTGGGCTCAATTGTGGTTGTACGTTGAGGACTTACGGTTCCCTGATCAATGAAAGATGCCTGTGGCCAGGGACATCTGCATCTTCCTGAGATTCCATGGAAATGTCACTCATGGCATCATGGCCTCAGCACCATCCAATGAGGTGTAAAAGGGGTGGAGTTTGAATCTTGACCTCATGACGCCCCCTTCCACGTTGGCCCTTCCTGTTTCTCCCCACTAATACTCATGGCGCAGCAGTTAGAGTGCAGGCCACTTTAGCTGACTGTGTTCAGCAGGTCAGCGGTTCAAATCTCACCGTCTCAAGGTTGACTCAGCCTTCCATCCTTCCGGGGTAGGTAAAATGAGGACCCAGATTGTTGGGGGCAATGTAAATATATATATATATATATATATATATATATATATATATATATATATATATATATATATATATATATTTTGTTTTCTGAGGTTTTCGCGGGTATTTGTATATAGGTCTTTGGTTGTTCGGGTTTTCTCCCGCGTAAAATTGGAAGTGTCTTGGCAACGTTTCGACGAAGTCCCATTCGTCATCTTCAGGCTGGTTTTTCAGCTTCGTGCTTCGAGCAGCAATGTGTGGTCTTAGCTGTTTCTTCCTTTCTGCCAGTAGGGAGAAAGGAAGAAACAGCTAAGACCACACATTGCTGCTCGAAGCATGAAGCTGAAAACACCAGCCTGAAGATGACGAATGGGACTTCGTCGAAACGTCGCCAAGACACTTCCAATTTTACGCGGGAGAAAACCCGAGCAACCAAAGACCTACATACAAATACCCGCGAAAACCTCAGAAAACATATATATATATATATATATATATATATATATATATATATATATATATATATATATATATATATATACATTGCTTACTGGTATACACCGCTTAGAGAGTGCTTGCACTTAAAGCGGTATATAAGTCTCATAAATAAATAAATGGCTGTTAGCGTGGTTTTCTTCAGTGACCATAGATGCCAGAAAGGCAGCAAGGCTTTCCTTCAGGATGTTTCAGATCCCCAGGGATTCTGGCTTACCATCTCGTACATAAATTTTCTTTGCAGCTTCAGTGGCCATTTCAGCAACTTCCTTGTGCAAATAGGAGTGAGAGGAGAGCAGGGGGTCAGTGGCCCCTTTATTGTTTTCCCCAGGAGCAGAGGGGTCTTGGGTCGCCTCATTTTTCCCGCCGGGTCCACATTTGTCTGCATGAGGGAAACAAAAAACATAATAAAAATGCACATTAAAAAGGAGGAGAGTTTTGATTGCGTAGTTGCGGTGGCTGTTTTTTTTTTTTTTTTACTTTTTAAAACATTTATGGAGGCATCCATTTTTCAACCAATTCCGTTGGCTCCCAATCAAAAATGAAAAGACATTTAAAATTACGGGTAGTCCTCGACTTACCATGGTTCACTTAGTGACCAATCGAAGTTACAACGGCACTGAAAAAAGTGACTTATGACTGTTTTTCATATTTACGACCGTTGCAGCATCCCCACGGTCACGTGATCAGAATTCACTGTTGAATTAGTATCAAGTCAATCACAGGTCATGTTTTGGGAATAACTGCTTTTTTTTACTTAGCTGCCTTCTCCCAAATCATTACAGATATAAGTAGTCCTCAAGTTACGACAGCCTCAGAAAAAGTGATGTATGACCTGTCCTTGCACTTATGACCATATAGCATCACTTCTGCAATCATGTGGCTGCAATTACAACTACAATTGCAGCATCCGGTTACCCATTAAATTCAATTCTACAGATTACGTACTTTTCTTATAATTCTGGACAGTTTGTTGAGAGCTTAAACTTTTCAAACAGTACAACTGTTTGAATTATTTGGATTCTTTTAATTTGGAAACCTATCTCACTTTTCTCTAACAGGACAACCTTTCTATATAGAGATATTCCAATGCTGTTAGCACAGTTGGTAGAGCAGATCAGGAAATCAACTCCAGAGGAAGGCTAAAATTATTTTTTTATTGAGATTGACTATAATAATAGAGTCTTGCAAGTCTGACTGATCTGTACCATTCTCCTTTCTTATATACTCAAGGAGATGTCTGTCTGGGCCTCTGCTGAATATTATCTGTCTATTGTGGACTTGAGATATTTCCCCCCCCCACCCCTTCTCTTTGATAATGGAGTTCGTGCATCTCCCTCAAAGTCATCTTTTTTACTCTCTACATTGTTGTCCCCAATTTGGGTCTGAACCTGGTGCCAAAGCTGATGAAGAACAACAGGCACGAAGTGCAGGTTTTGTTTCCTTTTATTGAAGCACTCGAAGAAAAGGGGTCCTGGCCAGAAAATGCCTAGGAACCCTGAACCATTTATTTATTTATTAGTAAAATTTATATGCTGCCCAATCCCTAGGGACTCAGGGCGGCGTACAAAATTAAAACAACAAGTATAACAATTAAAAATGAATACATTCACACAGCATGTCCCAATCGAATCCCGGCCCCCCCGGGGACATCAACTCCAGGCCTGCCAGAACAGGAGAGTTTTAATAGCTTTCTTGAAGGCCGGCAAGGTGGGAGTAGTTTGAATCTCGGGGGGGAAGTTGATTCCACCACGTCAGAGCCACCATAGAAAAGGCCCTTCCCCGAGGGCCCGCCAGCCGACATTGTCTGGCCGACGGGACCTGAAGGAGGCCCAATCTGTGGGACCTCACCGGTCTCTGGGAACTATGTGGCAGTATGCGGTCCTGTAAGTAACCTGGTCCTAAGCCATGAAGGGCTTTAAAGGTGACAACCAACACCTTGAATTGCATCCGGAGACCCACAGGAAGCCAGTGCAGCTCGCGGAAGATAGGTGACACGTGGGTGTACCTTGGTGCACCCACAATCGCTCTTGCGGCTGCATTCTGAACCAACTGCAGCCTCTGAACGCTCTTCAAGGGTAGCCCCATGTAGAGCGCATTACAGTAGTCCAGTCTTGAGGTGACAAGGGCATGAGTAACCGTGAGTAGAGCCTCCCGGTCCAAATAAGGCCGCAACTGGTGCACCAGGCGAACCTGGGCAAAGGTCCCCCTGGCCACAGCCGATAGATGTTGTTCCAAATTTAGCTGTGAGTCCAGGAGGACACCCAAGCCTGCACTGAGGGAGGTAAATTCCCCCCCCCCCCAGGACTAATGATGGACCATCAGAATGACCCTTGGGGGGCAAGACTGAGAGCCACTCGGTCTTGTCAGGGTTGAGTCTAAGCCTGTTCACCCCTATCCAGACCCTCACATCTTCCAGGCACCGGCACATCACGTCGACTGCTTCACTGAAAGGACAAGGGGTGGAGATATATAATTGGGTATCATCCACATACTGATGATACCTCACCCCGTGTCGCCGAATGATCTCACCCAGCGGTTTCATGTAGATGTTAAAAAGGAGGGGGGACAGGACCGAGCCCTGAGGCACCCCATAATTGAGGTGCCTAGGGGTCAATCTCTGTCCGCCCGCCAACATCGACTGCGACCTGTCAGAGAGGTAGGAGGAGAACCACTGCAATTTGGTGCCGCCCACCCCCACCTCTCTGAGACGACGCAGAAGGATACCATGGTCGATGGTATCGAAAGCCACTGAGAGGTCAAGAAGCACCGAGATAGAGGAATGACCCCTATCCCGGGCTCGCCAGAGGTCATCGGTCAGTGCGACCAAAGCAGTCTCAGTGCTGTAGCCGGGCCTGAAGCCAGATTGAAAAGGGTCCAGATAATTCGTTTCATCCAAGGATCGCAAGAGTTGGGACGCCACCACCTTCTCTATAACCTTCTCCACAAAGGGAAGGTTGGAGACAGGACGAAAGTTCTTCAAAACAGCTGGGTCCAGGGAAGGCTTCTTGAGGAGGGGCCTCACCACTGCTTCCTTCAAAGGTTGCGGGAAAGACCCCTCCATCAAAGAGGCATTGATTATCGCCTGGAGCCAGCCTCGTGTCACCTCCCTACTGGCAGAAATCAGCCAGGAGGGGCACGGGTCCAATAAACAGGTGGCGGCATTCATCGCCCTCATGGCCTTGTCCACTTCATCAGAATCAAGAACAACCTGCCTCCAGAAGCAGTGACTGCTCCAACACTGGAAATTTTCAAGAAGAGACTGGTTAGCTATTTGTCTGAAATGGTATAGGGTTTCCTGCCTAAGCAGGGGGTTGGACTAGATCAGTGGTTCTTAACCTGGGCGATATTGCCCCCCAGGGGGCAATTTCATTTTTCAGGGAGGCGATGGAAGGAAAAGAGGCGACGTGCGGGCGAAGGAACAAAAAGGGAGCGATAAGGGGGTGATGGAGCGAGAAGTTTTGGGGACACTTTTGAGACTTTTTTGTACAGTGAATGGCTGTATATCTGTCGTACAAAAACATCAGATCGCTCGCTATTGGTGGATTGAATTGTGTTTTCAAATGTTCCACCAGCTAGCTTCAGTACAGAACGCCGTACAGATGTGAATACGCATCGCTTATCTTCATGCGCGTTGCGCAGCAGCCTCTACCCATACAGTGGCGCGCCATTGGCCAGAATGGGCAGTGATGGAGGGGGGAGCGCTTTGGATTTCACATTCCAGTTTGTGTCTTTTAAATCCTTTTTAGAGTGTGCATGACTATATATACTTTCCTCGAATCTTAATTTAGTTTCAGAGTTTTTGTCTTGAAATTCTTAGTTCTTGCATTGCGGTTTGTTCTTATGCCCTTTTTATATTTCTTTTTGTGTCTTAAATTTCTTGTAATCCAATCATTAAATGTTACTGTTTTTCTTTTCAGACATTTCACTTTCTTGCAATTGAATTTTGTTTTCAGTGGTCATTACATTTAAGTGTCTTGAATAAATAAGATAATAATGAAATACACGTATCACGAAGTTTGGGAATAAAGTGACGGGTGGCACCAACATTTTTCACACAGTTGAGATATGGGGAAAAGCCTGGAAATAAATTATTTGCATCGATATATCCTGATGACAATTTTAAAGAAAACAAAAAAAGTGTTTGCATAAATTGAAGAATTATTTCCTATGTTGTGATTGAGAGGTTGTGTTGGGGGAGGGGAGCGATGACAACTTCCGCATTGGCTCAAGGGGGCGATTCTTTCAAAAAGGTTAAGAACCACTGGACTAGATGACCTCCAAGGTCCCTTCCAACTTTACTATTATTATTATTAAGAAAAGTTTATACATTTTTCACTAAAGCAGAAGGAGGGGGTAAGGTGGGATATATAAGAAATATCATCTGATAATGATCTAACAATTATTCTAAGCCTTGGTTAATAATGCTTCAGGAGTTATCTAATACACATTCTATTTTGCTCCAGGCCATCCCTATTCCTAGCTTCTAGCTGAGCTATGCAAGATGCCTAACTCTTTATTACATTTATTAGATTTCTTAGAACCCAGAATTGTTACAAGTTTTTACACCTGCATAAGCTTTATACGTGTGAATAAGCATTCTTTGTTCTTGCCAGACAGACTCCACAATTACAGGCTTTCTGGTCTTCTTTCAAGTGTATGCAATAACTTTGCTTTGTTTTAGCAGCCATCGCATCAACATCTCTGTTAAAGATGTCATGAATATAAAAAAAGAAAGAAATGGATCCCTCACATATTTGCCCTTACCATATTTTTATTTTTATTTTTTTTAATGTTTCATTTCTTTGTTTGATTGTTGCGATCTGCCTGGAGTTGTTGAGAATCAGGTGGCACGTAAGTTAATATATTCTTATTAATGTTTTTTTCTTAGTCTTAGCCTGGCTGAGATCCTAAGATCAACAGAAGGCATTTAGACAACAGATCTTCTTCGAGTTGGTTACAAACAGAAAGCACTACTTTATGTTCTCTAGCCAAAATGTACATCAAATGTGTACATCAGATCTCAAAAACAATGAAAAATTACTGATTTCTTTTTCTAGAGGTGCAGCTCCAGCGAACATTTGTGAGCAGATGACTGTCGTGGAGGCAAAGGGAAAAAAAAAATTATAGACCAAGTAAATGATCATAAAGCCCCTATTGTTCCTGGCCAGATATTACAGACAAAAGAACTTCAAATATTGCAGCTGAAATAGCTGTTGCTAAGAGACATTTAAATCCCAGCTACCCAGAAGCTGTAGAAAATCTTAAATCCCTGACCAATAAGGGTAAACCTTATGCTTTCCCTTAACACAAAGCGTATCATGAAATCTCAACTCTGAAGATACCTCCGCTTTCTCGAAACCAGCATTTCATAACCTTGGCAATTTCAAGATGTGTTATTGGGGAATTTGGGGAGTTGAAATGCATCTTGGAGTTGCCAAAGTTAAGAAACATTGATCTTCTAAATTTTGCCACTGCATTCAAGGTCAGGTAGTTCTCAACTCACAACTACAAAGGAGCGCAAAAGTTGTGTTGTTAAGACATTTGCTAAGTGAGTTTTGCCCCATGCCGCAACCTTTCTTGCCACCGTTGTTAAGTGAATCACTGCAGTTGTTAAGTTGGTAAGATGGTTGTAAAGAGAATCTGGCTTCCCCACTGACTTTGCTTGACAGGAAGTTGCAAAAAATTATCACGTGACACTGCAACGGTCATAAATATGAGTCCATTGTCAAGAGCAGTGGTGGCAAACCTATGGCACGGGTGCCAGAGGCGGCACTCAGAGCCCTCTCTGTGGGCACGCGTGCCGTCACCCCAGTCCTAGGCCTTCAGCTGGGTTTTATGAAACCTTTTCGCTTTAGGCCTCTGCCGCTATGTGCAAAAAAAAAAAAAAAAAAAAGGTTCAATCAGTCAATTTCAACTTCTCGTGGGAAAAAAAAGATCTTGCAAAGTTGGAATTGATTGATTGAACTTTTTAGTCCCACCCAGTCTGTTGTTACTACCGCAGCCACGCCCACCCAATGGGGCACACCCAACCAATTGGCCACACCCAGCCAATGGGCCACACCTACCCGGCACTCGACGATGCATAAGTGAGTTTTGGGTTGCAGTTTGGGCATTCAGTCTCTAAAAGGTTCGCCATCACTGGTCAAGAGTCTGAATTTTGATTATGTGACCATGGGAGATGTTGTCATAAGTGAAAAAATGGTCATATGTCATTTTTTTCAGTGCCATTGTAACTTTGAACAGTCACTAAATGAATGGCTGTAAGTTGAGGACTACCTATATAACACAGCCAACCACCTGTCAAGTCCAAAGCACATTTTTGCTGGTCTGACAATTATTGCTTCTCAGCTTGCCAACGAACTTAGGGGGAGGGAAAAGGATTGGAATGCAGACTTCAAAAGATCAAGAAAGCAGACCGTGAGACCCAAGGACAATTCACCAGGTGTCTGGCCAGACCCAGAGACACTTTCTCATAACAATATCTTTCCACCTAATTGGGCAATGTGACCTGGCCAAGAAGGAGGAGGGGGAATTCTATACTTTTACTATATGGGATTGGGTGGGGTTTTGCCAGAGCTGGTTTTGCTTGCATGCATGCTGAAATGATGTACTCAATAAAGTCTTACATTAAGAGTTCGGAAAGCCTCGAAGGTGTTTACTTGGTTGGGTTCGTCATTCAGAACCTTGACACTACCCACCCATTTGTTCCCCAATCTCACTTAATCATAGCTATGTTGGCTAGAGAGAGGTGTGGAAAGGAAGGTGCTGGAAGTTCAACAGTAGGGCAGATTGGCCCCTTGAATATGACCTCCCGGAATTCAAGGGTGGCAGCGCAAGGCACCTGTGACATGTCTAAACATCTTACCTGAGCTTAGTTGCTTTCTTGGAGATGTTTCATTGCCCAAATTAGATAACATCATCAGTGCTAATGGACTAGCACTGATGATGTCACCTAGTTTGGATAATGAAATGTGTGCTAGAAAGCAACCAAGCTCAGAGAGCACCAAGGACCCATCATTTCAATCCAGAGCTACAAATATTCTCCTTTATTGAAACAACTTACTTATTCTCTTGCCACTTTACCAGCACTTTACTTCCATCACTGCCATTGCCAAATACCTGTCACCCACATCGAATTCTTCTCATTTCCATCTCTTTTTTCTTTCTTTTCTTTTCACTCTGCCCTAAACACTTTTGTGGGAACAAGTGTGTTAAGTTCCTGGCTAGACTAAACACACTTACTTCAGTCTAGACTTGGACTATCTAAAACTGGCTGGTCTACATGTGAATATTTAGATTTTTCTAGAAGGGACTTTTGGGGAGAGGGGTACCTTCCGAATACTCCCAATATTGAATATTAGCTTTTGATCTTCATCAGAAGTGGCAAAGGTTAGAACTTTGCAGAAGTTCATATATTTTGCTTGGAATATGCATTCCAGCCTTTCCCAGGATTCCTAGCCTCGGTTCTATTTATTCATGAATAGGAAAAAAAAACGATGATTTATTGTCAGTCAGTCATATTTGTGAAGACAAATTGGTAATGAAAATTTAGTGACATCCCCTGAATGGGCACTATACCAAATAAAAGTGTCCCTGATGCCTTTGCAGGCTGAATACATTTTGATTTTGCTTATATTTTTGGAGGAAAAATATAAGAAACACAATGTCACCGAAATTTAGCAGTTAAAAACTAGGAAGGAGAATTTTGTCCATCAGAAAAAAAATGGTTTAGTTATAAGTGACTTGCATGGTGTGCTGAAATGTAATCATTAAGCAATGTCTTCTTTTGTTTTTGTATAGCACATGCTGCTGGTCCGACCCAGAACTGGAGAAAGACAGGAGAAGAGAGAAAAAGATGGGGAAAAAAAACATGGAAAGAAAATAAGAGCTGCAGAGATTGTTTTAGAAGGGAATAGCTGGGGAGAAAAGAGAGAAAAGCTGGAGAGTAAAGTGGATATGAGTATGAAGAGCAGTTGATAGAACATAGAATAATAGAGTTGGAAGGAATCTGGTGGTTCTCAGCTGGTTCTCAGTAGCAGAAGAAAAATCTATGATAGCTTTTCTGAAGGAAGAGAACCCAAGTCCTAGAAAGATATCTTCACCCAAGATAGGAAAGAAGGAGAAGGTGGCTGTGGGCAGAAGGTCTTTAATAAAGCCCTAGTATCTGGGGAAGAACTGGCAGAAGACTCCCCAAAGAGGTCCTTCTCTCAACAGAGAAGACACAGAAAGGGATCAGCTAAGTAGATCCAAGGAAAAGAGATGAGCAGTGCTGAGCACATTCATTTGTGAATCCAACACATTCCTCCCTTCTAGGCTTTCTTGATAATCCTGGAAATGGGGGAAGGAGATGTAGTGAAGTATGGTGAGGAAACGAAGCATTCAGGAGGAGCGTTAGAGGCCAATAGACTCTCGGTGAAAGGCCTAAGAAGAAACCTGACCTTTGTGGAAACCAGGATTTTGTTGTTAATATCTATTGTAAATAGTTTTGCTATATACGGTAAAGAAGATCCATAAGATCCACTATCTTGGTTCTCTATGTTGGTTACCATCCTTGTAACCTTAACCACACCTCCAGTCATAAAAAGAACCTAGTCACACCATGGCAGATGGAAAGAATGGACCTCCTGGGGTCATACGAAGCTTCCTGATTTTTCAGGATTTCACCAGAGGGAAAATGGTGGAGGATCCATTTGTACCTGGAGGAAAGCAGGACACATCATATGAAGACCTTCCCACCCTTCCACCGGTTACCTTCAAAACAGGCTTTCAATGGTTCAGTTGCATTCTTCTTTTTCAGCATTCCCCCTTTCTTGAGATGTTTTCCAGGCGAAGGGTTTTTCTCCATGATTGCCTGCATCATCCTCTTTTCTGTGATATTGGCATCAGCGAAATCGCTTGAAGCAAAGCCCTCCAATTCGTGGTTGTGATAAAGCCCATTCACAAGTCCCACACAGAGAAGCAAAAGAAGTTCTCTGGACAACAGCATAGTTTGTGGATAGACTTGGGCAAGCAGTACAAAACTAAATGAGTTTTTCCCCAGGTCTGCCTCACAACCTCTGCCTGCCTGCCTGCCTTGGCTGTGGGTGTTAAATAGCTGAACTGATATGGGGGTGGGTGGTGGGTGGGAAAAGGAGCCGCTGCCAATTGTTCATCTTCTTTTTTTCATATTGAAATTGCCTTTCTAATGAAATCAGGATCATGCCCTCCAGCTGCAAGGAGGAACGTTACAAATGGAGTTTTTGACCAGTTGCCAGACTGGTATTTGCTGAAGCACCATGGGTTGGAGTGGGGGAGTATGTGAGTCCTGTTTGTTTAGGTCAGTGTTTTGCAATCTTGGCAACTTTAAAGATGTGCGTACTTCAACTTTGACATTAAAAACCTTTCACTGTGTTTTTGCTTTGAAAGCATTGTGCCTTAAAGACCTTGACACTTTCTAAGTTTTTCCGGCACAAGAGCACAATGCAGCCTTCTAATAACAGAATTGAAGAATAACAGTGTTGGAAGAGATCTTGGAGGTCCTAGTCCAGGGGTCCCCAACCCCCAATCCGTGACTGGTACCGGTCTGTGGCATGCCACAAACAAGTAAAGGCCCATCTGTAGAATGCAGGCAACACACAAAACCACGCACTCTCCGGTCTGTGGAAAAACCTTTCTTCACAGAACCGGTCCCTGGTGCCCAAAAGGTTGGGGACTTCTGTTCTAGTCCATCTGCCTGTTCTAGCAGAAAACCTTAAACCATTTCAGACAAATGGCTGTCCAATCACTTCTTAAAAAAAACTCCAGTAACTTATATATAAATTTTAATATTTTATAGATTGTATTTTTTTTCTCTTTCCTTATATTTCTTATTTTTATTTTATCTTATTTTACTTCTTTTTTTATATATACATCTTTTCTTCTTTCTTTTCTCTTTTATTCCTTTTCTTTTTAAGCATTTTTCTTTTTTAGTATTTATGCTTTTCTTTTTTACATATACATTATTGTTAATTATCTTATAAGCTTATGTAATGTATTCAGATATATTTATGGTTTATACTTTTTTAATTTCTTTTTAAGATTTTTAGAAATTTTAATTAAGCCTATATTCAGCTCTGGGAAGGTTGGGGGGGATGGAGTGGGAGGGTTGGGGTGGTTGGGTAGGGTTGTTTTTTGTTTTTTATCTTTTTTTTTCTCTATTTGTAAAAATTTTAAAAATTTTCAATTAAAAAAAAAAAAACTCCAGTGACGGAGCACCTACAACTTCTGGAAGCAAGTCATTCCAATGATTAATTGTTCTCCTTAATTCCAGGTTGCTTCTCTCCTTGATTAGTTTCCATCCATTGTTTTTTTTGTCCTGCCCTCTGGTGCTCCGGAAAATAAATGGACTCCCTCTTCTTTGTGGCAGCCTCTCAGATACTGGATGGATATTAAGATGGGCCATCATTTTCCCATTTGGACATATGGAATGCTAGTCTCACCCTCAAACTGGAGTCTGTGAGGGTCTGGATGGGAGGGAGCAGGTTACACCTCACCCTGGCAAGATGAAGTAACCACTGGGTCTTTGGGTTCCCTGGATCTGGTGATTTTTTCCATCTTTACCTCTTTATGGGATAACATCCCCCAGACAGAGCTGGTGTGCAGTCTGGGAATCCTCCTGGACTCATGGCTGCTGCTCAGAAAGAAAGTGGCCGGTGTAGTCAAGGGGGCATTGCACAGATTCATCTTTTGCACTAGCTGTAACTATGTCTGCTCTATGCACTATCACTTCCTGATTGGGTTACTGCAAGGTAATCTATATGGGGCTGACCTTAAAGAACATTTCAAAGGTGCAATGTTTAAGACAGTGATTGTGAACCTTTTAGAGACCGAGTGCCCAAACTGCAGCCCCAAACCCACTTATTTATCACCGGGTGCCAGGTGGGTGTGGCTGTGGTGCTCATGGCAGACTGGGTGGGTGTAGCCAAGGTGGGCATGATCACCTCAATGTTGCTTGTGGGGAGGGACACCTGTGGGGGCTGGGCAGGGTTGGGGGAAATCCAAGGGGTCTCTGGCAGGTGGGGCAGTGGGTAGGAGGCTTGTCCTTTGGGGTGAGGCAAGGCAAGGCGAGGCAGGGCGGAGTAGCCATTTATTTATTTATTTATGAGACTTATATACCGCTTTAAGTGCAAGCACTCTCTAAGCGGTGTACACCAGTAAGCAATGTATATATATTTACATTGCCCCCAACAATTTGGGTCCTCATTTTACCTACCCCAGAAGGATGGAAGGCTGAGTCAACCTTGAGCCGGTGAGATTTGAACCGCTGACCCGCTGAACACAGTCAGCTAAAGTGACCTGCAGTACTGCACTCTAACTGCTGCGCCACCTCGACTCATTATCGCCTCATTGTTGCAGGGCAAGGAGAGGCAGGGGCCGGGGTGGCTGCTGCCTGACACCATCGGACCCCTGCACACAGAGGCCAGAGAGCGCATGGGTGCTGGGATGCATCCAGCCACGTGGACCTTGGCGAGTTAGTGGGCGGCTGGTTGAAGAGGGACAGTTGCCATCTCTGGGGCATGGTGCGCGTGCCCACAGAGAGGGCTCTGAGTGCCGCCTCTGGCACGCGTGCCATAGGTTCGCCACCCCTGGTTTAAGATGTTGCTTGTTTAAGATGGGCGACTGTATTGATTTTCTAAATAGAAATAAATAAATAAATACTCTCAACAAACATAGTTACTTCTGAGGTTTGTTTTATTTTGGATCAGCCAGGGAGTTGGGGCAAAGGTACTTCAATTTGGCTGATTATGATCTCAATGTAAGGGGAGCCCAGGGACCAGAAATAAGATCCATTTTGCATCAGGACATTTCTTCAATGTACATCATCTCTGGAGTGAAAGTGAACAAAGGAACCTGCCTGAGAGATATAAGTTATTTTTCAGCATCTCTGTTCCCCAAGTCGTATCCATAAGAGTATCTGAAAAATTACTAGTCCTGACTTTCTGGCTAACAATTCTCTCTCTCTCTCTCTCTCTCTCTCTCTCTCTCTCTCTCTCTCTCTCTCTCTCTCCTCTCTGTGTGTTTAAGTACAACATTTCTCAATCTTGGCAACTTTAAGAGGGGTCTGGCTGGGGAATTCTGGGAGTTGAAGTTCACATGTCTTAAAGTTTCTGTGATTGAGAACCATAAGGCTGAAATTCAGCAGGTGCACTTTGAATTCTAGTGCTGAGAAGGGCCAATGGGAGAAGATGCATTTGTTGAATTTATAGTGGCCACAAGCTGTTCAAGAGAAAATCTATTGCTTTCTGGGCTCTTAATCCTTTGTCTTTGTCCTCAGTAACTCTCTGCTTGTTGAACTGGCGCTACAGCAAACACAATCTATAATGTGGTTGCAAATGGCCCTTAAAATTGTGTTGTATTCCCCTGAGGAGAGCTCACAAAGTCTATTCCAATAGATCTACACATATCTCCACATGATATTGCAAAGTGCATAGAAAATGGGCAGTGCTTTTGTTGTGATGTGGTTGCACTGCTTGTGTTATTCTCCCATTGTCCCCTGGATCCATCTTAACTTTCTTTGATATAAACAGGAGGGAGGGAGGCATAGAGGGAAAATGCCACCAGGCTTTCAAGATTCATTACTTACCATATCCTGCATTAATTTCTTTCAACCTCAGCAACTTTAAGATGCATGGGGGAATTCTGGGAATTGATATCCACATATCTTAAAAGTTGCTGAGGTTGAAAAACATTACTCTATATCAATAAAGTGGGCTCCAGGATTTCTGATACAATCTATTCCTTAACCTGGACTACCTTAAGGGCCTGATAGATACACCTTCCAGATTCATAGTTGACATTTTTAAATTTTTTGTAAAATTGCTGTTGTTATTTACACACAGTGTTCCAAATAGTTCTGACTGGATTCAGTACTTTTGGCTATAAAGGGACCCCCTGATTCCCATAGAATTGAAATTTGGCAAATTTTATAAAGCATTTTATGACATAATACAAAATGTCATTAAAATTTTCCTGTGGTCAACAGGGGTCCCCAATCCCTGGGCTGCGGACTACTACCAGTCCGTGGCCTGTTAGGAACTAGGCCGTACAAGGAAGCAAAGCCTCATTTGAGATCCAGGTACTGCGTGAAACCACATCCTCCTCTCTGGGCCATGGAAAAATTATTTTCCAGAGAATTTGTTCCTGGTGCCCAAAAGGTTGGAGCTGGCTGCTGTACAGTTCAACACTGACTATTTTCAAGGCAGATACATCCCTAATTTTTTAAGAACATTTGTAGTGAAAGCAGTGCATTAGGAGCTCTGCTATCAAGCGCCAGGTAAATCAGAAAATCCAGTCCATTCAAATGAGTATGAAGATTTATTGCAAGCTTAAGCTCTCTACAAGAATCTGAGCTACTAACAGTCAAAGCAAATTGGCAGTAGATAAGAGTCAAAGGAGTTCAAGGTGGGCTGGACTTAGATCTCTTGTGGTCCCAAAGGGATTCATGACTGATGACACGTTTGACCCCTTCCTCGAGCAGGGCCATCTCCTACATCTGCCATTGTTGATGACATTGAGGAATCTGGTAAGAAAATATCTCTTATCTTTGACCCAGGCTCATGGGTTGTCTAGTTTTGACTAAAGAGTAGAGGGTAAAATGCTTTAATGAAGACGAGGGGTAGGCGTAGGTTTTCTGTGGCCCATCGTGAAACTGCTTGTGTTTCCATCCTCATCACTCATCAAAACTTCCACAAAAGGATCACAGCAGGTTGACCTACAGAGGGGAGCAAAAATAACAAGGCGGATAAACAACAGGAGAGAGTGAAGGAGGAAGAGTTTGGATAGCTACAAGCTGAATGGGGACTAAAAACAAGACGCTAGAATGAAAGAATTCAGCAAGCAGTGAAAGATTTAAAGGGCATGACCAATTCACCAAGGCGACTCCGCTGTTAACATGTTTCATCAATGCAAAGTACAAGATGTCCTCTACTTACGACCATTCATTTAGTGACTGTTTGAAGTTACAACAAAACTGAAAAAAGTGACTTACAATCAATCCTTGCACTTATGAACCTTGCAGCATCCCTAAAGTCACGTGATCAAAATCCAGACCCTTGGCATGCGGCATTGTAGTTATTGATGGTTGCAGCGGGCCAGGGACATGCGATTTGTGGCCTTCCTGGCCAACCGGCTCCCAACAAGCAAAGTCAATGGGGTAATCTGGTTTCAATGAATGACTGCGTGACTCATTTAACAACGGCAGTGATTCACTTAACAACAGTGGCAAAAAAGGTCATACACTTGGGCACGACTCACTTAAAAAGCACCATGCATAGCAGTAGAAATTGTGGTTCCCAATTGTGGTTGTAAGTCGAGAATGACCTGTACTTATTTTCTTATGCTGCACAGTAAGGTGGCACATTTTTCTTGAAATGAAAACATACATTATTTTACTTTGATCCATGGAGAAAGAAAAGGAACAATTTTGAGAATATGGACTAGCATTCTGCAGGTTGAGGGCTGAAACTGGAGTTTGAATTGGATGCCTCGAAAATAACTAGCCAGGGCATGACAAAAATGAAATTTTGTTCACATTAAATTTAAATATAGTTGATACAATTATCCCCTACGAATATATTTAATATTTTTTTTCTTTATGTTCATAATTATAGTTTAGTAATAACTGGGAATTTAGAATGTCATTTTTTCCTCAAAATAAGGAATTGTTTTAATAAGATGGGGATTTGTAATGTCAATAATTAGTAATGTTACATGGAGGGAAAGAAATTTATTCTCTTGATGTTAAGAAATGGACTCAATATACGTGTTATGATATTATTGTTATTATTATTATTTGGAATTATGGGTCTATTCTAAAAATGAGAAGATGGAGCAATATTTTTTTTCTAAACAGTGTTTAAGGGCCAAATTAATTTCATATTGATATTATATAGTCATTCTGTCTTTTTCCTAATTTTCCTCTCCCATTATGTTCAGTTTGCTTTAAATCTTTATAATGTATGTAGGATTTCCATTATATAACTACTGACATTATTTTTGTTATTAATAAAAAAAATAAAGTCATTGTACTACTTTGATTTTTTGCATTGTAGAGAGAGTTAAAATAAATTTGTCACAAATTAAAAAAAAACTGGAATTCAAAACAAGAAAAAATAAAATTAAAACATACTTAATATATGCGCTGTCCTAAGTCCTAGAAGAGATCAACCCTGTCTGCTCTTTAGAAGGCCAGATCCTGAAGTTGAAACTCAAGTACTTTGGCCACCTAATGAGAAGGAAGGACTCGCTGGAGAAGTGCCTAATGCTGGGAAAGATTGAGGGCAATAGAAGAAGGGGACGACAGAGAATGAGATGGCTGGATGGAGTCACTGAAGCAGTAGGCGTGAGCTTAAACGAACTCCAGAAGATGGTAGAGGACAGGAAGGCCTGGAGGAACGTTGTCCATGGGGTCGCGATGGGTCGGACACGACTTTGCAATTAACAACAAAAATATTAGCTAATATTAATAACTATACATTTTGCCTTCTTTAGCGCCAACATTTTTTGCTACTGCTTACCTAATAAAGAACTGGCTAAAATCTCTGTAATAGTGGCAAATCTCTGTGTTTTGTAATTTTGATTTCAAATTAATAAAAGCATTACTCTAATTTTGGATTATTTTCCCCTGGGGAAAATATATTTCATAGCTGGGGATTAAATTAATAAAGACTGCCATCTCTTTGCATCTTTCTTTTCTATTTTTGCTGGAAACTTTGTAAGCTCCAGAGGGCGCTCTTAGCCTATCTCAGAATAGTTAGAAGCCTTTTGGTTTTCACAAATCCTCTGGAATAAGCACACAACCAGCATGCAAACTGTTACCAATGATTAATTATTCGGCTTATTCTTTACATATAACAAGAAGCTCAACCAATAATAATAAAGGCTGAGGGATATTGCTAGTGCTGAGGGATATTGTGTGCTGAAAAGTGGATAGTGCACATTCGTAAGGCAGGCAAGGGACAAAACAAGCTTTGGGGTGTCATGTTGTAAAGTCCAGGGCAGGGAAGGCGAAAGCTGAGATTTATTTACACTTACATTTACAAATAGTCTTCCGCTTTCCACCACAATTGAGACCAGAATTTTTGTGGTTAAACAAAGCGGTGGTTGTTAAATGAGTCATGCCCAATTTTACCATCTTTTTCCCTATGGTTTTTCAACGAATCACTTCAGTTAAGTCAGGGGTAGGCAACCTTGGCTCTGTTATGACTCGTGGACTTCAACTCCCAGAATTCCTGAGCCAGCCATGCTGAGGGGAAAGGAGAGGTTTCCAAGCTGAGCCATGCTGGCTCAGGAATTCTGGGAGTTGAAGTCCATGAGTCATAAAAGAGCCAAGGTTCCCCACTCCTGAATTAAGTGATTCATGTGGTCTTTAAGAGAATCTGACTTTTTCTATTGATTTGGCCTGTCAGAAGCCAGCTGGGAAGGTTGTAAATGGTTATCACATTACCTCAGGATGCTGCAACAGTTGTAAATACATGCCAGGTACCAAGCAACCAAATTTTGATCATGTGACCGTGGGGTTGCTTCGTCGGTTTTTAAGTGTGAGGAAATCTTATTTTTCAGTGCTGTTGCAACTTTGAATGGTCGCTAAATGAAAGGTTGTAAGTGGAGGACTACCTGTATTTATATCTCACCTTAATTACTATTACTTTTATAAATAACTCAAGGCAAAGACACCTAATACCCTTCCTCCTCCTCTTTCCCCCACAACAACCATCCTGTGAGATGAGTTGGGCTGAGAGAAGAGAGAGGGACTGGCCCAAAGTCACCCAGCCAGCTTTCATGGCTAAGGCAGAGCTAGAACTCCCAGTCTCCTGGTTTCTAGCTTGGTGTCTTAACTGCTAGAACAGTGGTTCTCAACCTGTGGGTCGGGACCCCATTTGGGGTCGAATGACCATTTCACGGGGGTCGCCAAACCACGCTGTCCGCCATTTTTTCTCTTTTCCCTAGCTGTCCTACTACCTCTTATTGGTGGCCACACCCACTTGGGGGTCACCACAACATGGGGAACTGTATTATGGGGTCACGGCATTAGAAAGGTTGAGAACCACTGTGCTAGAACAACCTGGCTCTCAATTGGGAATGGGGTATGTCCATTTTAATGAAGAGAAGGACGAGGGGGGACATGATAGCAGTGTTCCAAGATCTCAGGGGCTGCCCAAAGAAGAGGGAGTCAAGCTATTCTCCAAAGCACCTGAAGGCAGGAGAAGAAGCAACAGATGGAAACTAATCAAGGAGAGAAGCAACCTAGAACTAAGGAGAAACTTCCTGACAGTGAGAACAATTAATCAGTGGAACAACCTGCCTCCAGAAGTGGTGAATGCTCCAATACTGGAAGTTTTAAAGAAGACACTGTCTGAAATGGTATTTGTTATGTCTTGGGTCGGCAGGCACAGGCTGCAGCAATTGGCTTGGGCAGACCATGTGGATGCCCGGGACAAGAAAGGCTGCTCCCAGCCTTGTGTGCACACGCACGGCGGGAAAAGATCCTTTGCAATGATTGGCCAGCAAGGTATTGTGGAGGGGGGCTATAAAAGGGGGCCGCATCATCTTAAAATCTGTTCTGTTGGTGTTTGCAATAAAGGAGAACTGTTGGAACTCGTTGCTTCGTCTCAATCTCTTTTCCTGGAACAGAAAAGTATTGGGTTTCCTGCCTGAGCAGGGGGCTGGACTAGAAGACCTCCAAGGTCCCTTCCAACTCTGTTATTCTATTCTATTCTATTCTATTCTATTCTAGTCTAGTCTAGTCTAGTCTAGTCTAGTCTAGTCTAGTGTTCTCCTTCAACTTCAGATTAAAGGAATTTTCACAAAAAACAAAAGGAAGTTCAAGTAAAATTGAATTGGAAAGATTCAGGTTTGAAGTTTCTGTTACGTAGACAAGCATTATGTTTAAAACTGCAGGAAATTTAGTTTTTATTTTCAGGGTGGAATGCAATCATTTTAATTTTCTTTGCATCATTTTAAGCAGTCATTGCTAGAGACTAACTGGAGCAGCTGGTGGCCTAGAGGTGAAGATGCTCACCTCCCACTCAGAAGGTTGAGAGTTCAATCCTAGGCAGCAATAGATGTTTCTCTATCGGGGCAAAGAGAAAATACTTTTTGCGAAGTCTCTTTAGGAGTCAGGAAGAGCATCCAGCCAGTAAACACACAGCTCCATTCAGTTGCCCTGACCCCACCCCAAGCAAGGGAGTTTACAGGATCGTAGAAAGAAAAATGCTGGAGACTAACTGAGATTGTGGGAGTCTTACTTCTCCTAAACACCCCAATTAGCGAGAACAAAGCTAGATGAGGCTCCTTAGATCAGTGGTTCTCAACCTTTTAAATGCTGCGACCCCCAACCGGTTGTAAGTCGAGGACTACTCAGCAGGTCGTAAGTCAAGGACTACTCAACTGGTGCAGCACCGTTTGCAGAATGGGACTTTTGGCGGGCTCAGCAGGGCAGAGACAACCTGGACAATTCCTATTGGCCTTTGAAAGCCAATAGAATTAGACTCTATTCAAGAGAGTCTATTCTATTGGCTTTCAAAAGCCAATAGAATAAAAGGGAGTAGCACAGCTAAGGAAAAGGGAAAACAAAATGGCGGACTGCGTTGTTTGGCGACCCCCGTGAAATGGTCGTCCCGACCCACAGGTTGAGAACCGCTGCCTTAGATGAAAGACAGTGGCTGTAGGAGCTGCCAAATTTTTGAACTGAGGAAAATGGGTTTAATGTTCATTTCAAACTCCACACCTTCTCAAGTTTGCTGGGCAGTCTTGCGAAAGTGTAGAGGTTTGAAACAGAGTTAATCACACACTTTCCAGAGAATATAATGAAGCCAGAGAAAAGTGATCTTTCAGAAGCTGGCACCCTCTCAAGCCTGCTGAAATAACTGTGGCCCCCCATAGCTCTTCTCCTCATTTTGGGCCAGTGAAGGGGGGGGGAGGGAGAATGAACAGTACAAAAAGTGTACTTGAGGACCAGAAAGGAGGACTGAACTTCAGTGGTGCAGTGGTTAGAATGTAGTATTGCAGGCTGACTCTGCTCACTGCCAGGAGTTCGATCCTGACCAGCTCAAGGTTGACTCAGCCTTCCATTCTTCGGAGATTGGTAAAATGGGGGGGGGGGAGGGATATGCTGACTCTGTAAATCGCTTAGAGAGGGCTGTAAAGCACTGTGAAGCAGTATATAAGTCTAAGTCAGTGGTTCTCAACCTGTGGGTCGGGACCCCATTTGGGGTCGAACGACCATTTCACGGGGGTCGCCAAACAAGGCTGTCCGCCATTTTTTTCCCCCTTTTCTTTGGCCACGCCCCTGGCACCTGGTGATGTATAAGTGGTTGGGGGTCACCACAACATGGGGAACTGTATTATGGGGTCGCGGCATTAGAAAGGTTGAGAACCACTGGTCTAAGTGCTATTGCTGTTATTAAAGTGGCCACAACATAATAGTTGACAAAGCATCTTAGACTTTATACCTCTGGAGGTGCAGCAATTTGCCCTGGCATAACTCAGGACTGTTTGAGGCTCTGGCATGCAGATGTTAGACGAGACTGAGTGATTGTTGGTGCAGATGGGAAAAAGATTTTATGACTGATTTCCCCCCCCCTCCAGAACAATGGATGCATACGCACCTATATTCACAAACCATATGCTTCATATCACCTTCTTTTGGGGTGCAAGTGAGGCCAGAAGGATTTGCATTGATTGTGACGGTGACGGCACTTTGGGCATCTACTGCAGTGAATGACATTAGCCAAATATGAAGACGGCATTCTGGTACATTTTGGAAGTTGCCCCTACATTGCATGAAAAATTCTTTGAGATGGTACACAGGTGGGATCTCATCAGTCTCCTGTTGAATGGCAAATGTGTCGGTTAGTAATAAAACTAATTAGCCACAGTACATGAGTACATTAATTTAAAATTCAACTGCAAGGACATCTAGATATCCTTTTCACAATATGGCAGACCCTGGATCTCATAGGTACAAGGCACAGAAGACCAGGTCCACACACAAGGGTCTAAGTCAGGGGTCTTCAAACTTGGCCCTTTTATGACTTGTGGACTCCCAGAATTCCTCAGCCAGCCGCTGGCTGAGGAATTCTGGGAGTTGAAGTCCACAAGTCATAAAAGGGCCAAGTTTGAAGACCCCTGGTCTAAGTAAACTGATTTATTGCTAAAATGCCCAAATGCACAGGAATCTTGTCAACTAACACTTCACACCTGCTTGGAGGTCAACAGATTCTAAGAGGGGGAGGGGTCAACAGATTCTAAGAGGGGGAGGGGCTTGGACTTAGTCTGCTTGTGGCCACGTAGAGATTCAAGGCTGATCCTTCCTTTAACTCTGCCCTCAGATTCTATCATTCCTTCTCTACAATAGGACTAAAATTCTCAGAATTCTCAGCCAACTTCCTGAGAACCCTAGAACCTGCATTAGTTGGAACGGCACTGACTCTTTAGCTGACTCTTTCTTGAGAGGCTGCCACGAAGAGGAGGAGGGGGGGTCAATTTATTTTCCAAAGCAACAGAAGGCAAGACAAGAAACAACGGATGGAAACTAATCAAGGAGAGAAGCAACCTGGAATTATGGAGAAGCTTCCTAACAGTCAGGACAATTAGTGGAACAGCTTGCCTTCAGAGGTTGTGGGTGCTTCGTCACTGGAGATTTTTAAGAGACCACACAGCCACTTGTCTTAAGTGATATAGGGCAGTGGTGGCAAACCTATGGCACGGGTGCCAGAGGCGGCACTCGGAGCCCTCTCTGTGGGCACACGTGCCGTTCCCTAGTCTTGCCCCCCCTGTGACCCCCTCCTCTCCAGCATCTCCCCTGAAGGAGACTCGCCCTCGAGCGTGGCCCACACGGAGCAGCGTAGCCAAGGACATGGCAGCCAGGCAGCATAGACACCCCATCATGCAGTTGATGTTGCAGGGCACAGGCAGAGGGTGTGGCCACCATAGTGCTGTCTGGGCGATCTGTGGCGGGCCCTGGAGGCGGTGAGTGGTCCTGTGGGCAGACGGGGTGGCGGATTGGGGAGCAGAGCGGGGGCGGGGCCAGTTTTTGGGCACTCGGTCTCTAAAAGGTTCGCCATCACTGATATAGGGTCTCCTGTTCGAGCAGGGGGCTGGACTGGAAGACCTCCAAGGTCCCTTCCAGCTCTATTCTGATTCTGCCTACATTACGCTATCACTCTGCCTACATTACGCTCATTTCACCATAACAATTTGTTTTTTAGACTCATCTAACCACCATACCAAAGGAACAGCCCTTCTTTGAGGTAGATGGGTGGTTTAGAAATGTGAAGTATAAATAAAAAAAAACCCAGTAATAACAGAGGGCTGGGTGATGCTCTGATGCAGTGTTTCTCAACCGTGGCAACTTGAAGATGTATGGACTTCAATTCCCAGAATTCCCCAACTAGCATGGCTGGTTGGAGAATTCTGGGACTTGAAGTCCACAAGTCTTCAAAGTGCCATGGTTGAGAAACCCTGAAGATGTTTAACCAGCATGTGGTTAACCAGCAATGGAGAAATGACTAACATTAGGATACTTCCTTCTACATTTGTACCCTGATGTGTATGTGTGGATGGAAACATGCTTTTCAACTCTCCCCTTGGAAGGGTATACATACAGGTAGTCCTTGACTTACAACCATTCATTTAGTGACAGTTCAAAGTTACAACGGCGCTGAAAAAAGTGACCTACAACAGTTTTTCATACTTATGACCATGGCAGCATCCCCTTGGTCATGTGATCAAAATTTGGATGTTTGGCAACTGGCATGTATTTATGACGGTTGCACTGTCTTGGGGTCATGTGATCACCTTTTCTGATCTTCTGACAAACAAAATCAACGGGGAAGCCCGATTCCCTTAACAACTGTGTTACTAACTTAACAAACTGCAGTGATTCACTTGACAATTGTGACAAGGAAGGTCGTAAAATGGGGCTAAACTCACTTAATCACTGTCTCGCTTAGCAACAGAAATTTTGAGCTGAATTGTGGTCATAAGTCAAGGACTTCCTATATAAAAGAGATGGCTTTTTGGATCGGTCTCCATGTTGGGCCAGTTTCTGCTACCATACACTGTTGCTACGGTAAATGCAAGCATTAAACCTAGTAGAAGAAATTCTCTCAGTTTATAAGATGCTGCAGAAATCAGATTATGAGTCCTTGGCAATAGGGGGTCTTAAGCAGGAGAAGAACAGAATTCTTCCTGGAAGATTAAGTAAGGACTAAATCGCTGTGAATAAAATTTCAGGCTTACCAATGCTATTTCAGGAATAACGCTGATGGGAATTTTCAGGTAGTTCTGAGCAGAACCGCTGTTAGCAGTGAATGTCACAACGCTGAAAAAAACATTGGTGGATTCATTAACAACACACCATGGTCTCCCCGCTTCTGCAACCCTGCTCCATTCTGCTGCATTACCATGTTTCAAAAAACTTTTCAAAAGTATTGCTTGCTCGCTCTCATGTTGGAAGTACCGAAATGCTTCTGAGTTGAAAGGATTAGCCTGTGACATTATCATTGCTTGGGAGTTGGGGGCTCCATTATGTCCCTGTTAACTTGCCCACTGAAGTGGCACCCATATATCTACCCGCTTTCAAACTGCTGGGTCAGCAGGAGCTGGAGTGAGTGACAGGAACTCAACCTGCCATGTGGCAGCAACCAGGTCAAGAAGCAACAGATGGAAACTGATCAAGGACAGAAGCAACCTAGAACTAAGGAGAAACTTCCTGACAGTTAGGACAATTAACCAGTGGAACAACCTGCCTCCAGAAGCAGTGAATGCTCCAACACTGGAAGTTTTTAAGAAGAGATTGGACAGCCATTTGTCTGAAAAGGTATAGGGTTTCCTGCCTGAGCAGGGGGTTGGACTGGATGACCTCCAAGGTCCCTTCCAGCTGCTTCTTCTTCTTCTTCTTCTTCTTCTTCTTCTTCTTCTTCTTCTTCTTCTTCTTCTTCTTCTTCTTCTTCTTCTTCTTCTTCTTCTTCTTTTCTTCTTCTTCTTCTTCTTCTTCTTCTTCTTCTTCTTCTTCTTCTTCTTCTTCTTCTTCTTCTTCTTCTTCTTCTTCTTCTTCTTCTTCTTCTTCTTCTTCTTCTTCTTAGCCTACCGATTATCAGCCTTGTGTTCTAACCGCATGAGCCACTGCACTCCATTTCAAACGTATTATATGGGTCGTTATATTAAAGTTTGGGTTTTGTGACTTGTTGCATTAATTAATGAGTTTAATTAATCAGTGGAAGGGCTTATCTCTAGAAGTTCTGGGCGCTCCATCACTGGAAATGTTTAAGAAGAGACTGGGAGCCATTTGTCTGGAATGGTATAGGACAGTGATGGCAAACCTTTTAGAGACCGAGTGCCCAAATTGCAAACCAAAACCCACATATATCGTTGGGTGCCGGGTGGGCATGTCCCAGTGGGTGGGCGTGGCTTCGGTGATAACGGCAGACTGGGTGGGACTAAAAAGTTCAATCAATCAATTCCAACTCTGCAAGATCTTTTTTTTCCCCGTGAGAAGTTGAAATTGACTGATTGATTGAACCTTTTTTTTTTTGCACATGGTGACAGAGGCCTAAAACGAAAAGGTTTTATAAAACACAGCTGAAGGCTTAGGACTGGGGCGACGGTGCATGTGCCCACAGAAAGAGCTCTGCGTGTAACCTGTGGCACACATGCCATAGGTTCGCCATCATGGGTATAGGATCTTCTACTTGAGCAGGAGGATGTAGTAGAAGACCTCCAAGGTTCCTTCCAACCATGTTATTCTATTATTCCTGGTGGCTGTCTGAACAAGTTCTTGGAGTTTTCTTGGCAACCATTTTCAGAAGTGGTTTATCGTCTTCCTGGGCCTGAAAAGAGGGCTGGGCTCAAAGTCCCCAGCTACTTTTGTGCCTAAGGCAAAACTAGAACTCAGGTTTCCCCTAGTCCAGGGGTAGGCAACCTTGGCTCTTTTATGACTCGTGGACTTCAACTCCCAGAATTCCTGAGCCAGCCAAGCTGGCTCAGAACTTCTGGGACTTGAAGTCCACGAGTGATAAAAGAGCCAAGGTTGCCTGCCCCTGCCCTAGTCCAATGCCTTAAAGCATGACACCAAATTGGCGCTCATTCAATTAACAATATTCCTTATCTAGCTAACCAATACATTCCCCTCTTTATCCAGAAAGCATTTTTCCTTCTCCAGGTAACACATAGATTCTCTCGCCGCTTTTCTCTCTTATTTATTTATTTATTTATTTATTTATTTATTTATTTATTTATTTATTTATGAGACTTATATATTGCTTTAAGTGCAAGCACTCTCTAAGCGGTGTACACCAGTAAGCAATGTATATATATATTTACATTGCCCCCAACAATCTGGGTCCTCATTTTACCTACCCCGGAAGGATGGAAGGCTGAGTCAACCTTGAGCCGGTGAGATTTGAACCGCTGATCTGCTGAACACAGTCAGCTAAAGTGGCCTGCAGTACTGCACTTTAACTGCTGCACCACCTCAGCTCTTTTAACAAACTTGACAAACTCCCATCTTTACAAGTTCTTGATAGCCACCACGGCAGTGTTAACCTACCTGGAAGCATAGCTGTTATTTGTATTGGGGGCATTAAAAGTTGCCGTCAGGGTGATATTTTCTCCTGTGTTCAGGAAACGTTGTTTTGGCTCATAGCTGATAAGGAAACCTCGATCATCCCAAACTTTAAAAGCATATGTTCTAGCTGCTCCATAGTTGACCACCCAGACAGAAAGTTCCAAGGTACCACCAGGTGCCATTGTGCCTGGGGAAAAAATAGCAATGTGCTCACAATAGAGGTGAAATATTATCACAGTACAGACCATCCTCGACTTACGACTACCATTGACCCCAAAATTTCTGTTGCTAAGCAAGATAGTTGTTAAGTGAGTTTTGCCCTAATTTACACAACCTTTCTTGCCATAGTTGTTAAGTGCCGTTGTTAAATTAGTGATATGGGTTGTTAAATGACTCTGGCTTCCCCATTGTCAGAAGGTCACAAAAGGGGGAATCACATGACCTCCAGGACACTGCAACAACCGTCGTAAATATGAACCCGTTGCCAAGCATCCCAATTTTGATCACATGACCATGGGGATGCTGCAATGTTTATAAGTGTGAAAAACGGTCCTAAGTCACCTTTTTCAGTGCTGTTGTAACTTTGAACAGTCACTAAATAAACTGTTGTAAGTAGAGGACCACTGTGTCCTGAAATATCAATTTTCTATGAACTCTCCCACATCAATCTTGCTTCAATTTCACTTATTTCAAGATGATGGTTCCCCAACTGATTTGAACACAAAATATTACTGATGAAAAGTGGTTCATCTGGTAAAACACCGTCCTGTCAAAAGTCATAGCTGGTGACAAAGGAGAATTACTCCATATATGTGTGGAGAATCCTGAGTCACCTAGTCCAGTGGTTCTTAACCTTTTTGAACGAATCGCCCCCTTGAGCCAAATGAGGAAGTTGTCATCGCCCCCCTCCCCCAACATAACCTCTCAATCACAACATAGGAAATAATACTTCAATTTATGCAAACACTTTTTTGTTTTCTTTAAAATTATCATCAGGACATATCGATGCAAATAATTTATTTCTGATCTTTTCCCCATATCTCCCATATTCTGGCCAATGGCGTGGCACCGTACGGGTAGAGGCTGCTGCACAACGTGCATGAAGATAAGCGATGCGTATTCACATATGTACGGCGTTCTGTACTGAAGCTAGCTGGAGGAACATTTGGAAACACAATTCAATCCACCAATAACGAGAAATCTGATGTTTTTGTACGACAGATATACAGCCATTCACTGTACGAAAAAGTCTCAAAAGTGTCCCCCAAACGTCTCGCTCCATTGCCCCCATATCGCCCCCTTTTCGTTCCTTCGCCCCCGTGTCGCCCCTTTTCATTCCATCGCCCCTCTGAAAAATGAAATCGCCCCCCGGGGTGCAATATCGCCCAGGTTAAGAACCACTGACCTAGGCGAAACCCACCTGCTAGGGTCAGTATATCCGATGATCACATCCTCCTCATCAAGCTTCAGAAGGGTTCCTAGCCAAGTACCAATGCATGCACATGCAAGTGAAGCATGCAAAGGATTCCTTCTCTAACATTTCTCTTGGAAATGTGCCAAATGCCAGCTGTCATGCTTGCTTATGCTTCGCTACCATGTGGTGACAGTCTGCCTAGAATTCTGGGGAGGGTGGATGGGAGGTGGAGTGCTTGGGGGAAAATGAAAGTGCCTACTGCAGTGGTTCTCAACCTTTTTAATGCTGCGACCCCCCAACCGATCGTAAGTTGAGGACTACTTAACCGGTCGTAAGTCGAGGACTAATCAACTGGTGCAGCACCGTTTGCAGAATGGGATTTTTGGTGGGCTCAGCAGGGCAGAGAGCCTGGACAATTCCTATTGGATTTTGAAAGCCAATAGAATTAGACTCTATTCAAGAGAGTCTATTCTATTGGCTTTCAAAAGCCAATAGAATAAAAGGGAGTAGCACAGCTAAGGAAAAGGGGGAAAAAATGGCAGACTGTGTTGTTTGGCAACCCACGTGAAATGGTCGTTCAACCCCAAATGGGGTCCCGACCCACAGGTTGAGAACCACTGGCCTACTGTATCTCCTCAAGAGGCTGCTTCAAGGTCACCCAGCTGGGAGAAGAAGACAGCTGCATAACAATCTACACTTAAAACATGTTGCTTGAGCGTGATTGGTGGTGGGTGGGGGGAGTGAGCGATGGGAGGCAGTTAAGGGAGGGACAAGTTGAACGTATGGATTTTGGCGTGCAATTCTCTGTTCTGGATATGCATTGCTGCAATATACTTGGCTTCTAATAAAACTATACCTTTCTCAACAAATGGAGCCAAGGATCATTTCTGTTTAGAGCAGTGGTTCTCAACCTGTGGGTCGGGACCCCATTTGGGGTCGAACGACCATTTCACGGGGGTCGCCAAACAAGGCTGTCCGCCATTTTTTCCCCCTTTTCTTTGGCCACGCCCCTGGCACCTGGTGATGTATAAGTGGTTGGGGGTCACCACAACATGGGGAACTATATTATGGGGTCACGGCATTAGAAAGGTTGAGAACCACTGGTTTAGAGGCTTAAGTGGTGGCAGGACTGACACTAAATTTGGCAGGTAGAACATAGTGGCAGTAGGCAGTGGATGCTACCTTGGATGTTCTTCCCACATCACTCAAGGGTGTGGAGAAGGACTGTCTGTTTCCCCTTTCTATTGTTAGAGGAAATCTTGGACCAAGATATAACGGGGCATTAAAATATTTGGTAGTCCAACCAAAAACCAGCCAGATACAGTGAGCAGGAAATCCTGGATGAGGGATGTTTGAGATACAGATATATTGTAATAACAGATAACCTACATGCTGCCAAACAGCCATCCAGCCAGCAAGTTTTCCTGGAATTCTTGATTTAAATCTAGAAAGCAGAAGCTGTTCTAATGAGTACAGCTATTGTAGAAGGAGGTAGGAACAGTAAAAAGTGTGTTAGCCGTGTGTTAATTAGCCCTCCATCCATTTGGGAAAGGGTGCTGCGCAACAAGCATGCCAAAAAAAAGAAAAGAAAAAAAGAGAAATGCTTGGAAAATCACACTGCCAAAAGCATTAAAAATGCAAGCTTTGAGAGGAAACACACATGAAAATTCATAAGTGACCCCCCCTTTTTTTTGACATAGAAAGACCCGGACTAAATAATGAAAACATGCTAGAAAATGAACCAAAAACAAAACCGCTAATTCTGTGTTATTGCTTATATATTCCATTCTGCTAGGGACTTACTATTTTGGTCTTCCAGAGGCAGAATCTGCACAAATTCAGTTGTAACGGAATCACCGCTGATTCGTACGAAGGGGAAGTTGCCGGGAGAAATACCCTCCACTTTCAGCAAGGTTCTCTGGAAGGAAAAGATGGAGAAATATCTATTGAAAATCTTCCACATTCCTCCTGTGCATATTTATGAATTAAATGAGAGGCATATTACCGGTAGTGCTCGACTTACAACAGTTCATTTAGTGACTGTTCAAAGTTACCACGGCACTGAAAAAAAGTGATTTATGACCGTTTTCCACAGTTACGACCTTTCCAGGATCCCCATGATCGGGTGATCAAAATTCAGATGCTTGGCAACTGATTCACACTTATGACCATTGCCGTGTCTCAAGGTCATGAGATTCCCTTTTGCGACCTTTCGACAAGCAAAGCCAACGGGGAAGCCAGATTCACTTAACATCTGGGGGTCAACATCCAGCTTGAGAATCCAAATACAACTCCAGGTTCCTTCCATCTCTGAAAGTCTTACTGTTTATTGAATACACTGCATGGGTATGTCGAAGCAAAACTAACTCTGAGGCGCCAACTCCAATTCATAGAATTAAACAATAATTTTCCTAGCCAAACCCTACTACTCTTACGTAGTCCATATAAACAAATTCACTTTGTTATAGGAACCGTCTGCTTCAACTCCACACCTGGTCTGGTGTCCTTGAAAAATATCAGGCTCTTATGTTCTTCAGCTGAATCGTAGAAGTTTCGTTTCCCCATCTAACCCACTTAAAAGAAACAACTCCCCCCCTTAATTTAAGGCAGTGGTTCTCAACCTTTTTAATGCTGCGACCCCAACCGGTTGTAAGTCGAGGACTAAACGGCTGTAAGTCGAGGACTAAACCGGTCGTAAGTTGAGGACTACACAACCAGTCGTAAGTCGAGGACTTTCCCTGCCCAGGAGCACCGCGCATGCGTGATGCTGCCCCCTGCGCCAGCCGAGGCGTAGCTGGCAAGTGGTAGAGACGGAGCAGGCTGACCACCGGCTGGGCCACCAGCTGGCCCAGCCCAAGGGAGCTAAGGCACCCGCCGGAAAAGGGGAAAAAATGGCGGACAGCCTTGCTTGGTGACCCCCATGAAATGGTCGATAGACCCCAAATAGGGTCGCGACCCATAGGTTGAGAACCGCTGATTTAAGGCAAGTTGAAAACCAGAGGCATGTAGCTGACAAAGTTTCATCATTGACACCGGGTTATTAACTTATCAATTGCAGTGGTTCACTTAACAACTGTGGCAAGAAAGGTCATAAAATGGGGCAAATCTCACTTAACAACAGAAATGTTGGGTTTAACTGTGGTCATACATCGAGGACTACCTGTATAAGACTTACAAAGAATCAGATCCTCCTCCCAGAAATTCAGTAGATCTGTAGTAAGACACCTGCTTTCAAGTTCAAATTCACCTCATTGATCCCAATTTATTGGCTTTAGGAGTGTCTGTGAGGAGGGGGTCTATGTCCAGAAAGTTAAGATGGCGGCCACAATCATGTCATCCAAGCCTTGACACTTTTTTACATGTGAGGCATATAAATAAAGGGGTGTGGCCTTGATAGTGTCCACCATCTTACTTTTTTGCCTCCCTAGGGCATGTCATGAGCGTTGACCTTTGAAATTTGGAGTATCCTTTGGTGCTTCTAAAAGGGAGATTTCTAGTTGGCTAGTGATCATCATTTGGGTTAAGGTGTATCTCTTCCATAATTTTTGAATAGTAGCCAGGAGATAGTCAAATGCAGTGGCTAAAATGTTGTACTGGGATCAGGCACCCTCGGCTTCAAGTCCTGCTCAGTCAAGCTGGTCACTAGCTCACCTTGAACCTGTCTCTACTTTCTCAGTCTCATCTCAAAGGGTTCTTGATAGGATAACCTAATTTTTAAAAAATGAGCTGTGTTTTACCAAATAACTACCAGGAAAGGATACGTACTGGGCTATGCAAGGTAATAGGTCCAACAGCAAAGAGGTTGCCTAAAGCATCGAAGGATTGGTTCAAAGGTATAGATTCTAGAGGAGTTCCATCTTCAGAAAGAGTCACCAGGCGCAGGACTTGCATGCCTGAAGTATCCCCCATCAGCTTCATGGAGACCGTGTAGTTCAACCCTGAAGGAGATGCAGAAGAGTCAAGAAACAACTTCCTTCCTTCCTTCCTTCCTTCCTTCCTTCCTTCCTTCCTTCCTTCCTTCCTTCCTTCCTTCCTTCCTTCCTTCCTTCCTTCCTCCTCCTGTTTGCTTCTTCCTTCCTTCCTTCCTTCCTTCCTTCCTTCCTTCCTTCCTTCCTTCCTTCCTTCCTTCCTTCCTTCCTTCCTTCTCCCCCTCCTCCTCTTTGCTCCTTCCTTCCTTCCTTCCTTCCTTCCTTCCTTCCTTCCTTCCTTCCTTCCTTCCTTCCTTCCTTCCTTCTCCCCTCCTCCTCCTGTTTGCTTCTTCCTTCCTTCCTTCCTTCCTTCCCTTCCTTCCTTCCTTCCTTCCTTCCTTCCTTCTCCCCCTCCTCCTCTTTTCCTTCCCTTCCTTCCTTCCTTCCTTCCTTCCTTCCTTCCTTCCTTCCTTCCTTCCTTCCTTCCTTCCTTCTCCCCCTCCTCCTCTTTGCTCCTTCCTTCCTTCCTTCCTTCCTTCCTTCCTTCCTTCCTTCCTTCCTTCCTTCCTTCCTTCCTTCCTTCCTTCCTTCCTTCCTTCCTTCCTTCCTTCCTTCCATCCTTCCTTCCTTCCTTCCTTCCTTCCTTCCTTCCTTCCTTCCTTCCTTCCTTCCTTCCTTCCTTCCTTCCTTCCTTCCTTCCTTCCATCCTCCCTCCCTCCCTCCCTCCCTCCCTCCCTCCCTCCCAGATTTCTCCAAACCTACTCAGACCCTTTAATTTCCTTCTCATTTATACAGGTAGCCCATGACTTATGACCATAACTGAGCCTAAAATTTCTGTTGCTAAATGAAACGGTTGTTAAATAATAAATAAATAGTTAAATAGAGCTGAGGTGGCGCAGCAGTTAGAGTGCAGTACTGCAGGCCACTTTAGCTGACTGTGTTCAGCAGGTCAGCGGTTCAAATCTCACTGGCTCAAGGTTGACTCAGCCTTCCATCCTTTCGGGGTAGGTAAAATGAGGACCCAGATTGTTGGGGGCAATGTAAAATATATATATATATACATTGCTTAATGGTGTACACCGCTTGCACTTAAAGTGGTATATAAGTCTCATAAATAAATAAATAAATAAATAAATAAGATAAGATAAGATAAGATAACCTTTATTGTCATTTTTATACTGTGGGCACAATGGCACACATCAAAAATGAAATTTAGTTGCCCGCTCTCAAAGTGAAACACACACACATGACACACCCCTAAACATACTATGAACAACTAAACAAATAAATAGTGGTTAAGTGAATCTGGCTTCCCTGTTGACATGGGTTGTCAGAAAGTCACAAAAGGGGATCACATCACCCCAGGTCAGGACATGCAACCATCATAAATATGAGTCAGTTGCCAAGTGTCTGAATTTTGATCAGGTGATCGTGGTCACAAGTGTGGAAAAACGTTCATAAGTCACTTTTTTAACGCTGTTATAACTCTGAACTGTTGTCAGTTGAGGACTAACTGTATTTTTACACTGGGCAGATCTGAAGGAAAGAGTAAAGGTACCTTTCACTGGTCGTCCTTGGACGGGAAGCACATACTCATCCCCCTTCTCCATAATCTGGGAAGAAAAGTCAAGCAGACTTTTGCCTCCAACCACTATTGTATAAGTGTTTATGGGATCCAATTTCACAGTCCATGAACCTGGCTCAGGGATAGGAGATATCTTCACAACCTTCTGGCTGTCCATGTTGATCAACATGCTCATGGATGTCAATTGAGAACCTGCCACGAGTTGACACATAAATAGAAACAAGAGCAGATGTGAACAAAGTGAGAATGGGAGGAACGTCCCCCCTCCCATTAATTGTCTGCAGCCAATCCTGTTATTCTGTTCTGTACGCCTGCTAGTGATTTATAACAGGGGTCCCCAACCCTTGGTTTATGGCCCACTACTGGGCTGCCGCCTATTGAGAACAAGGCCGTGGAAATGATGGGTGAGCGTGTGTGCACAGCTACACTTGTGGAAGCAGCGGATGAGCACATGCACGGGAAGCTCCATTTGCGCAAGTGTATGCACCCGCCACTCATACAAAACCATCTCTTCCCCCCCCCACCAGTCTGCAAAGCTGGAAAGGTTGGGGACAGCTGATTTATAAGGTTTTTAAAGCATTAATAATAATAATGGTAAAGTTGGAAGGGACCTTGGAGGTCATCTAGTCCAACCCCTGCTCAGGCAGGAAACTCTATACCATTTCAGACAGATGGCTGTCCAGTCTCTTCTTAAAAACTTCCAGTGTTGGAGCATTCACCGCTTCTGGAGGCAGGTTGTTCCACTGGTTAATTGTTCTAAATGTCAGGAAGTTTCTCCTTAGTTCTAGGTTGCTTCTCTCCTTGATTAGTTTCCACTCGTTGCTTCTTGTCCTGCCTTCAGGCGCCTTGGAGAATAGCTTGATTCTCTCTTCTTTGTGGCAGCCCCTGAGATATTGGAGCACTGCTATCATGTCCCCCCTCGTCCTTCTCTTCCTTAATCAGGTTTGATATAAAGCCTGTCCTCATTTTCTGATGATTGGATGCCTCTAGAAGAGTCTCGTCCCGTTCATGTTGGAGGCACCGTTCAAGGCACTTCCGGGTTGAAAGGATTAGCCAGTGACATCACTGTTGCCCAGGGGATGGCCATGGGGGCTTCTTTCACGTACCTGCAAGGAGCTGGAGCAAGTGATGGGAGCTCACTCCAACACGCAGCAGCACTCGGGTCTCGAACGCGGGCTTGTTAACTCCCAACTCAGCGTACTAACCACGTGAGCCACTGTTGCTCTGCCTAAAAGAGTCTTTCTCAACCTTGGCAACTTGAAGATCTGAGGCTTTCGATTCATGCTGGCTGGAGGTTTCTGAGAGTTAAGTCCACACACCTGCATATTGCCAAAGTTGAGAAACACTGCTCCAGAAGATACTATCGGTAGCTCCTGAGAAAATGCTCTATATCACACCGCCCCTTACCTGAAGGTTGGAACACATTCATGCTGAATGAACTTGGTGCTGTGACAGAGATGGTCAACTCTTTGAGGGTTTCATCTACAGGGAAGGAGAACTGTGACGTATGCATTCGGCCATCGATCAATTTAACAGGAGCAGCATTCAGGGACTTCTCCATTATTCCCAGGACCTGTGAAAGCTGACGTTTTGTAGTGAGTACATAGAATCCGCCAGAATAATCTGCCAGTTCTTCATAGCTATTCGCATATGTCTTAGGCGTATCCTCAGGAACACCTGTGGAGGAGAATTAACAGAATGACAGAGTTGGAAGAGACCTTGGTGGTCTTCTAGTTCAACCCCCTGCTCAAGCAGGAGACCAGATACCATTTCAGACAAATGGCTGTCCAGTCTCTTCTTTAATATTCTCCAGTGTTGGAGCATCCACAATCTCTGGAGGCAATTTGTTCCACTGATTAATTGTTCTAACTATCAGGAAATTTCTCCTTAGTTCTAGGTTGTTTCTCTCCTTGATTAGTTTCCATCCATTTCTTCTTGCCCTGCCTTCAGGTGCTTTAGAGAATAGGCTGACCCCCTACTATTCTTCGTGGCAGCCCTTTACGTATTGGAGGACTGCTATCATGTCACCCTCTCGTCCTACTTTTTATTAAGTTACAGAAATTCCCTTTGAAAGCAGCCTCAGAAGTACAATTATTCAGTGGCATGGCTTGCCTCCAGAAGTTGTGTGTGTGTGTGTGTGTGTTTTGCTAGATGGCTTTTTTTTTTTTTTTTAGCAAAACCTTCTCAGCATCTTTACTGAAAATATTTACTAACCCATGGACGAAAGGTGGGCTCCTTTTAAAGAAACCTTATTTTTTGGCTCTTCTGCAGGCAGAGAAAACAACTTTTCAAAGCTGGCACCTGATGTCAGAATGCCACTGGCCTCCTAAACAATCACTCTCACACCCTCTGCACACCCTTCTTCAGAAGATGTTTCCCTTAGCTGTAAACTGCTGCATATTTCATCATCCCGCAAGGGTTAGATGATCAAGTGGCTATATTTGCTTTCAGTTAAATCCAAAAGTAAACACAAAGCTGGCTGCCTGCTTGGAAAATGCTTAGGAACATAAGCCAGCCTGCTGTCATGTTTAAATCAAACAGAGATAACTTGGCTGCCGTGCCTGATTTTCAAGTTGAGGCAGTGCAGAAGCTCAGTTCCTTTGTCTGTTATCTCAAGAATGTGGAAAGCTCTACCACGTGAATCCCTCAGACGAGGCAACTGCTTGGAGGGAAACACAGACATGGCTTCGTATAATCTGAGTTTAAGGCTTCTCCGAAGCAACAGGAATTAGACACCCACAGGGCTGGCTCAAGATATCTTTCTTGCCTGAAGCAAAAGTCAAGAAGAGTCTCCTGGATAGATTCCACAGGCAGAAGCTGATTGGGCTTGCTAATGCATCTGCTCTGATGCCAGGAGGTGAGATTAGAGTTGAGAGCAGGCCTTGCAAGAGACACAACTTTTCCTTTCCCTCCTGTCAAGCATGCCCTGCCTCTTGGGCTCTGCTGCCTCAGACAGCAGTCCTGTTGTGCTCTTGAACCACCTATTTGCTGGTGTAGGTGATGGGATTCCAGACAGGCAAGGATGTAGAATTCTCTGCATGGAAGACAAGGGATCTTGAAAGCAAAGATGGACTGTTCTGTTTTTCTTTCTGCTAGCCTGCTTGGCCATGTCTGAATGGCACAGGAGGGGAAATTGTTTCTGTAGTGTTATTCCTCCTCAGACAGCTTATGTGTTTAGAAAAATATTGTCTCTCCCCTTTCCTTCTCCTTCTCTCCTTCTGCTTGCCCCATCCTTCCTTCCTTCCTTCCTTCCTTCCTTCCTTCCTTCCTTCCTTCCTTCCTTCCTTCCTTCCTTCCTTCTCCCCTCCTCCTCTTTGCCCCTTCCTTCCTTCCTTCCTTCCTTCCTTCCTTCCTTCCCCCTCCTCCTCTTTGCTACTTCCTTCCTTCCTTCCTTCCTTCTCCCCCCCTCCTCTTTGCCCCTTCCTTCCTTCCTTCCTTCCTTCCTTCTCCCCCTCCTCCTCCTCTTTGCCCCTTCCTTCCTTCCTTCCTTTTCCTTCCTTCCTTCCCCTCCTTCCTCCTCCTTCTTCCCTACCCCCTCCTCCTCTTTGCCCCCTTCCTTCCTTCCTTCCCCCTCCTCCTCTTTGCCCTTCCTTCCTTCCTTCCTTCCTTCCTTCCTTCCTTCCCCTTCCCTCCCCCTCCTCCCTCTTTGCCCCTTCCTTCCTTCCCCCTCCTCCTCTTTGCTACTTCCTTCCTTCCTTCCTTCCTTCCTTCCCTTCCTTCCTTCCTTCCTTCTCTTCCTTCTTCTTCCTTCCTTCTTCTCCTCCTTCCTTCCTTCCTTCCTTCCCCCCCTCCTCCTCTTGCTACTTTCCTTCCTTCCTTCCTTCCTCCTTCCTTCCCTCCATTCTTCTCCCCCTCCTCCTCTTTGCCCCTTCCTTCCTTCCCCCTCCTCCTCTTTGCTACTTCCTTCCTTTCCTTCCGTCTTCCTCTTTGCCCCTTTCCTTCCTTTCCTCCTTCCTTCTCCCCCTCCTCCCTCTTTGCCCCTTCCTTCCTTCCCCCCTTCCTCCTCCCTCCTCCTCTTCCTTTTCCTTCCTGCCTAACTTCCTTCCTTCTTCCTTCTTCTCCCCCTCTCCTCTTTGTCCTTCTTCATTCCTTCCCTTCCTTCTCCCCCCTCCTCCTCTTTTTGCCCTTCCTTCCTTCCCCTCCTCCTCTTTGCTACTTCTTCCTTCCTCCTCCCCCTCCTCCTCTTTTGCCCTTCCTTCCTTCCCCCTCCTCCTTCCCTTCCCCTTCCTTCCTCCTCTTTGCCCCTTCCTTCCTTCCTTCCCCTCCTCCTCTTTGCTACATCCTTCCTTTATCCCTTCCTTCCTTCATTCCTTCCTTCCTTCTCCCCTGCTCCTCTTTGCCCCTTCCTTCCTTCCCCCTCCTCCTCTTTGCTACTTCCTTCCTTCTTCCTCCCCTTCCTTCCTCTTCCTTCCTTCTTCCTTCCTTCTTCTCCCCCTTCCTTCCGCCCCTTCCTTCTTCCTTCCTTGTCCTTCCTTCCTTCTTCTTCTTCCCCCCCTCCTCCTCTTTGCACCCTTCTTCCTTCCTTCCCCCTCCCCTCCTTTGCCTTCCTTCCTTCCTTCCTTCCTTCTCCCCCTCCTACCTCTTTGACCCTTCCTTCCTCCCCCTCCTCCTCGTTGCCCTTCCTTCCTTCCTTCCTTCCTTCCTTCTTCTTCTACTGTCCTTCTTCCTTCCTTCTCCCCCTCCTCCTATTTGCCCCTGTCCTTCCTTCCCACTCCTCCTCTTTTGCTCCCTTCCTTCCTTCCTTCCTTCCTTCCTTTCCTTCATTCCTTCCTCCCCTTCCCCTTCCTTCCTCCCCCTCCTCTCGCTCCTTCCTTCCTTTTTCCTTCTCCCCTTCCTCCTCCTTCTTGGCCTTCCTTCCTTCCTTCCCTTCCCTTCCTTCCTTCCTTCCTTCCTTCCTTCCTCCCCCCTCCTCCGCTTGGGCCCCTTCCTTCCTTCCTTCCCCCTCCTTCCTCTTTGCTACTTCCTTCCTTCCTTTTCCTTCCTCATCCCCCTCCTCCTCTTTGCCCCTCCTTCCTTCGCCCCTATCCTCTCCCCCCTTCCATTCCTTCCTTCCTTCCTTCCTTTCCTATTGCTCCTTCCTTCCTTCTTCCTTCCTTCCTTCCTTCCTTCCTTCCTTACCTTCCTTCCTTCTCCTCTCCCCCTCCTCCTCCTCTTTGCCCCTTCCTTCCTTCCCCTTCCTTCATTCCTTCCTTCTCCCCCCCCTCCTCCTCTTTGCTCCTTCCTTCCTTCCTTCCTTCTCCCCACCTCCTCCCTCTTTGCCCCTTCCTTTCCTTCCTTCCTTCCTTCCTTCCTTCCTTCCTTCCTTCCTTCCTTCCTTCTCCCCCTCCTCCTCCTCTTTGCCCCTTCCTTCCTTCCTTCCTTCCTTCCTTCCTTCCTTCATTCCTTCCTTCTCCCCTCCTCCTCTTTCCCCTTCCTTCCTTCCTTCCTTCCTTCCTTCTCCCCCTCCTCCTCTTTGCCCCTTCCTTCCTTCCTTCCTTCCTTGTCCCCCTCCCCCTCTTTGCCCCTTCCTTCCTTCCTTCCTTCCTTCCTTCCTTCTCCCCCTCCTCCTCCTCTTTTCCCCTTCCTTCCTTCCTTCCTCTCCCCTCCTCCTCTTTTCTCCTTCCTTCTTTCCTCCTTCCTTCCTTCCTCCCCCCTCCTCCCCCCTTCTTTGCTTCCTTCCTTCCTTCCTTCCTTCCTTCCTTCTTCCTTCTTCCTTCCTTCCTTCCTTCCTTCTCCCCCTCCTCCTCTTTGCTCCTTCCTTCTTTCCTTCCTTCCTTCCTTCCTTCCTTCCTTCCTTCCTTCCTTCCTTCCTTCCTTCCTTCCTTCCTTCCTTCCTTCCTCCCTTCTTCCTCTACTTATTCTGTCTACACTGAAATGTCACTAATATACTTTTCTCTGAGGAAGCTGATTAAAAAAAAAAGATGCAGTCTTGTAACATTTATGGGATTATTTACAAGATTTAATACCAGGCAATTTTCTATTTTTTCTACCTGAGAAAACATCAGAATATTTTCTTTATGCAGATTGACTTACTTCTGCGTTTCCTACTGGAACAATAGCCTGTGAGGAGAAAGTTCACTTTGGACTGAGTAGATTCAATCAGAATGTCCACTTCTCCCTTCAGATGCTCATCTTTTGCTCCAGCATCACTGAAGAAAAAGATCTCAGATCTGGAGGGACACAAAGGATTTTAGGAAGTTTGTGCTAGGGGAAAAGTAGCTTGAGTATAGGATTGGCAAGAAAGTAGCTTACTCTCAGTTGTTGCCTTATAGAACTTTAACTTTTAGAATTTTTAAACCAATGACTGCTAAGTATTTTGGAAATATAAATCCTTTTATCTGAAAAGCATCCAGTTGGGGAACAGTGGGTGAAACTGATGGAAAAAGGGAGATGAATATGGATTGACTGAATCACTTTTCTAAACAAAAAATGGCTAGGAAAGGCACTGAAAGAATTCAGCCTTAAGCCCTGGAGAGCCTCGGATCGGTGAACTATAGATAAACTTACAACTATTCAGCGAACTTTTGATGTTATGAGAGACCCTCAAAAAGTATGTATGGCCCAGATTCGAAGTTCTGATGGCCAGGCCCTTTTGTGGTCATGTGATCATATTTTAGTTGCTCAGCAACCAGCTCACATTTACGGCCGTTTGTAGTGTCCCACTGTCACATAACACAATTTATAGGATTTTTTTTTTTTTTGCTGGAAATTGGCATTTGCTTCTTGTTTTTGGCAAAACCAGCCTATTGTAGACAATGGGTTTGCTTAATAACTGTGGTGTTCACTTAATGATTGTGTCTTTGCTTAATGATCAGGATGACCTGCTTAATGACCAGCACAACGGACAACTGTAATAAGGCTCAATTATGTTGTCAGTCAAGGACTACTTGTAATCTCAGAATCAGGCAGCTTTCAGGGAAGGTTACAAACGGTGATCACGTGATCCCAGGACAAGACAACTGTCATAAATACACACCATTTGCCAAGTGGTTGAATTTTGATCACGTGATCACAGGGATGCTCCAATGGTCGTAAATGTGAAAACAGGTCATGTCACTTTTTCCATGCTGTTGTAACTTTGCACTGTCACTAAATAAATGGTTGTAACTCTAGGGCTACCCCTATGGAGCCTGTGAGATGGCTATATTGTTTGTAAGCTACTCTTCCGGATTTTATGGCTGTTTTAATAGTTTTAACTTGTTTTTAATGTTTTTATTGTTGTTTTTGGTTATTTAGTTATATGGGTTTTATTGATATGTGATTTTTTTTTAATCTCTGTGAACCGCCCAGAGTCATGTATGTGAGATGATTGGCTATATAAACTGAATAAACAAATAAATAAAAATAAGATTTATCACTTGCTTCCTCTCACACTTTCTGCAGATGCCTACGCCTACATTCCTGGATTATATACTTGATACTTTAGAAATAAAAAAGGGAAATAGACTCTGCCTTAAAGTTCCATCTATTTAAACTTTTTTAAAAATATTTTTATTATCATTTTTCAATCCTATAAAAACAGCGCTCGCCAACCTTTCTGGCATCTGGGACCGGTTTTGTGGAAGACAATTTTTCCACAAACTGGAAGGGGGATGCTTTCGTGTACAACCTAGATCTTGTGCATGCACAGATGAAGCCTTCTTGCTTGCCTGCAGCTTGCACAGCCTGGTTCCTAATAGGCCATGGACCGGTCCCAGTCTGTGGCCTGGGGGTTGTAGACCCTACAGCCCGGAAGTTGGGGACTCCTGCTTTCAATTTAACAAAATTAAAAGAACAAGAAAAAAAGACTATTGGAAATAATAAAAAAGAAAAGAAAAAAAAGAAAGAAAACATAGAATTATGATTTCCACCCATCTTTATATCAAGCAATTGTCATCTTATTCTTTCCCCTTCCTTGTTGACCCTTTTTAATCCTCAAATCCATACATTCTCAATTTAGTCTTTTATTCTTTCAGCAAAAAGACTATACAAGTCTCTTTTTAAAGTCTTTTTTCCTCCCCTGACCCACCTATCTAAAGTTGGACCCTGAGGTTATGGTGGGAAATGTTGGCTAGAGAAAAGAAAAATACTTCATCAGCACATTATAGGCTTCAGAGTGAGAAGACTGACAATTTTTGTGTGGGATCTGACAAATTTGAGTGGGGATAAGGTCAAAGTTTCAGGCCATAAAGATTGCCTGCTCCCTCCTAGAGTCAGAAAGATTAAGTGTTCAAATGCTAAAACTCCAGATAGAACATTAAGGCCTGTTCTACACTGTTAACCTCCTGTGACAAACAATTTGCTTGTCTCATTATATCTGCAAAGACATTTCATTTATAAATAAGCAGAAAAAAAAACCAAAGAGACAAATGATTTTAGGAAACAATTGTTTAAGGGTGTGACACTTGGATCGTAGACTGAGAAGCTTTTGGAAGACCCTATTGTAAATTGCTTGGGCCCTCCAGACGATTACTCACACCCTAGAGTAGGGCTTGGGTTAGTGCAATGCGCTCTACCTGCCTGCCTTTAAAGATACTTGGAAGCTGCTCCTGGCGCAGAAAATAACTGCATATGATTGTGCTGCTTTGTGAACTGCGCTGGATGCCAGTTAGTTCCCAGGTGCAATTCAAGGTGTGGCTCTTACCTATAAAGCCCTTCATGGTGTTAAGTGAATCTGGCCTCCCCATTGATTTTGCTTGACTCAAGGTTACAAATGTTGTTCACATGACCCCAGGACATTGCAACCATCATAAATGTAAGCCAGTTGCCAAGCACCTGGTTTTGTTTACCGTTGCAAATAAAATCGGGTCCGGTTCTTATTCCAAGCTGGGAGAAAGAGGCAAGAGAAATGAATTGGAGGCAGGCTGCAGTTGGAAAGGAGGTCTCCATTTATTTGGTAGCCAGAAACCATAGTGACAACAGCTTGTTTCTGGGATGGCTGACCAGTTGGGATTGAGAGTAGATGGGCTTTTATATAGTTTTGAGGGCTTTGTAATTGAGATGTCTGTTCCTGTCTTTTGATATTTTAATAGCTGTTACCAGATTCCTATGGAGTCATGTAGGGGTCATGACTGGCTCTACAGACAAAAGGGAAAATGCAAATCCTAGATGTTTTGCTTATCTGAGCTAATTTTGTCAGTTTCGACTCCTTGCTGCTTATTTGGAGCTGTAGGCTACCCTTTGCTTATGAACAGAGTGGCCTGGCTTTATGAATGGATAAAAAATATCTTCAGGTTTCTGCTTGGGGCTGTTTTCCTATGGCAGAAAGACTGGAGCTGCTTTCTGCCTTTATTAGTAATAGTAATAGTAGTAAAGTTGGAAGGGACCTTGGAGGTCATCTAGTCCAACCCCCTGCTCAGGCAGGAAACCCTATACCATTTCGGACAAATGGCTGTCCAGTCTCTTCTTAAAAACCTCCAGTGTTGGAGCATTCACCATTTCTGGAGGCAGGTTGTTCCACTGATTAATTGTTCTAACTGTCAGGAAGTTTCTCCTTAGTTCTAGGTTGCTTCTCTCCTTGATTAGTTTCCACCCGTTGCTTCTTGTCCTGCCTTCAGGTGCTTTGGAAAATATCTTAATTCCCTCTTCTTTATGGCAGCCCCTGAGATATTGGAATACTGCTATCATGTCCTCCCTTGTCCTTCTCTTCGTTAAACTAGACATACCCAATTCTAGCAACCGTTACTTATATGTTTTAGCCTCCAGTCCCCTAATCATCTTTGTTGCTCTTCTCTGTACTCTTTTTAGAGTCTCAACATCTTTTTTACATCGTGGTGACCAAACTGGATGCAGTATTCCAAGTGTGGCCTTACCAAGGCATTGAAGAGTGGTATTAATACTTCACGTGATCTTGATTCTATCCCTCTGTTAATGCAGCCTAGCACTGTGTTGGCCTTTTTGGCAGCTGCAGCACACTGCTGGCTTATATTTAGGTGACTGTCTACTAGGACTCCGAAGTCCCTCTCACAGTTACTACTATTGAGCATGGTGCCACCTATGCTGTACTTGTGCATTTGGTTTTTCTTGCCTAAATGTAGAACCTTGCTTTTTTTCACCATTGAATTTCATTTTGTTAGTTAGTGCCCAGTGTTCAAGTCTGTCCAGATCCTTCTGTATCTTAAGCCTGTCTTCTGGAGTGTTGGCTATTCCTGCCAGCTTGGTGTCGTCTCCAAATTTGATGAGTTCCCCATCTATCCCTTCATCCAAATCGTTGGATTAAAGAGATTTTTCTCCTCTTCTCCTTTAGGGGAAATATTCTATTCTGCCTCTTTTAATATCCCATATGATATTTTATTCTGGGCGGGGGGGGGGGAGCTTCCTACATCACATAATCATGGGGATGCTGCAATGGCTGTAAGTGTGAAAAATGATCGTAAGCCACTTTTTTCAGTGCTGTTGTAACTTTGAACAGTCACTGAACAAATTGTTGTGATTCAAGGACTATCTGAACAGTATTGAGAAATATGGGCAAAAAGGGAATAGAGACATCATCCTGGACACTTCTCACCTTGGCATGCTCTGTTGCAAAGCCAGTTTCAAGCCAGACATGGACATTTCTGGGCAGTCACCACCTCCAGTAGCAGTCAGGCGAGAGATTGCAGATTCCAATTCGTCCACACTTTGGGTATTAGTGACGGGTCCAAAATCTGCAAAGATAGATCTAGGTGGGAACTGAGTCATGATAATATGAAGAAGACCAGCCAAGGGCCACAGTTTCAGACAGAGTCTCTGTTTTTTTTTAATGTTAATTCTGTTTTTGCCTTTCCTGGGGTTCTAAAGAGTTTTTTTCCAATACTTTCCTTTTAAGTAATTAAAGATGAACATTCTTATCTGTTCCTCAAAATAATAAGACTGGCACTTGATTTCCACATGTCAGATTATTTAGTTTATTCAGCAGTAACCAGACTAATCGCTGAGAGTTTACCATAATATCGGTTCAGATGTATACAGTAATTCATTTAAGAGAAGTCCTCTTAAAGGTTTAATTAAAAGCTTCCTCCTTTGACTTCTGGGTCTATAATTGTTTTCTGCACAGGGAGGGCAAGTATCATTGAATTCATCGTATCATAGAGTTGGCAAGGATCTCAGAGGTCAACCAGTCTGACCCCTTTTCTTGGAATAGCACTTGCTAAAGCATTGTGGACAGATGGCTCTCCAGCCTTGGTTTGGACCTCAGTCAATGACTTTTTCATGTTCTAATGGGATTTTCTACAGCAATAACAACATTACAAAATGGCATTTGTACCAAATACAAACTAATATTTACAGCATATCTTCAGAAAGAAGGCAGGAGCTGAGGGATTAAAGGGCATTTCAAAATGACCATCTGAAAAGGATACAATTACATGAGCATAGATCCGGAGGAAAACTCAGCTCATCAGAAAATGTGGTTTCCAGTCCCTCCACCGTCTTGGTATTTGCATCCCTGTCGTTTTCAAATTGTGAACTAGACCCAGTATTCCAAAATACGGGTAGTCCTCAACTTATGACCACAATTGAGCCCAAAATTTCCATTTCTAAGCAAGGCCGTCGATAAGTCAGTTTTGCCGCATTTTATGACCTTTCTTGCCACAGTTGTTAAGTGAATCACTGCAGTTGTTTAATGAATCATGCGGTTGTTGAGTGAATCTGGCTTCCCCATTGACTTTGCTTGTCAGGAGGTCAGAAAAGGCGAACACATGACCCTGGGACACTTGCAACCATCATAAATACATAGCAGTTGCCTAGCGGCTGAATTTTGATCACGTGACCATGGGGATGCTGCAACGGTTGTAAGTGCGAAAATCGCTTATAGGTGACTTTTTTTCAGTCAGTGCCACCGTAACTTCAAATGGTCACTAAACGAATGGTTGTAAGTCAAGGACTGCCTGTAGCTTGAAGTCAGTTTCAGTTCATTCTTACTACTGATTTATAAAACACCTGACCTTAATTAAAGATCTGCTGCGCTTTTTCTCTTTCAGTTACAAATGCAAACATGCTCAAAAAGAGCAACTTTCAACGTCCCCATTTAAGGGAAAGATTCAAGTTTTTAATCATCCTCCTGATTATTTTCCCCAGTTTCCTCCTTCCTCTGCATTTAAAGCGGTGACAAATAATCACATATCCCTAGAGCAGTGTTTCCCAAACTTGACAATTTTAAGGCATGTGGACTTCAACTCCTGGAATTCCACAGCCAGCATTGCTGGCCGTGGAATTCTGGGAGTTGAAGTCCACATGCCTTAAAATTGTCAAGTTTGGGAAACACTGCCCTAGAGTTTTGTGAGCTCTTGGTTCACTTTCCACGGGAAGGACAATCTGTCACTTTAGCCTGGTCACCCCAGCATAGATATAATTCCTCCTGTTTTTACTAAAAAAAGAAAACAAAACAAAAACAAAAACCCTGCATTCCCTATTGTTCAATCACATAATCCAGTGGTTTTCAACCTGTGGGTCGGGACCCCATTTGGGGTCGAACGACCATTTCACGGGGGTCGCCAAACCACGCTGTCCGCCATTTTTTCCCTTTTCCCTAGCTGTCCTACTCCCTCTTATTGGTGGCCACACCCACTTGGGGGGTCACCACAACATGGGGAACTGTATTATGGGGTCACGGCATTAGAAAGGTTGAGAACCACTGACATAATCCCTTCTAACTGGCCATAAACATTGCTTGAATTTTCTGGGGAAAAAAAAAAAAACTTGAGCAAAAGAAGGAGGGCAATTCCAGCCTAAAAGGGAGAGAAATCAGAAGGAATCACATCCTCTATCACCTCCTTACCGGGATCGTTGAAGGGCACAAGGATGTAATTATAAGGTTTGTCCGGAGAGCTAGAATACTTTCGGAGGAGTTCGATGCATTTGATTTTGACTTGGTGGATGTCTTCTGACATGCTGCCTGTGGTGTCCACCACAAAGGTGAGGGAATAACCATCCAGGTTGAAAAACTTCTTAAAAGTATCATCTCCCACTTTAGCTAAGAGGCCGATACCTGAACAAAGAACAGAACAAAACAGAGTAACAGAGTTGGAAGAGACCTTGGAGGTCATCTACAGTAGTGGCCAAAATTGTGGAAACCTCTTGGGCAGTGGCTCTCAACCTTTTTAATGCCGCGACCCCCAACCGGTCGTAAGTCGAGGACTACTCAACTGGTCGTAAGTCGAGGACTACTCAACTGGTGCAGCACCGCTTGCAGACTGGGGCTTTTGGAGAGCTCAGCAGGGCAGAGACAGCCTGGACAATTCCTATTGGCTTTTGAAAGCCAATAAAATTAGACTCTATTCAAGAGAGTCTATTCTATTGGCTTTCAAAAGCCAATAGAATAAAAGGGAGTAGCACAGCTAAGGAAAAGGGGGGAAAAAATGGTGGACTGCGTTGTTTGGCGACCCCCGTGAAATGGTCGTTCGACCCCAAATGGGGTCCCGACCCACAGGTTGAGAACCACTGCTCTTGGGAAAAGTATATTTTTGAGGTTTGATGGCTAATAACACCACTTTTTTGGGGGGGAGTAGTGCCATAAAATTATATATCAATGGAAAGATAATTTAATTAAGAATGTAATGCAATATAGTTTGTTCAATGATCTGTACTGTATTCTATGAAAAGGTGTAGCCAAAGAACCAGAAAAAGGAAGTACAACTTGCTTAGGTTGATATCAGGTAGCTTTCCTTCCTCTGATTGTAGCCAATGAGCATGACTGTTTAGAGAGCCAATCGGGTGTCATCTTGTTTTGGTAATGAGCCAATCAAATCACAGTAGGATTCAGTTATTGATGTCATGTATTGAAGCTGAGAGGAGGACGTTTGTCAGCGTGTTATGTGGTCGCTATCCAGTTGGTTGGAGTTTTTTGTGTTCTTTCATTTAGTGAGCTTGTAAAACATAATAAAATGGTGCAAAGAGTTGACTGGTTGCCCAGAAAATGATGTAAAATAGTATTATTAAGTGAACAAGGCTACAGTTATAAAGAAAATTGGTGGAAATGTAACCAAAGGTGGCATTTCTACTGTACGCTTTTCCCAAAGGTTTTCCACAATTTTGGCCACTACTGCAGTCCAGATTTCCCCAACATTTTTGGCTTTGCTGATGGCCAGGGGGGCGGGGGCGGGGAGGAGAGGGTTCCATGTGAGTGGCGGGCAAACAGATATGTGTTCGGCCGCTGTTTGCGCAAGTGGGGATATGAGTACACGTTCTCCCCCTCCACTTTTGCAGTCCAATTCCGAACAACTTAAGGGCTGGAGATGGGCCACAGCCCAGGGGTTGGAGTCCTAGTCCAATCCCCTGCTATAGCAGGAGACCCTATACCAGGGGTAGGCAACCCTGGCTCTTTTATGACTCGTGAACTTCAACTCCCAGAATTCCTGAGCCAGCCATGCTGAGGGGAAAGGGAGAGGTTTCCAAGCTGAGCCATGTTGGCTCAGGAATTCGGGGAGTGGAAGTCCACGAGTCATAAAAGAGCCAAGGTTGCCTACCCCTGCACTAGACCATTTCAGACCAGCGTTTGTCCAATAGCAGGACTAAGTTATGTCTGTACTACAATATATCTTGTTTCAAATTGCTGTTAGTGGCAACAATATTGCTTGATTTGCAAAGGAAAAGCCACAACTGCACAAATGCCAACTTTTCAAGCCCTGCAGTTACATGAGACAGATATTCCAGGTAGTCCTCGACTTACGGCCACAATCAAGCCCAAAAGTTCTATTCCTAAGTGAGACATCCGTTAAGTAAGTTTTGCCCCACTTCATGACTTTTCTTGCCTCAGTTGTCAAGTGAACCACTGCAGTTGTTAAGTGAGTCACCCGGTGAATCTGGCATCTCCATTGATTTTGGTTGTCTCAAGATGATCACATGACCCAGGGACAGTGCAACCATCATAAGTATGAGTCCATTGCTTAGCATCTGAATTTTGATCACATGACCATGGGGATTCTGTAATGGCCATAAATGTGAAAAATAGTCGTAGGTCACTTTTTTCAGTGCTGTTGTAACTTTGAATGTAACTGTTGTAAAGTGAGGACTACCTGTACTAAAATTCTGTTGATTGAAAATCCAGAGAAGGGCTATCTAACACCTATAAATGGCACCAGGTTGAGGAAGTATGTCTAGCCTTTTTTAAGTTGCACAAAACAGTAGAGGAACGTCTGTGTAAGGATTGGAGAAATTTTCTAGCACGTCATTCAAACTGAGATGGGTGGTTTACAAATGTGATAACTCAATAAAAATAAATAAATCTGGGACGCAGCCTTACCGTCTCCAACAAAAAAGTTCTTGGTAGCTTCAACGGCTAATTCTGCTGCTTTGTGATGCAGGCGGTAGTGTGGTGAAAGTTCGGGATTGGACGTCTCCTTGTTGATGCCACCAGTGGGAGGGAACATTTGAGTCAAATCATCTTTCCCACCATGTCCACATTTGCCTATAATATAGAAAAAAGAAGGAAAAGGCACAAATGCCTTGGCTTATGTGATAACCTTTTACATTTGAGCATGGTAGCTCACGTGCTTAGAATGCTGGTGTCAACGCTGCTAACATTGGATGTTCTTGCTTGACAATATATGAAGATGCAGACATTTTCTATTTAACCTTTGTATTACTTTTAGAGTTAAAATTAGATGGTGCTGGAGGGGAGGGGGAAGAATGTGCATGGGGACTAGTTAGCCATAACAATATCTCAGTAGAGTATTCTTCAAGGTTGGTTGTAATAAGAGGAGATAAGAAATAACAGTTATGGAAAGTTCACACTTCAAACTAATTGGAGAATGTGATTAAATGGAGGAGTGAATTATGCTTAGATACTGTGTGTTCCTGGGGAAGGAGAATTCAGATTTTGCCTTCTCTTATGTAGGTGCTGAAGCTATGCTGCAGTTAAAGATTCTTTAAACAATGCCTCAAAGTTCTTTGAAGAGCTTCTTTTTTCAGAACCATGACAGCTGGATTGGAAGTTAGCAAATCGACAATCGAAATCTGAGAGCTGTTGCTTACTGGGATGAGCTCCTGTCACTTGCTCCAGCTACTTGTGGGGACATAAAAGGAGCTCCCAAGGGTGTTTCTCATGCAATGGTGATGTCACCAGATAATCCTTCCAACCCAGATGCTCCTCAAACAGTGTCTCCTACACAAACACAACGGGACCTTTATATTTTAATGTCATGTAGGGGCAGTACTGAAGCAGTAGGTGTAAACTTAAATGGACTCCAGAAGATGGTAGAGGACAGGAAGACCTGGAGGAACGTTGTCCATGGGGTCGCGATGGGTCGGACACGACTTTGCAATTAACAACAACAAAGGGGCAGTACATGTGACAAGACACACCAACATTTTTCAATCTTATCCACTTGAAGATGTGTGAACTTCAACTCCCAAAATCCCCCAGCCAGCATGTGGGTGGAGAATTCTGGAGTTGAAGTCCACACATTTTCAAGTCACCGTGAAACAGGGAGATAGAGCTTTAGGTTCGCATACTGCTAGAAGACGTTTCTTAAAAACTTAGTTCGAAATAATGTGAAAGGACTGCACTGCCAATTTATATTGCAGGTATGATTGGCTTGATCCAAGGGCTAGCTAAGCATGAAAATTATCCGTCCCCTTCTGCTTGTTTGGAACACAGAAGACGAATGGATGAAAATATTTAGCAAGCGTAGGTGATTTTTACCTGGTAGTTTCTTCTTACAGGAATCTGGAACTTTATATCCACTTGTAAGCATGTCTTTCACCAGGAGGTTGTCCTCACACTGTAACTCGGTCCTGTTAAACAAAGACTTTGATAGGTGGGATTCATTAACTTAAATCTGACCTAAATCAGAAACCTATCCTGAACTGCATTTCATAAACATGCTGAAAATAACAGAAATCGTTAATTTTAGATGTGCAATGTAACTGAAATGTCCTGTGCCTATCACTGGAGCTGTGCAAATCTTTCAGAAGAGATGTGTCAGAGAAGTGTGTACAGGTAGTTCCCAACCATGGAAATTGGGGCCGGCGACTCCATCACTAAGCAATGTGGTTGTAAATAGTGATGTCACATGACTGTGCTGACTTATGATGGTAGTTATGGTCAGCCACAACTTATCATCCTTAGAAAAATCCTATGCAATTGCGGTGGCCTGTAGTCACGTGATCACCATTTGTGACCTCCTGCTGGCTTCCCCATTGACTTTGCTTATCGGAATCTGGCAAGGGAGGTTGCAAATGGTGATCATTTGACTGAGGGAAGCTGTGATGTCATTATTGTGAGCCAAAGGTCAGGCACCCAAATCACGATCAGATGAGCACAGGGATGCTAAGAGAACGGCAGCTGTGAGGACTCCATCATTCTGAATGGCCATTCAACGAAAACTACCTGTACATCAGTGGTTCTCAACTTTTTAATGCCGCGACCCCCAACCGGTCGTAAGTCAAGGACTACTCAACTGGTGCAGCACCGTTTATAGAACGGGACTTTTGGCGGGCTCAGCAGGGCAGAGACAGCCTGGACAATTTCTATTGGCTTTTGAAAGCCAATAGAATTAGACTCTATTCAAGAGAGTCTATTCTATTGGCTTTCAAAAGCCAATAGAATAAAAGGGAGTAGCACAGCTAAGGAAAAGGGGGAAAAATGGCGGACTGCGTTGTTTGGCGACCCCCGTGAAATGGTCGTTCGACCCCAAATGGGGTCCCGACCCACAGGTTGAGAACCACTGCCGTACATAGTTCTCTCTTTGAACTGTTCAAGTAGCTGCCTTGCTTTCTCCTGCAGCTGCTTGCTAAGTTGGTGGTGGGAGCTATTTTCCTGTCGACAACCACATTTTTCTGGAAAAAAAAGATGCCGTTGCTTTAATGATCTAAAGCACTCGCCATCAAGTGGTTGAGAAACATCACTGAAAAATAATTTGCACATTGTAATAACCCTTACCCAGAAGGTTCTAACCGAAGTTAATAAGGACCAAGAGCAGATTTTTGTCTTTTTCTTCAAACACTGTATGGGCAAGTGACTCCTGATGGCTTTAAAAATAAATCTATGCAGTTTTATTGGTAATGTGCTCAAAGTGGTTTGCTATAACTAGGGCCAGGAGACCTGGCTTCAGGCCTAAGGTCTCATAATCTCACAGTTTCTGGCTCAATGTCTAGACCACACTGGCACTCTCTTGGAAAGTATTGGATAAAAAAAAAATTGGAACTCAGATTCTCAGATATGGAGTCACTCACTGTCATACTAGCGGACATTAAGTTCAGTCAAAGTTTTCAATTTTAGTCTTTGAAAATAAATCCCTGCACATACAACAAATTATAAGATCAAAGCAGTGGTGGGATTCAGCCAGTTCGCACTGGTTTGGCAGAACCGGTAGCTAACTTTTGCTGAGTTTGGAGGACCGGCTGAATGCACACTGCTCCCGGAAGTCTATTCTAGACCTGGGAAGCCTGAAGGAGGCTTCCCAGGCCCAGAACGGCCCGCCGGAAGTGCATGGATGCCACTTCCGGAAGTCTGTTTTAGGCCTCGGAGGCCCAGGCCTGCATCCAATAAGAGAACCGGTTGTTCAGGTATTTGAATCCCACCACTGGATCAAAGTCTCATTTCAGACAAAGACTCTGGGTCTTCCTTAAAAAACAACAACAACAACAACAAAAACAACTTGCATGTGAAAATGAGAATTTTGGAGAGAAAAATAAGTGAAGTCCTGTTCCTTAAATGTAATGCTTTTCCATAGTCACAAAAAATTTGTAGGAAGACCCATTCAGATAAACAATACAGGTAATCCTCGACTTGCAGCCATTCGTTTAGTGACCGTTTAAAGTTATAATGGTACTGAGAAGAGTGACCTATGATTGTTTTTCAGGTTTATGACTGTTGCAGCATCCCCATGGCCAGGTGATCAAAATTCGGATGCGTTGTAAACATGAAAAATGGTCATAGGTCACTCTTATCAGTGCTGTTGTAACTCTGAATGATCACTAAATGAATGTGGTAAGTCAAGGACTACCTGTAGTTCTTGTTTAGCAACTGGCTTGCAATTAGGAAAGAGATGAAAAGCTAACTTTGTAACCAGTCCTTGCATTTGTGCAGGTCTGTAAAACAAATTAAATCTGAAGTAAGATCATAGGTGCAGTCTCTGTTTTGGTTAGCTCCCGCTTTGTTTAAAAACTGAGTTGCCCGTCCTAACTCTGGTTGCTAAACATGGACTACTTCCACTTGATTTATATACAGATGAAGATCAACCTTTACAGTCCATTGTATAAAATAAGCCTTTTTTTTTTATTTAGACGAACCCATTTGTGGATTTACCTTGATACTTGTTTACAATTCACACATGTCTTCTTAGAAGCTGGTGCAGTGGGAATGACTGGACTATTTGGATTTACTGAGGGAACATAAACAGAAGAAAGGGTCTCTTTAGATGTAGCTGAACTTCTCTAAGATCTGAAATTCCTCCACTCCCACATTCAGAATTTTAAAGGTATTGTGAGGGTTCTCACCAAACGGGGCTGCTAGGGTGGCTGGCCATAAAACACACACACAAAATTAGAAGGCAAACTGGGGAAGTTAACATTAATTGGGCCAAGAATAAGGCAGAAAGAAGGTTGGAGCCTCAAAAGGCAGATCACAAAATTACAACAAGGCCTTTATTTTCACAAAACTACTGATGAGGCTCAAAAGTGCATACACACCCACCCACACACACACACACACACACACAGACCCTTTAAAGTGCAAGGTCAGCTGGAGAAAACTGCTATTTTGTCAGCTTTGCAAGGCAGATCAGACTATGAGACTAATGCTACGAAGGTCAATGTTACTTTTACTGTAAACCTACGGTAACTGAATTTTGAAAGTTTGAATGTGCTTTCCTTTCCCTCACTTTCCCTCCCTGTGAACTAGGGAGGAGCTTGTCTGAGATGTTTACTCATATTACTCTCTTGGTCTAGGCTCAAGCCCCGCTTATCTGACCATTGCCTTGGTAGTGGCTCTTCCTTTTGTCCTTCAAGGTCATTCCCTCTGCCCTGTATAAACTTATATCCCCACCATTGTACAGCCTAGGGAGAAATCCATCATTCCTTCCTATTTTCTCCAGCACAGCAACTCTGTGAGGTGGGTTGGGCTCAAAGCCACCCAACTGGCTTCTGTGCCTAAGGGAGGATGAAAACTCGCCGTCTCCTGCTTTCCAGTCTAGCACTTTAATGACTAATAATAACAATAACAATAACAACAATAATAATAAAGTTGGAAGGGACCTTGGAGGTCATCTAGTCCAACCCCCTGCTCCGGCAGGAAACCCTATACCATTTCAGACAAATGGCTGTCCAGTCTCTTCTTAAAAAGTTCCAGTATTGGAGTATTCACCGCTCCTGGAGGCAGGTTGTTCCACTGGTTGATTGTTCTAACTGTTCTAACTTCTCCTTAGTTCTAGGTTGCTTCTCTCCTTGGTTAGTTTCCATCCGTTGCTTCTTGTCCTGCCTTCAGGCGCTTTGGAGAATAGCTTGACTCCCTCTTCTTTGTGGCAGCCCCTGAGATATTGGAATACTGCTATCATGTCCCCCCTCGTCCTTCTCTTCATTAGACTAGACATACCCAATTCCAGCAACCGTTCCTTATATGTTTTAGCTTCCAGTCCTCTAATCATCTTTGTTGCTCTTCTCTGTACTCTTTCTAGAGTCTCAACATCTTTTTTACATCGTGGTGACCAAAACTGGATGCAGTAATCCAAGTGTGGCCTCTACTATACCAAAATAGGTTTCTAATTTCAATTGGCCACGAGGTATTCTTTGAAATAAAACTGATGCAGGAGTCCAGTGATCTTCTGTATAGCATGACAGTGACTGCCTGTCTCACACACACATGAACACATAACCCAAAACACCTAATTGGAAGTCTCCTTCCAAATAAACTCAACTCCCATTGGCTTTGCAGAGATATTACTACATTTGTTTTGGCAACAGTTTAGAAGTAGTTTGCTGTGCCTTTTTTCTAGGATCTGCGTGTGTGTGTAAACATGCATAGATACAAACAGGCAAGAATGTTGTGAAAAACAGTCAAGCTACGTGGCCAGGAAAGCCCACTGGCATTAACATAGGTATGTATGAAGACATCAACTCCAGAAACGTTACATTGGGTACTTCAATCAGAAGTTGATCTAATAAAAAAATGGAAAGATGGACTACATGTTTCAATAATAAATAAATCTGAAATCGAACCAGAGCTTTCTGTCATTGGTGGGAGGGGAATTGGTACATACGTATTTTTTCCAAAGCAAGAGCAAAAGCACTTAGATTTGTATACTACCCCATAGTGCCGTATAGAAAAGTAATTGCAATTGTGACTGTATAGAAAAATAGAGAAAACTCTACCCCAAATAAAGCATATTAGGGTTATCTGCACTGTGTGTGTGTGTGTTTGTGTGTGTGTGTGTGTTTATAAAAAAAATAATCAAGATGATAGCTATGACCACTTGATTTTGCCCACCATCTTGACTTTTTCAGTCCCCTCCCACTACGGTCAGCTCTAGGCAGCATCCAGTTCTTTGCTTCCAGATTTGTTGCGACTTACACAAGTATTCGTAAGGGCTCTCCTTTCCCATTTCGACCCAGTTGGTGTTGCTGAAGAATTTCTGAACCACGAAAAGAGCTCTTCCAGCATTGAGGCGAGATGCTTTCAAGGCAGCTGAATCTAATTCTCCTCTCAGACTATAAAGCATGGAGTCACTCAGAATTTGAATTCGCCTAATACCTGGGAAAAGATAGCATGAAACTTCTGAAGAGCTGAATGTAAACTTAATCATCTAGTCCTACAAACTCTCCAGAACAGGAATTGGTTACCACAGATCCCCCACAGAAGGCCATCTTGCTTCTGGACCTTTGGTGGAGGAGAATCTGCCTGCCTGCCTGCCTGCCTGTCTATCATCCATTACAAATTAAAATAGAACTCACCATGGCCAACTTGCTGCGGGACAACTGGCCACAGGACAATCCAACAATTCAATTTAATTATTTAAAACAATTAAAAAAAATATTTTAATTTTTGTCATTCACATTTCACTTTGTCCCTCCCTTTGCATTCTTTCTTTAGTGAGTCTATTCCGCCATTTCTTTGATATTAGTGTAACTCTTGTCCTACAGTGAGTTGTCCTGCGGCAAGTTGGACGTGGCCAGTTGTCCTGCAGTGAGTTGGCAACAGCGAGTTGGTTGCAGGAAGTTGGCCATGGAGAGTTGTCCTAGACCAGTGGTTCTCAACCTGTGGGTCAGGACCTCATTTGGGGTCGAACGACCATTCCACGGGGGTCGCCAAACAACACAATCTGCCATTTTTTCCCCCTTTTCCTTAGCTGTGCTACTCCCTTTTATTCTATTGGCTTTTGAAAGCCAATAGAATAGACTCTCTTGAATAGAGTCTAATTCTATTGGCTTTCAAAAGCCAATAGGAATTGTCCAGGCTGTCTCTGCCCTGCTGAACCCGCCAAAAGTCCCATTCTGCAAACGGTGCTGCACCAGTTGAGTAGTCCTCGACTTACGACCGGTTGAGTAGTCCTCGACTTATGACCGGTTGGGGGTCACAGCATTAAAAAGTTGAGAACCACTGTCCTAGACCCCTCTTCTCCAGGATAAATTCATCTCCAATCACAATCTTTGTTACCTTGATTGCCGTCCTCTGGACATGTTCAATTTGTCAGTGTCTTTCCTAAAAGTCTCTCCTTCTTGAATGCTTATATAATGACATTAGGCCAGGTGAGAGTAAACTAAACTTTGAGCCATGTCCCTTTTCCTGGAATATCTTGAACAGCAGAAGAGCTAGGATGGATCAAGTCTAGGCATGACTGAGCCATCTTTCCAGAGATCTTACAGAGATCTTCTGCTTCATGGAAGGACCAGCCCTGCAAATATACCCTTAGTCAGTATCAACCAAAGAAAGTTTTCTGTGTGCCATCCCAGAATGCTGGTACCTGTTAGGCATTGATCAAACTCAGGATAACAGAATCAAGAAATCCTAAGGAATCTATGCTGATTTTTTGCTTGGGTGTGACTTCAAAACATGTTGGCATTTAGTTATCTTTGATTTTGATCACTGATACTTCATTTGTTTTCATCGATGTTGGCACTGTGTTATTATAACACTTTCTTAAAACATTTATTTATCATATTTATATAGCTGTTTAGCTTATACTATATGATTCTGGGTAGCTTCCGATGAAATCATAAAATAACCATATTAGAATACCATTTCACTGGTCTGCTATGAAAGTTCTTACTTTTAAAAACAAATATATAAAAAGAATGCAGTGGTGAAGAGTGTAGTGCAGTAGAATCAAGAAATCCTAAGGAATCTATTCTGATTTTTTGATTGGGTGTGACTTCAAAACATGTTGGCTTTTAGTTATGTTTGACTTTGATCACTGATACTTCATTTGTTTTCATCGATGTTAGCACTGTGTTATTATAACATTTTCTTAAAACATTTATTTATCATATTTATATAGCCGCTGAGCTTATAATATATGATATCTAGGTAGCTTCCGATGATAACATAAAATAACTATATTAAAATACCATTTCATTGGTCTGCTATGAAAGTTCTTACTTTTAAAAACAAATATATAAAAAGAATGCAGTGGTGAAGAGTTTAGTGCAGTGGTGAAGGTCCTGGCCTAGAAGCCAGGAGACTGGGAGTTCGTTCTGCTTTAGGAATGAAAGCTCGCTGGAGGACTTTGGGCCAGTCCTTGCCTCTCAGCACAATTCACCTCACAGGGCTGTTGTTGTGGGGAAAGTAGGTGGAGTAAGGAATACTAGGTATGTTCTTTGGTTTGAGTTGTTTATGAAAAAAGGCAAGATAAAAATAAAAAAAATATGTACTTTTGTTCATGAGATCAAGTCTCTGCTATATGTAAAACAAACTTGCCCTCTGCAAATATTGACTTTGATTATTTATCCAAAGCTCTTTCTTTTAACAGAACTTGGAGGTCAGTGACAGATGTACACAATAAGAAAGCCACTCCATCCTTTGTAAATTGACAAGCATTAAACCACAAACATGCTGATAGTAGGAAAGGGAGTGCTGGACAAATACTACAACTTTATCCACTGTGGCTAAATTAAAGCTGAGCATTTTCAGCTCTGAACTAGGGCAAAAGCGAAAACTGTAGCCCTTTAAAAAGAGTTCCAATACGGCCAATACTAAGGCATGTTGGGAACTGCGGTTCAGCAACATCCGAAATTTCACAGGTTCCCCACCATTGCTGCAGAGATTGTAGTGAATTCATCAGCTGTTCCAAGTGGATTATACGGTTCCTAGGGAATAAATAATGGCATTGGCCAAAACTAAAGCTACTAATTAACCAACTATATTCAACCATCAGTCATATGAAAACATGGCAGTTCAGCATAATTATCATATTTTATATTTCGTTTCCCTTTAATCCGTTGATTGCTCTCTCTCTCTCTCTCTCTCTCTCTCTCTCTCTCTCTCTCTCTCTCTCTCTCTCTCTCTCTCTCTCTCTCTTCCAGGTCAATAACTTGGACTTAGCTGCACATCTCTGGGTTGAGATATTTTTACTGGATCAGGCTAGAATAATTGCCTCTGTTAGGATACTGACCACTGACCAGATTTGTCACCTGTTTCCATTATAACTGAGTTTCCTCTAGTTCCTAATACCATCCTTCACACCACTGAACATACCCCTTCTTTTAAGCAGCAACAACCATAAATCCCATCTTACTTTTGCTAATCTGTTCACAATAGAAGTAGTAGTCGCTGTTTCCTTTAGATGATTCCACTAGATTATTTTCAGTGACAATTTCCTGGATGGCTTTCATGAATCGGCTGGGAGAGACATCAGCTGTTTAAAAAATAATGGATTAGTTAAAATGATTGTCCTCAGTAGTAACAATAGTAGTATTCTTCTTGATTTTTCAATCTATCTGGCATATTCAATATACGTTTTTTGAAAATCTATCATCTGCCTGCCTGCCCGCCCTCCCACCCACCCACCCACCCACCCACCCACCCACCCACCCACCCACCCACCCACCCATCCATCCATCCATCCATCCATCTATCTATCTATCTATCTATCTATCTATCTATCTATCTATCTATCTATCTATCTATCTATCTATCTATCTAACTATCCCTCAACTTATCACCCCAACTGAGTCCCAAATTTCCTTTGTAGTTGTTAAATGAGTTTTGCTCCATTTTACAACCTTTCTTGCCACAGTTGTTAAGTGAATCATGCAGTCGTTAAGTGAATCTGGCTTCCCCCATTGACTTTGCTTGTTGGAAGATTGGAAAGGTTACAAACGGTGATCACGTAACCCCGAGACAGGGCAACTTTCATAAATACATGCTAGTTGCCAAGCGCCCAAATCTTGATACCACGACTGTGAGGATGCTGCAACAGTCGTAAGTGTGAAAACTGGTCATAAGTCACTTTTCTTTGGTGCTGCTGTAACTTTGAACAGTCACTACATTAATAGTTGTAGAGGACGACTTATGTGGCTGCCCATCTCATATGAAAATGACTCTGGGCTGCTTCTAACAATTAAAATAGAAAACGACGTATAAAACAATCAAAAACTATTTTAAAACTGTACGGTAAAAAAGCACATGAAACAAGAGAAGATGATGTTTCAGTAAGAAAGGGAGCCATCAGTAGGTTTCCCCGATTTCCTAGCCTGATGGCATAGCCAGTTCTTGGGAGATTTGCACAGTGTTAAGGGAGATGGGACCCATAAAAAAGGACCCATACTAGAAAGAGTACAGAGAAGAGCAACAAAGATGATTAGGGGACTGGAGGCTAAAACATATAAGGAACGGTTGCTAGAATTGGGTATGTCTAGTTTAACGAAGAGAAGGACAAGGGGGGACATGATAGCAGTGTTCCAATATCTCAGGGGCTGCCATAAAGAAGAGGGAATTAAGCTATTTTCCAAAGCACCTGAAGGCAGGACAAGAAGCAACGGATGGAGACTAATCAAGGCGAGAAGCAACCTAGAACTAAGGAGAAACTTCCTGAGAGTGAGAACAATTAATCAGTGGAACAGCCTGCCTCCAGAAGCAGTAAATGCTCCAACACTGGAAGTTTTTAAGAAGAGACTGGACAGCCACTTGTCCGAAATGGTGTAGGGTTTCCTGCCTGAGCAGGGGGCTGGACTAGATGACCTCCAAGGTCCCTTCCAACTTTACTACTATTACTATTACTATAACAAATGGGACCCATAATTTGCCTTCTCAGATACTCTCAGACATCCTGGTCCCTTGCCATGAAGGGCTTTAAAAGACAAAACCAGCACCTTGAATTGGACCCGGAAGCAAATTGGCAACCAACCCACTTTGCAGAACAAATGTGTAATGTGTACCATTCTAGGATCACATGTAACTGCCCATGTCACTGCATTTTGCACCAGCTGAAGCTTCCAGATACTCTTCAAAGATAGCCCCATATACCTAGAACTTTTTTTACTAGATATAATGCCTGAAAAGATTAATAAGCAGAGTTTATATCTAATTTTATACATAACTACAGCAGTGAGAATAATCTTTGCAAAATATTGGAAGAATGAAGGATTGCCATCAGAAGAAGAAATAATCAGAAAAATACTGGAATGTGCAGAGATGGACAGATTAACTATAAGACTGAAAGATAAAGAAGACACAGACTACTACCAAATTTTGGACTTATTTTACTGTTGGTTAGAGGAAAGAATGAAGGATTAGGAATTGAATATGTATTAGCATAGCTAACCCCAGACAGCTCGTTGATTGGAAAAATTAATATATGTATGCAAAAGAAAACCAATAAAATCTCTATTAAAAAATCCCATGTAAAGCACATTCCAGCAATTCAAATGGGAGGTGACCAGGGTGCAAGTGACAGTGAGCAGAGCCCACCGATTCAGGAAAGGGGGCAACCGATGAACAACATGAAGTTGTGCAAAAGCCCTCCTAGCCAAAACTGCTACCTGCTCTTTGAGCAGGAGTCGTCAGTTCAGGACCCCCAGATTGTGTTCTGGGTTTGTATGGGGCATTGTCATCCCATCCAACATCAAAAATGGCATAGTCCTAGAACTGGGAGCCATTCAGCCTTGCCAGGGTTCAGCTGAAACTGTTGTTGGGGAAAGTATTCTCCAAAGTGCCTGAAGGCAGGACAAGAAGCAACGAGTGGAAACTGACCAAAGAGAGAAGCAACCTAGAACTAAGGAGAAATTTACTGACAGTTAGAACAATTAATCAGTGGAACAACCTGCTTCCAGAAGTTGTGAATGGTCCAACACTGGAGGTTTTAAAGAAGAGATTGGGACAACCATTTGTCTGAAATGGTATAAGGTTTCCTGTCTGGGCAGGGGTTGGACTAGATGACCTCCAAGGCCCCTTCCAACTTTTTATTTTTATGGGCATGAGTATGAGCATTAGTATTAGGGAGGGTGGGTGGAGGGCAGACCAATTTAATGGATGGTGGTGCTAGAGAATCTCTTGATAATCAGGGTGTGAGGTAATCACGACAAGAGGGATACCAAAGCTCTCCCAATATTAGATCTCAGGGCCACTGCTCTGACAGGAACATCAGATCCACTGTTTGGCCACTATTCCATGTCGGCCCGTGAGAGAGGCCCATGGCTGTCATGGTGGCTATGAACTCCCAAGCCATCTCATCCCTGAGGGGCCGTGATGCCATCACAGGGGTCCATGAAAGCCTGAAGAAATGTTATGATTTAAATCTTGAGTTATGTCTTGGTGGTCTGTAGCCACAAACTGTATTTAAAAGGGGTTGGTGGTAAAGAAAAGGTTGAGAACCACTGCCATAAGAGTTTCCCCGATGACATTCATCACACCTCCACTCCTGCCCTAGGATCTCGGCTGAGGCCACAACTGAAACCTAGCTGGGCATAGTTTTGAAAGGGCTACCCTCATTCTAGATCTAGAAAGGTCTAAGGCTCAAGGAGATGACATTAAAAGATATCTCCTGGAATTCCATTTCTTCTCCAGATGTCTGGGAAATATCAGAACTGGAGCCCAACTCATCCAATTCAACTCAACTCGACAAGGACAATTTATGATAACATGGAAGAAAAGCCTAGAAAGAGTCTAGAAGAACTATCTAGAATCTGTACAGATTGATCAATGTACCCCAATGTTCCCTCAGATGATGACTTTTTCATGATCTGGAGGTGAGATGAAGCACTGATACAGTAATCACAAAAGAGTTGTGTTGGAGAAGAAGTTCAGGTTTGGGAAGAACAATGCAATGTAGTTGTATGTATGACAAGGGGATCCAGTGTCTTAGAACCGAGGACACTGAGCTTTGGACCAAGACGAATCCTCTTGTTTTGGACCCCAGAGCCAGCTCACCTTGGTAATAGGTCTTGAAGAGCCCGGTTGCATTCAATGGGACCATGTTTGTTAGCTCCCCGGGCGCCATGGTAGGTCTTCCAGGCAGAGGATTCCTCTCCATGTACCAGGCTACAGCCCGCAGTGCCCCCAATTCCGTGATGTCAGTAAGTGTGAAGTCATTTGAAGAGATGCCTCCGGATTCATGGTTAGGGCGGAATCCGCTCACAATCCCTGCGCAGAGAAGCAAGGAGAGCAGCATGCTTGGCAACAGAGCGTCCCGATGGTCTAAGAGGAAAGGAGTGTTGCCTTCCCTCTCAGCTTCCTTTGCTCTGGAACGTGCCCTTCACTCTGCTGGTTAAATAGCTCGAGTGGCACTAGGGGAAATCCCCCACCTCTTCAGCCTGCTTCCTCCTTCAGGTAACTAAAGAATCCAGGAAAAGAAATTCACCAGCCCTTCGTCACACGACACGGGGCCCAGATAAAGGGACATTAGCAATTGTGTCATCGAGGCTGTCTCTAAAATGGACAGTTTCCTTCTAACAAAACTGCCGTGCCTCTAAAGCAGTGATTTTCACACTTGGCAACTTTTAAGTTGGGTGGACTTCCACTTTCAATCAAGACAGTCCGGTTTCTCACAGTGTTGGAGGGCAGTATAGTAGGTTAGCCTAGGGGGCCAAACAGCAAGCTAGTTGAGGCGCTCAAGTGGCATGCAGAGATGGTGAGGAGGCAACTGTACTTTTTAAATTTAAGTGGGCCTTCTCCTGAATCCTCATTTTCTTCTTTTGCTTCCTCAAGAGGTCTTTTAGAGAAATGATTATAATAAGGTGACCAACTTTTTTACAATGAAAAGGAGGACACAAATAAATTGAAGAAAAAAATATCGTAAATAAAAGAAACATTGTATTTATTGCAACAATAATACAGAATACGCTATAATATGATAAATGCATAATAAAAAACATTTGTAACAATAAAATTTTATATTCTAATTATGCTTACATGCCTATTAATTATTATTTAAATGAGTACTGCATGGGGTGGGTGGCAGAGGCAGGTGTTGCGGGCCAGGCGCTCCAGGACGGCCACATAGGCGCACAGGGTGAGGTGGTGGCAGCGCAGGTCAGCACTGCATAGACCACCAGCTGGTGCGGCCCATGGAAGGTCAGCTGCCCGCCGTGCTCCCGCCCACAGCCGCCCCGCCAGCACCGCTGCCCTGCCGTGGAGAGCCGGCCCCGCAGCTCGCAAAGCACCAGCCGCGCTGGCTCTAGCCCTGCAGCCACCCCCCCCCCCAGCCACCCCCAGCACCACCGCCCCCACCCTGCGCATCCCCGTAGAGCCAGCCCCACGGCTCGCAAAGCACCAGCCGCACCAGCTCCGGCCCTGCAGCCACCCCCCCAGCTGCCCCCGCCAGCACCACCGCCTACCCTGTGCATCCCCGTATAGAACTGAACAGGGAAGATCAAGAGAAACTTATCGCTCCAGTCTCCTCCAGCTATCTTCGGAACTAAGTAGGAGATGGTGTAGTTGGGTAGCAGTGAGGGGTGCAAAGTTCCTGCAAAGTTTGCTGCCCGGATGTTTTGGCACGCTCAGCAGCAATTCCTATTGGCTTTCGAAAGCCAATAGGGGGAGTAGCACAGCTCATGCAAAAGTTGAAAAAAACCATCAAAAAAGGTCCCGAAACGCCTTCTGAGTGTTCTATGAGTAAAAAAAAGCCCTGCAGATTAGTCTTCAAATATGGAAAAGGAGGACATCTAGGAGGACACTTTTTGAGGGAGGACAAAACTTAAAAAAGGAGGACTGTCCTCCCAAAAGGAGGACGGTTGGTCACCTTAATTATAAGAGAGAAGGAGAGCCCTTTCCTTGTTGGCACCCCCCACTTATGGAATTCCCTCCCCGAAAGGTTCCAGTGGAGCTTTTGCATTAGCATTATTTCAATGGTAGGCCGAAGATCTTTCTATTTTCTCATTTTAATCCTATTTTAATTCATATTGCTCTAGACCAGGGGTAGTCAACCTTGGCTCTTTTAGGACTCGTGGACTTCAACTCCCAGAATTCCTGAGCCAGCCTGGCTCAGCTTGGAAACCTCTCCCTTTCCCCTCAGCATGGCTGGCTCAGGAATTCTGGGAGTTGAAGTCCACGAGTCATAAAAGAGCCAAGGTTGCCTACCCCTGATCAAGATTTTGCTGACCACCTTGCAGCTGTTTAGTTTACATAGTGTATTTTTATTCCTCCTTTTTATTTTTCATATACAAGTCAAGGCAGCAAACATACCTACTAATCCTTCCTCTTCCTATTTTCCCCACAACAACAACCCTGTGAGGTGGATTGGACTGAAGGAGAGGAACTGGCCCAATGTTGCCCAGCTGGTTTTCCATGTTATTTTGTATTATTTTATTTTATTTATTGTTTTTATTTTATTATCATTTTTACTTTATTATCAGATTTTTAATTTAAATTTTATTTATTTTATTAATTTATTTTGTTTGTTTTTATTTTATTATCATTTTTATTTTATTTTATTTTATTATTTCATTTATTATTTTAGAATAAAATAACATGTTTTGCTAAGGACTTTAAACTACAGCCATTTTTGTTAATTCCCTGAACTTGATTAATAAACGACACTAAGGATGGAAAACCTCTGATCCTTCTACTGTACAATTTCCCTTTTTGATGCTAGCCAGGGACTGTTAGCTTTTGTTTTGCTGAAATTTTTCAAGCACCAGGGAAAATCATACCATAGGCAAGGAAGTTAAAAAAGATCATGGAGAAAGGCAATGGCAATTTATTAAATATTTACTTCAATTATTCAATTTATGTAGCTGCCCAGCTTACATATGTGACTGTAGGTGGCTCAAAATTAAAATAATAAACACATGCAAATCAATAGCCAAAACAAATAAAATATCATTAAAAGCCAATTAAAACCATGAAAACCATAACACATAAACTTTCCTTTTGCATTGTTTTCAAATTTAGGGATGTATATTGTACTAAAGCAGGTTTTTTTTCCAAACCGTGTTCTGCAGAATTCTAGAATTCTCTGAGAACTTGACTGAGTTCATATTCTGTAGTCTGAACAAGTTTGAAAACTCTGCCCTAAAGTCAACCACAACTGAACTCAGAAGATATGTTAATTGTATTCAGCTGAGAGTCATGCAACGCTAGCCAGGTAGAGCAGTGTAAGTACATTTTCTAAGTGTAAAGTTAATTAAGGCTGGTGCAAATCTGTGTAATTCTAACACTTCTGACGGAAATCCGATTGGGGATTTATTTATTTATGATATGCCATCAAATCATTAAACTTTAGTGATCACATTGATAGATTTTCTCCATGACGATCTGTCCCTAACCTGGTCCTTCATGTGTTCCAGTAGTCCACCCATCATCATTGTAACTGACTCAATTTGCCTGGCTGTTGGTAGTCTTCTTTATCCTTCCACCTTTGCCAGCATCAGCAGCTTCTCTAGCTGGGTCTTTGTATTACCTGTCGGAGGTAGGAAATTTGAGTCTGGTCATATGTGCCTTGAGTGAGAATTCTGGGTTGATTTGTTTGATGTTCCATCAGTTTGTTTTCTCGGATCTCTGTGGCATCCTCAGAAGTCTTCTCCAATACCAAAATTCAAAAGTGTCAATTCTCTTGTCTGTGAAGATTGTACTGTCTCAACTGTCAGTATCTATCCTTCCATTCCCTTCCCCCACCATCTGAACTGATGAAGCTTCTTGGATGAGAAGCGAAACGTTTTCTTTTTTGTTAAGAAAAAAACAGTCCAGTTGCCTTTTGAAAAAAACACCTTTATGTCAATTCTCTTCATATTCTGCTTCCTCAAAGTCCAAATTTTGTTTAGCAGGGAATACCATGATTTGCAGAATTCTGATATTTGTAGATACAGATACGTCATAGCATTTGAAATCTCTTCCAAGGATTTCATGGCTGCTAAGTCTATGGCATGTTTCTTGACTGCTTGTCCCTTTTTGGTTGAAAGACAGCGAAGGCTTACATAAGACCTATTTTCATCAGGAAAAATGAGAAAGATTAAGCAGTGAATCTAATTTTTATCTATCACAGTGGTTCTCAACCTGTGGGTTGGGATCTCATTTGGGGTCGAACAACCATGTCATGGGGGTCGCCAAACAACACAGTCCGCCATTTTTTCCCCCTTTTCCTTAGCTGTGCTACTCCCTTTTATTCTATTGGCTTTTGAAAGCCAATAGAATAGACTCTCTTGAATAGAGTCTAATTCTATTGGCTTTCAAAAGCCAATATGAATTGTCCAGGCTGTCTCTGCCCTGCTGAGCCCGCCAAAAGTCCCATTCTGCAAACGGTGCTGCATATTGTCTGCAGCGAAGGCGAGCTGTCTGGAAGTTTCCACCCCTTCCTGTTGAGCAATTACTAAAAATGTAAGCAAAAGAGGGCCAGGGGTGGGAGGTGGGAGGCCGGCAGGCGCAGGGAGGGCTGCTGGCGCGTGTGGGGCCTGGCGGGTGCCTTACCTCCCTTAGGCTGGCCCAGCTGGTGGCCCAGCCGGTGGTTGGCCTGCGCCGTCTCTGCTGCTTGCCAGCTACGCCTTGGCTGGCGCAGGGGGCGGCACCACACATGCGCGGCGCTCCCGGGCAGGGAAAGTCCTCGACTTACGACCGGTTGGGTAGTCCTCGACTTACGACCGGTTGGGGGTCGCGGCATTAAAAAGGTTGAGAACCACTGATCTATCAAGTGATATTCCTTCAGCCTCTGATCAAGCATAGATACAGCCTTCCTTCCTTCCTTCCTTCCTTCCTTCCCTCCCTCCCTCCCTCCCTCCCTCCCTCCCTCCCTCCCTCCCTCCTTCCTTCCTTCCTTCCTTCCTTCCTTCCTTCCTTCCTTCCTTCCTTCCTTCCTTCTTGGAATCTTAGTTAAAGAAATTGCAGAGTTTTGTGCAGCAGTTCAACCAAATGAACTTTCATAAGAAGCAAGCTAGTAGATTAATGCCTTCAAGAGTAATACTGCAAATTTTTGGGATCTGGATGAGCCATTGAAGAATTTGTAAGCAAATGAGGCAAGTTTTCGCATTCTGAGACAAAATTCCTTTATTCTTCCACTGATATCCTTTGGTATGGAAACAATATTGGTTTGCTTTCACAACCTTGGAGATCCTACTGTCATTGAACTCACTTTTTGGGGGGTAGTATAAATTTAGGTAGTCTTAATTTGAACTTGCACTCAGATTGGGAACTGATTTTTGTCTGAGAACAGGAATGAGGAAGTGTTTCTCAAATTCTGAGAAACACCCAGTTCACCAAACTCATGTTCTGAAATAAAAATCTTTTCAAGGCGTCAGCTGCAAGGAGCCCCAGAGTAACATAG